GTTGAATGAACCAACAGCATCGCCTAGGCCTATACATTCTCTCCCAGACTCATGAATAGAATGTTTGGAGCGTAGCATAAGGTAAGCAGTCCATCCAGTATGTATTATATTATAATAATAATAAAATAATAATAATCTCAAAAAGGAGACTACTCTAATTTGTTTAATTTGAGTATATGCTAGACGAATGTACCAAAGACATCTTAAATCAGTTTAATATGCGGCAGGCTATGTATTGTATAATGCACAATCATTTTAATTCAGGTTTTTTTAGAGGGCTTGGGCTCATACGCCTATGCATAAACTCTACCAGGCTTATGGTAGAGTTAAGCGAGTTTGTGTACTAGCCAACCATTTCCCAAGTGCAAAGAGGATGTTCTGTCGACTCAATGGTCACCTGAGAATTCTGATCATGACTCCAGTAGTAGTAAACCAGCCCTATCTCAATGTGCACATTATAAAAACACGGGCTACAGCTAAGTCAGGTAAACAGTATTTTGGTCAAAATTCTGCTACTGTGTACCCCGCAATGCTGCTTGAGTCAGAAACTGATATATATATATATATCTATCCATCCCTTTTAAGACTATTCGATACGAATCTAGAGCAGAAGGAGGCTTGTGGGAGGAGCTATAGGAGGACGGGCTCATTCTAATGGCTGGAATCATGGAACGGTGTCAAACATATGGAAGCCACGTTTGACTATTCCATTCCAGCCATTACAATGAGCCAGTCTTCCTATAGCTCCACCCACCAGCCATATGGCTGATCAAGATACAAGGGCTCCGATACGATGCAGGAACGGTACACTTTAGTCTGAAATGAGTCAGTGCAATTCAAGAACAAATCGAAGAGATTCGTTTCGATACACTAACATTTGTTGCATAAACACTCATTTTCCACTCTAAATAAAAATCTGCTTCTGATGGAGCTCATGAGCTGGAGGATCTGTCTGAGCTGTGTGTGGCGCATGTACTGTGGGCACCTAATTTGAGCCATAAGGGAGAATAGGCATCTACCACCCCACTATCAGATTAAAATATTAGGTATTTTCAGAAGGTAGAAAGTAATATGAGCAAAATAAATGCTTGTGAAATCGGCGATTCGTAACGTTTGAATCGATTTTCTGATCGATGCATGCTACATTTGGATCAGTTTGGAGTCCGGACTGATGCGGTCCCATCTTAAACATTTTAAAATCGGGGACCGATGCGTATCGGTGAACAGTTACATCCCTAGAAACAGAGCTTTAATTTCCCAGAATACATTTGTTAATACTCCCGTTTTAGTAGGGTCTGCTCGCCGTTTTGAGAGTTGAGACATAAAAAAAGGGTATCATTTAGAAAGTTTAAGTTCTCCTATATTACAGTGTTGTTTCGATGTCTATATGACCGATTCTGTTCGACCAAACCTAAAATAGCAAGTTGAAACTGCTTGTTATCAGACAGGAAGAAGTAATCTTTCATCTTAGTTGTTGTGAGTGGCAAGGGACACACAAGGAGACAAGACCAACAAGACGTGAGAACAAGTGGCCAAACGTTCATAAAAAAATAAAAACCTTGATTCTTGTGATACAGGCATTTTGAATTTCGCGCTAAAACAAATTCTGTCACCCAGCCCTAATTCAGAAAAGCATTACTGTCCCAAAATTAGGGCCGGGACGATACCAGTATTGTCTTAGTTTTCCCATGACAAAAAGGAAAACACGAATCAGACTTTTGGTCCTTTAAAACCTGCTGTATGTAAAAGTGTGCTATAGCTTTGAAAATAAAAGGTGACTCTGGATGACAATTTTTGTTTCCAATATTAGGGCTGTTTTCCTAAAGAAGTTACTTCAGTTTTGTTTCCTTGCCACGATACAAACGAGTGTCGAGATACTAGTATCATCCTGGCCCTACCCATCATTGGGCAATTTGATAGACAAGAGTATCTCTGACCTGTTGTTGCTGTTGTAGGGTGGGTCCATGTCCAGGACCAGGGCTGAAGGATCTATGCATCTCTGGGAACTGCTCCCCCATCATGGGCTGTGGACCAACAGGGTACCCTGAAACACCACGAGACAAAATCAGCCGCTCAATCACACACCTTGTATTCATTAGGCACCAAATGGAAGAAAAGCCTATATGAACTTCTCCAATAAAAAACATTTGTCTTCATTGTGCCCTAATGAACTAGTCTTTGCTTCCACATTAGTGTAATGTTTACCGGCAGGAGGTTGCATGCGTCCATGGAAGTAGTCAGGTGAGGGAGCCCTCTGTGGGAAGAGTGGAGGTGAGGGCCCCCTGTGCTGTAGCAGGCTGTGTTGAGGACCAGGGCCAGGGGGTGGAGGGGCGTTGGGGCTGCCTAGCAGGCTATGGAGGAGGGTAGGGGAGCCTCTACGGGGAGGTCCCTGTGCACCCAGAAGCTCCTGTAACAGTTACACACACCCTGCTCAGACAGGACCAACACAGACGACATAACACCAGCACTAATCAGGGACAGTCCCCTATTCCTAAACAAAATAATGCCATCCTTTCATGCTACAGCTTACTATCAAACTCAACAATTTAAAAAAATGAATACACTGCTCAAAAAAATTAGCAAGACACCCCCAATAAAGGACTGGTTTTGCAGGTGGTGACCACAGACCACTTCTCAGTTCCTATGCTTCCTGGCTGATGTTTTGGTCACTTTTGAATGCTGGCGGTGCTTTCACTCTAGTGGTAGCATGAGACGGAGTCTACAACCCACACAAGTTGCTCAGGTAGTGCACCTCATCCAGGATGGCACATCAATGCGAGCTGTGGCAAGAAGGTTTGCTGTGTCTGTCAGCGTAGTGTCCAGAGCATGGAGGCGCTACCAGGAGACAGGCCAGTACATCAGGAGACGTGGAGGAGGCCGTAGGAGGGCAACAACCCAGCAGCAGGACTGCTACCCTCCGCCTTTGTGCAAGGAGGAGCAGGAGGAGCACTGCCAGAGCCCTGCAAAATGACCTCCAGCAGGCCACAAATGTGCATGTGTCTGCTCAAACGGTCAGAAACAGACTCCATGAGGGTGGTATGAGGGCCCGACGTCCACAGGTGGGGGTTGTGCTTACAGCCCAACACCGTGCAGGACGTTTGGCATTTGCCAGAGAACACCAAGATTGGCAAATTCGCCACTGGCGCCCTGTGCTCTTCACAGATGAAAGCAGGTTCACACTGAGCACGTGACAGAGTCTGGAGACGCCGTGGAGAACGTTCTGCTGCCTGCAACATCCTTCAGCATGACCGGTTTGGTGGCGGGTCAGTCATGGTGTGGAGTGGCATTTCTTTGGGGGGGGGGGCCGCACAGCCCTCCATGTGCTCGCCAGAGGTAGCCTGACTGCCATTAGGTACTGAGATGAGATCCTCAGACCCCTTGTGAGACCATATGCTGGTGCGGTTGGCCCTGGGTTCCTCCTAATGCAAGACAATGCTAGACCTCATGTGGCTGGAGTGTGTCAGCAGTTCCTGCAAAAGGAAGGCATTGATGCTATGGACTGGCCCGCCCGTTCCCCAGACCTGAATCCAATTGAGCACATCATGTCTCGCTCCATCCACCAACACCACGTTGCACCACAGACTGTCCAGGAGTTGGCGGATGCTTTAGTCCAGGTCTGGGAGGAGATCCCTCAGGAGACCATCCGCCACCTCATCAGGAGCATGCCCAGGCGTTGTAGGGAGGTCATACAGGCAGGTGGAGGCCACGCACACTACTGAGCCTCATTTTGACTTGTTTTAAGGACATTACATCAAAGTTGGATCAGCCTGTAGTGTGGTTTTCCACTTTAATTTTGAGGGTGACTCCAAATCCAGACCTCCATGGGTTGATAAATTTGATTTCCATTGATAATTTGTGTGTGATTTTGTTGTCAGCACATTCAACTATGTAAAGAAAAAAGTATTTAATAAGATTATTTCATTCATTCAGATCTAGGATGTGTTATTTTAGTGTTCCCTTTATTTTTTTGAGCAGTGTACATTAAAAATAGCCACAAATAAAAGAAAAAAATATCAATACTACTTAAAAGCTTGAGTCCCACACACAAGCTAGTCCCAAACCACACCTGGAATATGTTCTTGTGCTGTGGGGCAGGCACTGTGGCTTCAGGCAGGGGACACTACAGCAGGGTTTGCAGGCTGATTGAGCTGTAAAAGGGGTGGAAGAAGGTGCAATAAGACAGCAGTCTTGGTAGTGGACATGCTTTTAAAACCCATCCCACTGGGCATTTTCAGTTGCATACATATTATGCATCAGACCAATTAACGTTGGTTAATAGTTTGTGTTAGACATCCCATTTTTACAATGTCAAATGTCTAAATACTAGAAATGACTGATGTCTTGTATGTAACAATCACAATATTCCATTGGATGACATTACAACCTCTTAATGACGTGACAATTCTAACATTGTAGCATATAGGTCTTGACAGATTAACCAAAAAGCAACATTAATTGATCGTCAGATCTGAACATTTGCCCATTGGGATAGAGAAGAGCATAATATGGCTCAGCCAGATGCAATGAAATAGTCCTGAATGTAGATATACCTCCATGCCCATAGATCTAAGTGACATACATTCACCAGGGCACAAAACCCCAAATGTAACAGGACAATGATAATCCAGTCTAATTTGATATGAAGGATAATGTTAAGGGTTAATGTAAAGAAAATCTGTATGCAATCCTTTGATTGTCATGTGAGTTTAAGTGAATCCAGAACAACCCTTCAAAAGAGGAAGTCTTCAAACTTTACTATACGAATTTGTCCATCACGTTTCTAGACGTACTGACTTTGGTGGTTCGATTTAATGGTTAGGATGTTAGCTTTTCATGCATCATTTGCTTTTGAAAACCTGCATGTAGCACTTACATGGAATGTAAAAGGCCACACTCACAGCAACACATACATGGGTCAGTTTACCGGACTCAAAGTCACCTGAAGCAGCTAGGGCTTAAACATCCAGCTTGACCTGAGCGGCAGCATGCCAACAGGACAGTCAGTGCTTTTTAAACACATTAGCCGAGAGCGGCACACTTACATTGCTGTTCACTTGGTTGTCTTTGGGATGGCTGGGCAGAGTTCCACTTGCCTTCATGCTGCTAACCAACTTGTTGAAGGCTGACATGTCAGGGTCTCTGGCCCGTGAACAAGAGGGCCCTGCACTGGGGCCTACACCGCCTGTTAGAGCCTGCTCCAGGTGCTCAGCCATGAAGGGCGTGCCACTGCTGGTGCTGCCTCCGCCGACGATGCCTCCCTGCTGCTGATTTTGTTGGGCCTTTCGAGGCGTCTGGTGGTGCTGCTGTTGGTGCAGCTCAGAGCCCACTTTCAGCCCCTTCAGCCCCCCCTCTACCTCCTCCAGAGAGAGAACTATGCCCGAGTGAGCTGGGTACAAGACACAGACGGGCAATGTAAATATGCACATATCATGCTAATGCACCAAAACCTACGAACCATCACTCAAGACTATGAGGGAAAATATGACAGGCACCCTCTAACAAATTACCAGTCTCACTTTTAAAACGTTGAACTAGCCACAGAACCTAACCATTTTAACATTTACATTTTAGTCATTTAGCAGACACTCTTATCCAGAGCGACTTACAGTTAGTGAGTGCATAATTTTTTTAAAATAAAATTCATACTGGGAATCGAACCCACAACCCTGGCGTTGCAAACGCCATGCTCTACCAACTGAGCTACACGGGACCTGCGTAGACACATTTTGTAGTAGACTTGCAGCTGGTGTAGTTGACATGGTGGAATTTAGGTACTGGTTATGTGAAGGATGACTCACTGCTCTGCTGTAGCCGTTGCTTGTTGACGTTGAGGCTGGAGAGGAGGGGTTTCAAGTCTATCTTGGCCTTGTGTAACAGCTCCAGGATGTCCACCTTGTCCCTGCGCTCCACTGACTGGATGGGTGTGAAGTAGGGGACAGGGCCCCCCTGGCTAGGGGATGTGCAGCGGGGGTCCAGCCCTGAGGGATGGAGGGGTAAACAATGAATTTCCCAAATTGACAACAGGGGGCAGTTTCCTGGACAAAAATGAAGTTTAGTCGTGTTTAGTTCAGGACTAGGCTTAATCTGTGGCCAGAACAAATATGTGATTTTATGTGTGGTAGTCCTCAACATGTAAAAAAAGCATTACATTTCATATTGTTGTGCAATTATGTTTTTCTAATAAAATTGAACAGAAGGCATCATAACTAAGGAGGCCATAAAAGGGTTTATGCTTGTGAGGATGAATTCTAGATGTTCTCCAGCACAGCAGCCTCTGTGCTAGCCTGGTCCCAGATCTGTTTGTGCAGTCTTGCCAAATCCTATGGTCACTGTCATGCCAATGACCATAGGAGTTGGCAAGACAGCAAACAGATCTGGGGCTGGAATACCAGTGTGTCCATTCCTTACCGGCCAATCTCTCCAGCTCCTCGTGGGGGGTGGAGCGCAGGCTGGAGGAGCGGCTGCCTGAAGGACTCAGGTTACTGGAGAACCACTGGCTGAAACGGCTAGCCGACACAGGGCCCTCCCCCAGAACATCCTCTATCATCTGCAACATAGGGACAGGGGCCGGTCAGAGGCAAGCTGGTGGTCCACAGTGGCAGACTGCTAAAGGGTGGGTGTGAGGTGGCACTTACATTTAGGGCTCTGTCCATCTGCACACTTGGGCTTTTTGTCAGTACTTTGAAAGTATTGTACCCTTCATTCATTGAATCTGTGCTTTATTTCCCTATCCCATATCTATAAAATAGGGCAATGAGCTTCCTTCACCAATCATTTGCAAGGTATTCTAATAAGTGACGTAATAAACTGCAACAGATGGGCATACATTTGCATTAGACAAACCTAACAAAACCACCACACTGGAGAAACCGGTTGGTCCTTACAACAACCTTTGACTGGAGAAAAAAAAATATATAATAATACAGCAAGAAAACATTTTAGAAAGTACGATGTCCTTGACAGGATGACAATACCACCATCACCCATCCAAACAGGCAAAGGACAGTCCCAAGCGATAAAGCCATGAAACAACTAACCTTCAGTGTATGAGAAGACCAAGTGTAGCCAACTACAGACCAATGCGTAGTGCATTTAGAGTTGACGTACAACACATTACTGGACATCCAGCACAGTGCACACCTTATAGCCCCCAAGCACACACCTTAAACATGCAGTGCTACCCAGGACTTACAGAGGCCAGTCCTGGCATGGTCTTCTCCAGGTTGAAGAACTCATTGAAGTCAAAGTCTCCTGATGTCTGCTCTGGTAGGACCTCTGGGTGAGGGACCTCCTGGTCTGCTGTAGAGTGAGAATCCCTCACCACCTGCTCGTGCTCCTCTGCTAGCCCACCGTTACATTCCACTGCTGAACACATTAATGAAACACGCCAATGAATAAACACAGTGCAAACAGACCATCAGGGTAGCTTGCTGGCTTTAAGATAATCTGATAGCTTTTCATGTAAAGTTACATCAGACAATTACATTGATGGAAGCTACAATCTGCAATATTAAACCTGATCTACCCCCTAAAAATTAAAAATGACATCGCTTTACACTGATCACCCACAGCACATGTTTTTGGAGCCCAAAAAACAAATCACATTTATGATATACATTATAAAACTGTAAGAAACGCTACCAAGTGCATATTAATAAACTTTGTTTATCACTTCAGTGGCCATTAGTAGAAACGAAATACACCACTACTCAAAATAAAATAGCAATGCATTACATCCATAAAACTGGGAACCAGGGATGTCAAACTCATTTTGCCCCGGGGGCAGCAGTCGGTCTTCAACGAAGTCCAGAGGGCCGCACTGAAAATGTGATATACTTATTTGCTGACAAAATAAAATAAGTCCTCCATCTATCTATATTTTTGAAATGTCCTATGCTCCCTGACTGTCTAGCTTCCATTTCAGTGATTATTAGGGTGCTGACACAGTCAAGAAATGGTATGAATGTAGGTCCATTACCCTTTCTACACAGTTTTGATTTGGTTTTAGTCATTTTAAAGTACATCGAGTTTGTTTTAAAAACTCAAGCCACCCGCAGGCCGGATTGCACCCAGGCCGTATGTTTGACATCCTTGCTGTAAACCAATGCCACCAGACATCCTTTTTGGGGAACACCAACTCCCATGAGCTCCAATGGTGATTTGATGCAGCATGACTTGCCTTCTCTCACAGAGTCTGTCCTCTTCCTGGAGCGTTTGGGTCTGCGCTTGTCCTCCTCCAGGATCTTGTCATCAAAGCCAATGAGCTCTATGGTCTCCGATTGGCTGGTCGGGCCCCCTGAGAACCACTCAGGCTCCTCCTCCACATACGCGTCATTCCTTCTCCTCTCACTGAACACACGCTTGTCCCCAAAGTCTCGCTGCAGGAAAGAACGGAAGAACTCAGATAAAAAAAAAACTTGAAAAACAAACACTGGTATACACCGAATCTAACATGCTGCTAAATACCATGTGATATATTTAAAGAGAGGAAAGAGTGGAATGTGTACACAGCTCCTGACGAGTGTCATTTAGATTGATTACTGCAAGAAGTAAGCCTCCCATTGAAGCACAATAAATATATATTTTGTGTGTCGGTACATGCAGATAGAATGGCCCTAAAGGGACAACTGGTTGTTTGAATTGAATGCAGATCAGGAAGCAGCAGATAAGACACTAACCCTGAACCTCTTATCCTTAAAGTCCCGCTCCCGTTCTCGCTCCTTCTCCACGCGGGGTTCCCTCTCCCTCCCCATCTCCCTTTCCCTCTCAAAGCCTCGCGCCGCCATGATGCGCCCACTGCCGATGCGCCGCGCCCCACCCAGTCGGAGACTCTCATTCTCCTTATTCTCCAGGGGGCTGACAGGGCGGCGGGTGGGTGCAGGCAAAGCGTTGCCCACACACCCCCCTCCGAAGCTACGACGCTGGGGGCTGAGCACCACATCCAGGTCATCCTCCTTTAGTCGCTCGCGGGGATCTGAGAACAGCATCACAAGAAACAGTTAGCATTCAACATTTACAATAATGCATCACGGTTTATTTTACAAAGAACAGTAAGTGTAAGCAAGGTGGCGCTTCTAAGGACAGCTGTACAAATTTGAGCTCAAAAAAACCCTCAAACCCTTATTGAGTACGATTTAAATAAGTGCATGCCACTGTCATTTGAATATCAACTATGAAAATGATATACTACATTGCTCATTTACCTGCAATTCTACGTTTCAGAGGGATCCTATCGTCCACAAAGTCCTTCTTATATCCATCCACAGGAGAGCTGCACTCTGAGGTGGGGTACAGCGAGGCATGCCACTTCTCAGGGTCCCACACACCATCACTGTGCCCCCCCCCCAAAAAAATAAAAATCACTGTTAAACCAGAGGGACCAACTCAACAGTTGGCATAGAACTACAAAGTGTTGTAGTGCGTCAAATTATTCCAAAGTATGACAATGTAAAAACGCTCACCTGTCAAATTTTTCCAAAAGACAGTCTGGCCTTTCATTAGAGATTGGGAAATATTTTATCTCCAAAAGCTCCTCCTGTAAGAAGAGAAAGATTATGTTAACCCAAGTCCATGAAACACTCCACAAAGGTGCGCAGCTATCGATTTATACTAGCCATGCATTTCCAAATTACCTTTGTGTATCTGTAAGGGGATGGTCCTGTTGATTCCTTGACCACCTCTGTGTCGCCATTCTCATGCACCTCTACACAAGCATCCTTTTCCATGACTATTTCAGGGGGCCAAACGAATGTATAGCTTCTGTTTTAAGATCTTAATAGTGTACCTGTTAAAAAAACGACATACTGTTATGACATAACCCACACAGGCCTACCTACCAAAAGTTTACAATTCATAACCCTAAAAGTTAATTCTATATTGGCGAGGACGCCACTACTGAAAAAGTCTGAATAAAGACTGATATTCTTGTGTAGTAATTTCGAGAAAATATAAAAAAGCAGCACGCAAAGATACATCCCTTTCCTAGCACATTAACGCTAGATATTCGACGTGGCCTGGTGATAAAATCCGACTCTCGACCAACTTGCCAAACTAAGCAGGTCTGGCAACAAGTCATCCATCCATACCTGAACGGCACAGCCAGGTGGCGATTAACCTTCCCAAGCGAGCTAATGACGGCAATCACCAATTTGTAAGTCGCTCTGGATAAGAGCGTAGCCTAAATGATGTAAATGTAATTAGGTAGCCAAATTACGTTGGCAAGCTAGGAAATTGGCGATCATTAGTTAGCAAGCTAGATAATTGAAAGTTGACACACTATCAATCAACTGGAAGTAGCCAGCTAAATTACTAAATCTAAGTTACTAAATCACTAAGAGTTAGGCAAATGTAAGCTGACTCACTAGCTAAAATGTGTAGCTAATTAGCTAGCTGCATCAAATATTCGATGAATGGCTAACAATTAGCTAAACGTTAGCTAGCTACCTAGTTAGTTCAGTTACACGACCGTTGGTGTTGTGTTTGGTTTACTTGGTAGCTAACTAACGCTAGTTATGTAGCTGGCCAACTAGTTAGTATACTTAGATGCCAAAGCGTTGTTAAATTGAGCTAGCTAGCCTGAACGCCGACTTGTTGTGGGATAATTTGATAGCTAAGTTACCCAACTAACGCGTTAGTGTTCACCAATTCAATTGATAAAACGCCGAGTACATAGTCAAGTAACATTAATCAAACAAACACGCCAACATAAGTCACTCTGCATAAGTTCCAGATAATTATACATGTAAAAGGTAACCATTCACTTACAATTATGTTTAGAAACCGTATGAAGCCGACAGATGTTAGCTAGCTAGCTAACCTAGCTCTATGGCTAGTTAGCCAGCTAGCTAGCTGGGGATAAAGCCTTCCAATAAGTGCAAGTTTTTCTAACTAGCTAGGGTAGTTATTTCATCAAAGAGGCAACACCCGTGATATTTCTACGAACACAAATCCAACAGTATACTGGCGTCTTATATTGTCGTAGTAGACTTCTCTTCGTTCTATGTTTCGTCGTAGCAGCGATTTTGCTCTCATCACTGCTTAGTTCGGAACGAATCCTTCGTAGGCTTGATTATATAGTGCCCATCACAAATGCCTTGCGCAACTATTTCGAAATATTATAAATAATTTCTTCAAACCATTACTGTCTTTAACAATGTATATTTTGGCTATGAAAATAATGAATATGTATTTAGATAAAATATCAACGGCTGCTTGTCTTTTATGAGTGAGTCATTTCATATCAGGCATTCTGTATGGTCAGCTAATTGTTGTCATTCCAAAGCGGAGCGATGAAAGTTGATAATGTTCATACTTTCAATGCTTTTTAAAAACAAACTAACCCTTTCCTTGATTGCTAATTTGACACGTAGGCCTGGCCAACTCAACACATCCACCTTTTTATTTCTTAGTAAATTATACCAGTACCCTGTCATGTTAGGGTAAAATTCGCTGTGCTTTACAGCACTCTGAACTGAACGTGTGTTTGTTCATACAGTCACTGTTGGTTTGTACCGAGCAAGTTTGTAAGACAGCATGCGGTCACTGAATAACAAGGGTGCCACCATAAAGATCCGCATCTTTATTTCAATGGGTATGACAGAAGCACCAAACGTTTTGTTAAAAATAAATTAACTTGTTCCCACAAAGCTGGCCAACTTCAACATGATTTCGGTAAAGCTCTGTCTCATCCCATTGGTTTCTTCTTCACCACTAAGGAAGAAGAAACTTCATGAATGGACGGACAATGAGCCTCTCAGCTGATCAAAGGTTGTGCGCGGGGCAACTGCAAAATATACACCTCTGAGAAACCAGCAAGAATAAGCAAGACCAAGGCCATGACCTCGGCGATTTCCCTTCAAAACAAAAGTCCCTCAACGAATTTGGTAAAAAATTATAGAAATTGTCGAAAATCGTAAAATTTTATTAGGAAATGTTAGCAGACTTTGAATTTTGTTTAACAATATCAAAACAGGATTTAGGCCAATTAGCTTGAATGCAGTATGTTCTTCATATTGGACATACATATTGCACCGTACATAATTGCCTGAACGTTGTGTAGCAGTAAAAGGGGGCGTCCATTCTACTCAGGAGCATTTCTAGTTTCCAAATCCACAGAGTTTACACCCCAAGGAGTGTCGTTTCTCAGTTTGCTGCCCTTAAAGAGTTGCCAATCAGCTTAATCCAACACTGTTTTCACATTGGTTATACAGTGCATTCGGAAAGTATTCAGACCCCTTCACTTTTTCAAAATTTTGTTATGTTAAAGCCTTACTCTAAAATTGATGAAATTGTTCCCCCCCCCCTCAATCTACACAAAATAACACATAATGACAAAGCAAAAACTGTTTTTTATAAATTTTTGCAAATGTAATACAAATAAAAAACGGAAATATGACATTTACATAAGTATTCAGACCCTTTACTCAGTACTTTGTTGAAGCACCTTTGGCAATGATTACAGCCTCGAGTCTTGGGTATGACACTACAAGCTTGGCACACCTTTATTTGGGGAGTTTCTCCCATTCTTCCCTGCAGATCCTCTCAAGCTCTGCCAGGTTGGATGGGGAGCGTAACTGCACAGCTATTTTCAGGTCTCTCCAGAGATGTTCGATAGGGTTCATGTCCGGGCTCTGGCTGGGCCACTCAAGGACATTCAGAGACTTCTGCCGAAGCCACTCCTGCGTTGTCTTGGCTGTGTGCTTAGGGTCGCTGTCCTGTTGGAAGGTGAACCTTCGTCCCAGTCTGAGGTCCTGAGCGCTCTGGAGCAGGTTTTCATCAAGGATCTCTCTGTACTTTGCTCCATTAATCTTTCCCTCGATCCTAACTAGTATCTCTGTCCCTGCCACTGAAAAACATCCCCACAGCATGATGCTGCCACCACCATGCTTCACCGTAGGGATGGGATTGGCCAGGTGATGAGCTGTGCCTGGTTTCCTCCAGATGTGATGGTTGGCATTCAGGCCAAAGAGTTCAATGTTGGTTTCATCAGACCAGAGAATCTTTTTTCTCATGGTCTGAGAGTCCGTTAGGTGCCTTTTGGCAAACTCCAAGCGGGCTGTCATGTACCTTTTACTGAAGAATTGCTTCCGTCTGGTCACTCTACCATAAAGGCCTGATTGGTGGAGTGCTGCAGAGATGGTTGTCCTTCTGGAAGGTTCTCCCATCTCCACAGAGGAACTCTGGAGCTCTGTCAGAGTGACCATCGGGTTCTTAGTCACCTCCCTGACCAAGGCCCTTCTCCCCCGATTGCTCAGTTTGGCTGGGCGGCCAGCTCTAGGAAAAGTCTTGGTGATTCCAAACTTCTTCCATTTAAGAATGATGGAGGCCACTGTATTCTTGAGGACCTTCAATGCTGCAGACATTTTTTGGTACCCTTCCCAAGATCTGTGCCTCGACACAATCCTGTCTCAGAGCTCTACGGACAATGCCTTCGACCTCATGGCTTGGTTTTTGCTCTGACATGCACTTTCAACTGTGGGACCTTATATAGACAGGTGTGTGCCTTTCCAAATCATGTCCAATGATGACCAATGGAAACACGATGCACCTGAGCTCAATTTCGAGTCTCATAGCAAAGGGTCTGAATACTTATGTAAATAAGGTTTTTCTTTTTTCTTTTTTTATACATTTGCAAAAAATTATAAAAACACAAATACAGAAAGTTTGTGGGGGGCCCCTGGATACTATATCCCTGGAGACTGTATGGTACAAATATAGCACTGTACCGGAAAAACTATCAATTGTGTCCATAAAACCAGAGTCCAGTCTGCACTTTTGTATTGTAACTTTAATTCCCTGCTGACTGACTAATTCAGGACTATATCTTAATTACAAAGGAATAAATTAACTATTTTAGCTTACTCTTTGTTAGTTTCCAGTATAAAATAAAACACCATTCCATACCAGACTTGCACTCTTGACTTGGAGATGTCAAATTCCTACTATTAGCAGGTGATTAGGTGAGAAGCTAACTGCTAAGGGGTGCAGAGCGAATTGAGGAATCTGGGAGAAAGAGAGCGCGCTTGTTTGAAATGGAGAAGCGTTGCGGTAGCTATTGATAAAGAAGAACATCAACGACGAAGCAGCTGCTGGTTCGTGCTGATTGTACGGAGATTGTGACAGCCGGTTAAATGGCGTCCCTTGACAAGGCAAGAACAAGATGTATATCAGGAGAAGTGCAGTATTATCATAATGAGACGTATACTTGGAATACGGAGGAGGAATGGAGGGGAAAAGAGAGGGAGGAAGAGGGTGAGCTTGAGTCGGTTAAAAATGGCGGGAAAAAGGGAGATGGTTTGTTAAAGAAGAATGGTAGAAAGTGTAAGCAGAGTGAGTTGAAGACAGGAGGAGAAATGGAAGTGAATGAGGGCGAAGTATCAGAGGTGGTAGGTGTGTGAAGTTCTCGGAGCCCGAGGCTTCACCGAGGGTCAGGATAAGAAGATGAGCTGTGTGACAGTAGGAGTGATGTTTTTGGAAAAAGTGGACCCTTGCCTTTTGGCTGATCCATTTGTGGTTTCAGGGGTGGGTGAAAACAGAGTTGGGTGCTGTGGAATCGGTGAGGGTAACCATAATTACATTACTTAAGTCATTAGCAGACGCCTATCAAGCGACTTCAGAGCAATAGGTTGTGCTTTCGCAATGTCATTTAGAGGCTTAGTCCAGAGCACTCCAAATGATGCATGCCCTCCGTGTTTAAATATGGGGCAAGAGATGTGAATTGTTTTTCTCTCAAGAAAAGGGAGCCATTGAAAGGAGTGATTACTGGGGTAGCGGTAAATGTGAAAGCTGACCAACTAAAGGTGAAGATTCCTGGTGTTTGTGATGCTCGTTGTTTGGTGCGATGCAGACAGGGTGGCGTGAGTGGAGAAACAGAAGAGTCATTGTCTGTTCTTTTGAGTTTTAATGTTGAGTCTTTGCCCGACAAAGTGATGTTAGGATATATAAGTTATCATGTATGAGCATTTGTGCCGAATACATTACGTTGTTACAGGTGTCAAGCTTATGGACATGTGGCAGCAGTGTGTAGGAGGGAGGTTCCTAGGTGTGAGAAGTGTGCAGAAGGGCATGAGACAAAGGAATATGTAGCATTGGGGAAAGTAGTGGTATGTGTTAATTGTAGGGGTGCCCATGGGTCTGGGGATCAGAAATGTCCCGTGCGAGAGAGGCAGGTTGAGGTTTCCAGGGTTAGAATAGTGCAGAAGTTGTCATATGCTGAGGCAGTGAAGAAAGTAGAGGAAGATGGGTCAAGGGGGAGGGATCCTGAGAGGAGTGGTGTGAGTAGTAGATCTGTACCAGTACATAGGGATAAACCAACAACATTACATTTACATTTACGTCATTTAGCAGACGCTCTTATCCAGAGCGACTTACAAATTGGTGCATTCACCTATAGCCAGTGGGATAACCACTTTACAATATATATATTTTAAAAAAATTGGGGGGTGGGGTAAGGGGGGGTAGAAGGATTACTTTATCCTATCCCAGGTATTCCTTAAAGAGGTGGGGTTTCAAGTGTATCCGGAAGGTGGTGAGTGACTCCGCTGTCCTGGTGTCGTGAGGGAGCTTGGGGTGCCAGAGCAGCGAAAAGTTTTGACTGGGCTGAGCGGGAACTGTGCTTCCGCAGAGGTAGGGGGGCCAGCAGGCCAGAGGTGGATGAACGCAATGCCCTCGTTTGGGTGTAGGGACTGATCAGAGCCTGAAGGTACGGAGGTGCCGTTCCCCTCACAGCTCCGTAGGCAAGCACCATGGTCTTGTAGCAGATGCGAGCTTCAACTGGAAGCCAGTGGAGTGTGCGGAGGAGCGGGGTGACGTGAGAGAACTTGGGAAGGTTGAACACCAGACGGGCTGCGGCATTCTGGATGAGTTGTAGGGGTTTAATGGCACAGGCAGGGAGCCCACAAGAGATATATGTTTCAGTAAGATTGGATTTTTGGCATTTATAGCAATGGTTATCAACTGTACTGCAGGGATGGAACGTAAGTCACAGAAAATAGAGGTTGTGGTGGCAGCTGCAGAGAGGTATTTAGGTGTACGAGACTTGACATCAGAAGAGTTACAGGGTGTGTTAAGTGGTGGTGTCCCATCCTTTCAAGCTGTTTGCCTGAAGTAGGACTAATAATAATATGCCTATTTAGCAGACGCTTTTATCCAAAGCGACTTACAGTCATGCGTGCATGGGTGGTCCCGGGGATCGAATCCACTACCTTGGCGTTACAAGCGCCGTGCTCTACCAGCTGAGCTACAGAGGACCAGATTAAATAGATTTAAATAGTGGAGTATGGTATTTTTAGTTTTTGACACATTCTTTTTTTGTGAGTGTAGTGTTAGAAGGTAGGGTATTTGTTTTATTTAAAATATATATATTATTATTATTATTATTTATTTTTCAAGCAAAGTACAAGGGAGTTATACTCCAGACTAGTATGTGGTGGTAATGCAACATTTATTGGATGCCAACCGCCGTTAAACCTCATCGAAGAAGAAGCTAAGGGGTGTATCTTGCGCAGTGACGCTCCTCTTCGTGTAAACTCTGTGGATTTGGAAACTACAAGTGCTCCTGAGTAGAATGGACCCCCCGTTTACCATAAAAAAAAAAAAAAACATTTCTTATAGAAATACTTTTCATTATTATTTGTATGATTACTAGTATAAAATATCGATAATTCTGCACATTTTCCAATTATTAATTTACAAAGTATAGAGGACGTGACTGCTGAACGATTACCACACATCCGTGACCCGGAAGTACTTAGTTATTCTTGCCCACTTCACAGAGGTGAAATGTACGTGTGACAGTTATATTTTACAAACAAAACACTGTTTGCCTTTTCTATGATGGTTGTAACGGTTAAATTTGCGTTGTAGACTTGAAACTAGTTAGGGAATGAAGAAAATGTCATGCATGGTACGTTATTCATGTGAAGAGAATGTTAGGGTGATTTCTGTTCGGCTATACCGATGTATTCAGCTAGCTGAATAATTTTCCAATCTTCTGATCGACAGTCAGTGGTAGTAGCTACCTTTCTCAAGTGGTTAGCGCGACAACTGTTGTGGCAATGACTTCGAGAGGTAGAGGAACCCAAAAGTCAAACATAGTTGGTGCAAAAATAACTCCACGCAATGTTATATCTAGTTATAAAGTCGGATACACCTGGAACCGAGGTGGAAGACTCAAGGAGTTGAGAATAAGGTGAGAAGTAGCCCCTCAAATAAACAAGTTGGCCAGATGTAATTATTCAATCGACCATGACTAGAACTCGAAGGCTACAGTCTGTGTTGTCTTTTGTTTAATCACAGCACTAACACACCTGATTATACTATACTGAAGAAAAATATAAACGCAACATGTAAAGTGTTGGTCCCATGTTTCATGAGCTGAAATAAAAGATCCCAGAAATGTTTCATACGCACAAAAAGCTTATTAATCAAATATGTTGTGCCCAAATTTGTTTACGTCCCTGTTAGTGAACATTGTTTCTTTGCCAAGATAATCCTAACGTGTGGCATATCAAGAAGCTGATTAAACAGCATGATCATTACACAGGTGCACCTTGTGCTGGAGACAATAAAAGGCCAAATGTGCAGTTTTGTCACACAACACAATTGGCATGCTGACTGCAGGAATGTCCACCAGAGCTGTTGCCAGAGAATTTAATGTTAATTTCTCAGCCATAAGCCGCCTCTAACGTCGTTTTAGAGAATTTGGCAGTACGTCCAACAGGCCTCACAACCGCAGACCACGTGTAACCACGCCAGCCCAGGACCTCCACATCCGGTGTCTTCACCTGCGGGATCGTCTGAGACCAGCCACCCGGACAGCTGATGAACTGAGGAGTATTTCTGTCTGACTGGGCCTGGCTTCCCAGTGGATGGGCCTGGTGCCCAAGTGGGTGAGCCCACCGTTGGGCGGGCCCACCCCACCCATGGTTGGGCAGGCCCACACATGGTTGCGCCCCTGCCCAATAATATGAAATCCATAGATTAGGGCCTAATGAATTGATTTAAATTGACTGATTTCCTTATATGAACTGTAACTCACTAAAATCGTTGAAATTGTTGCACGTTAAGTTTATATTTTTGTGAAGTATATTTAAGGTATGTTTAGTGCTGGGCTGGAATGAAAGCCTGCACACAACGCCCCTCCATGACTCGAGTTGTCCATCCCTGATATCAAACTCTGTCTTCCAGGCACCTTGCACGGAAGTTCCTCAAACTATGGATGCAGAAGACCTTTGGACGTGTTCATCCTTACAAAGCCAGGTGCACTTTCTCAGTCTTGTGGCGGAATAGCCAGATCACATCACTGCTTGAATTTATAATCGATTACAATGTCAAATAGTGGGAAAATAACATTGGTAAAGCTCTTGATGCAATGCAGTGCTTGACTTGGACTGAAATAGGTGCCAGTACTCATTTTGGGTGGCGGTACTGTTTGCATTTAGGTGCAGGAGCTCCTAAATACTTTTTAGCAGGAGCTTAACCAGTAGAACATTTGAGGTGCCAGTACTCCGCGCCGGTGAGCTCCTGCCCAAGTCAAGCACTGATGCTGTGAATATATCCACTGTGTGTAGCCTGAGTTCTCTAACTGGAAGACTGTTACCTTCTCCAATCTCTAGGTCTCACCATCGCAGAGTGGTGCTACAGCGAGCTCAGGGGGGCTGGAAGGATGAGTGGTGGACAGCCAGGAGGGAGTGGAGCCTCACAGTGAGGGCAGAGTGCCATTACAGGTCAGTGTCTAGCTCTAACCTCTGCTGCTCAGTTGTGGGGTGACCATACATACCCATCAGTACTTACGGACAAAGTCTGTTGGTTGAAATGACGTTATTACAACCTTGAGATCTGGTTGTAATGACGTCATTGCAACCAGCTATGCCTGCTGGGTTATACAGTGCCTTCAAAAGTATTCATACCCCTTGACTTATTCCACATTTTGTTGTGTTACAGACTGAATAAAATAAAACAGTTCTCACCCATCTACACACAATACCCCATATTAGAATTTTTAGCAAATTTATTGAAAATGAAATACTCTACTCATTTACATAAATATTCACACCCCCGAGTCAATACTTTGTAGAAGCATCTTTGGCGGCAATTACAGCTTTGAGTCGTCTTGGGTATATCTTTATCAGCTTTGCACATCTGGATTTGGGGATTTTCTCCCATTCTTCCTTGCAGATTCTCAAGCTCTGTTAAGGTAGATGGAGAGGGTCGGTGAACCGCAATCTTCATGTCTTTCCACAGATTTTCAACGCAATTCAAGTCTGGGCTTTGGCTGGGCCACTCAAGGACTTTCACATTCTTGTTCTGAAGCCATTCCAGCGTTGCTTAGGGTCATTGTCCTTATAGAATGTAAATCTTCGCCCCAGTCTAAGGTCAATTTTACTCTTTAGCAGGTTCTCATCAAGGATTTGCCTGTATTTGGCATTCATTGTTCCCTCTATCCTTACCAGTCTCCCAGTCCCTGCCACTGAAAACACATCCCCATAGCATGATGCTGCCACCACCATGCTTCACGGTAGGAATGGTGTTAGACGGGTGATGGCCTGTGCCTGGTTTTCTCCAGACATAGCGTTTTGCATCCAGGCCAAAGAGTTCAATTTTTGTCTCATCAGGCCACAGAATCTTTAGCCTTATGATCTCAGAGTCTTTCATGTGCCTTTTTGCAAACCCCAGGTGTGCAGCCCTTCCCTTTTTCTCAGGAGTGGCTTCCGTCTGGCCACGCTCACATAAAGCCCAGATTGGTGAAGTGCTGTAGAGACTGTTGTCCTTCTGAAAGGTTCTCCCATCTCAGCCAAGGAACTCTGTAGTTCTGTCAGTGGTCATTGGGTTCTTGGTCACCTCCCTGACCAAGGTCCTTCTTGCCCGGTTGCTCATTTTGGTCGGACGGCCAGCTCTAGGCAAAGTCTGGGTAGTTCTTTTTTTTTTTCAATTTCCCAAAGATGGAGACCACTGTGCACTTGGAAACTTTCAACAATCAAAATGTTTTATACCCTTCCCCAGATATGCCTCATCACAATTCTATCTAGGAGATCTACGGACAGTTACTTGGACTTCATGGTATAGTTTCTGCTCTGACATGCACTGTCAACTGTGGTACCTTTTTATATAGACACTTGTGTTTCTTTCTAAATCATGTCCAAACAATTGAATTGGCCACAGGTTGACTCCATCACCCATATACAGTGGGGGAAAAAAGTATTTAGTCAGCCACCAATTGTGCAAGTTCTCCCACTTAAAAAGATGAGGCCTGTAATTTTCATCATAGGTACACGTCAAGTATGACAGACAAATTGAGAAAAATCACATTGTAGGATTTTTAATGAATTTATTTGCAAATTATGGTGGAAAATAAGTATTTGGTCACCTACAAACAAGCAAGATTTCTGGCTCTCACAGACCTGTAACTTCTTCTTTAAGAGGCTCCTCTGTCCTCCACTCGTTACCTGTATTAATGGCACCTGTTTGAACTTGTTATCAGTATAAAAGACACCTGTCCACAACCTCTAACAGTCACACTCCAAACTCCACTATGGCCAAGACCAAAGAGCTGTCAAAGGACACCAGAAACAAAATTGTAGACCTGCACCAGGCTGGGAAGACTGAATCTGCAATAGGTAAGCAGCTTGGTTTGAAGAAATCAACTGTGGGAGCAATTATTAGGAAATGGAAGACATACAAGACCACTGATAATCTCCCTCGATCTGGGGCTCCACGCAAGATCTCACCCCGTGGGGTCAAAATGATCACAAGAACGGTGAGCAAAAATCCCAGAACCACACGGGGGGAACTAGTGAATGACCTGCAGAGAGCTGGGACCAAAGTGAGCTGGGACCAAAGTAACAAAGCCTACCATCAGTAACACACTATGCCGCCAGGGACTCAAATCCTGCAGTGACAGACGTGTCCCCCTGCTTAAGCCAGTACATGTCCAGGCCCATCTGAAGTTTGCTAGAGTGCATTTGGATGATCCAGAAGAGGATTGGGAGAATGTCATATGGTCAGATGAAACCAAAATATAACTTTTTGGTAAAAACTCAACTCGTCGTGTTTGGAGGACAAAGAATGCTGAGTTGCATCCAAAGAACACCATACCTACTGTGAAGCATGGGGGTGGAAACATCATGCTTTGGGGCTGTTTTTCTGCAAAGGGACCAGGACGACTGATCCGTGTAAAGGAAAGAATGAATGGGGCCATGTATCGTGAGATTTTGAGTGAAAACCTCCTTCCATCAGCAAGGGCATTGAAGATGAAACGTGGCTGGGTCTTTCAGCACACCGCCCGGGCAACGAAGGACTGGCTTCGTAAGAAGCATTTCAAGGTCCTGGAGTGGCCTAGCCAGTCTCCAGATCTCAACCCCATAGAAAATCTTTGGAGGGAGTTGAAAGTCCGTGTTGCCCAGCGACAGCCCCAAAACATCACTGCTCTAGAGGAGATCTGCATGGAGGAATGGGCCAAAATACCAGCAACCGTGTGTGAAAACCTTGTGAAGACTTACAGAAAACGTTTGACCTGTGTCATTGCCAACAAAGGGTATACAGTGGGGAAAAAAAGTATTTAGTCAGCCACCAATTGTGCAAGTTCTCCCACTTAAAAAGATGAGAGAGGCCTGTAATTTTCATCATAGGTACACGTCAACTATGACAGACAAAATGTTTTTAAAAAATCCAGAAAATCACATTGTAGGATTTTTAATGAATTTATTTGCAAATTATGGTGGAAAATAAGTATTTGGTCACCTACAAACAAGCAAGATTTCTGGCTCTCACAGACCTGTAACTTCTTCTTTAAGAGGCTCCTCTGTCCTCCACTCGTTACCTGTATTAATGGCACCTGTTTGAACTTGTTATCAGTATAAAATACACCTGTCCACAACCTCAAACAGTCACACTCCAAACTCCACTATGGCCAAGACCAAAGAGCTGTCAAAGGACACCAGAAACTAAATTGTAGACCTGCACCAGGCTGGGAAGACTGAATCTGCAATAGGTAAGCAGCTTGGTTTGAAGAAATCAACTGTGGGAGCAATTATTTGGAAATGGAAGACATACAAGACCACTGATAATCTCCCTCGATCTGGGGCTCCATGCAAGATCTCACCCCGTGGGGTCAAAATGATCACAAGAACGGTGAGCAAAAATCCCAGAACCACACGGGGGGACCTAGTGAATGACCTGCAGAGAGCTGGGACCAAAGTAACAAAGCCTACCATCAGTAAAACACTACGCCGCCAGGGAATCAAATCCTGCAGTGCCAGACGTGTCCCCCTGCTTAAGCCAGTACATGTCCAGGCCCGTCTGAAGTTTGCTAGAGTGCATTTGGATGATCCAGAAGAGGATTGGGAGAATGTCATATGGTCAGATGAAACCAAAATAGAACTTTTTGGTAAAAACTCAACTCGTCGTGTTTGGAGGACAAAGAATGCTGAGTTGCATCCAAAGAACACCATACCTACTGTGAAGCATGGGGGTGGAAACATCATGCTTTGGGGCTGTTTTTCTGCACAGGGACCAGGACGACTGATCCGTGTAAAGGAAAGAATGAATGGGGCCATGTATCGTGAGATTTTGAGTGAAAACCTCCTTCCATCAGCAAGGGCATTGAAGGTGAAACGTGGCTGGGTCTTTCACCATCACAATGATCCCAAACACACCGCCCAGCCAATGAAGGAGTGGCTTCGTAAGAAGCATTTCAAGGTCCTGGAGTGGCCTAGCCAGTCTCCAGATCTCAACCCCATAGAAAATCTTTGGAGGGAGTTGAAAGTCCGTGTTGCCCAGCGACAGCCCCAAAACATCACTGCTCTAGAGGAGATCTGCATGGAGGAATGGGCCAAAATACCAGCAACAGTGTGTGAAAACCTTGTGAAGACTTACAGAAAACGTTTGACCTGTGTCATTGCCAACAAAGGGTATATAACAAAGTATTGAGAAACTTTTGTTATTGACCAAATACTTATTTTCCACCATAATTTGCAAATAAATTCATAAAAAATCCTACAATGTGATTTTCTGGATTTTTTTTTCTCATTTTGTCTGTCATAGTTGACGTGTACCTATGATGAAAATTACAGGCCTCTCTCATCTTTTTAAGTGGGAGAACTTGCACAATTGGTGGCTGACTAAATACTTTTTTCCCCCACTGTATAACAAAGTATTGAGAAACTTTTGTTATTGACCAAATACTTATTTTCCACCATAATTTGCAAATAAATTCATTAAAAATCCTACAATGTGATTTTCTAGATTTTTTTTTTTCCTCATTTTGTCTGTCATAGTTGACGTGTACCTATGATGAAAATTACAGGCCTCTCTCATCTTTTTAAGTGGGAGAACTTGCACAATTGGTGGCTGACTAAATACTTTTTCCCTCCACTGTATCTCAAGGATGATCAAAGGAAATTGGATGCACCTGAGCTCAATTTGGAGTGTCATAGCAAAGGGGTGTGAATACTTATGTAAATGACATATTTCTATATTTCATTTTCAATAAATTAGCAAAAATTTCTATAAACATGTTTTCACTTTGTCATTATGGGGAATTGTGTGTGTATATGGGTGAGAATTTTTTAATCCATTTGAATTCAGGCTGTAACACAACAACATGTGGAATAAGTCAAGGGTAGGGCTGTGGCAGTCATGTCATTTTGTCAGCTGGTTATTGTCATGCAAAAGACTGCCAGTCTCACGGTAATTTACCGTTAATTAACATAAACACGTTTAGTATCTCCAGGCCTCCACGCATACAAGCCGCTGATGCGTGCCTTTTGAACATCTACATTTAGAAAAGTCTAATAAATCAATTTAATGTACACCATCACATAAATCCATTATTTTAGTCAGGTCTAAAGAAACATGATATGAAGAAAATTTATTTCAGAAGAACAGAATATGAGTAGGTCTACTGTAGGCCTATGTTATCTGGCTATGCTCCATGCTATAGGCTGTAGGCTTGTTCATTTAGCAGACAAGATATGCTTAGAAGACCCGTGCCATTATGTTAAATGATTTTTATAATGAGAAGAGTTTAAAAAAGAAAAAGATGACATCAATTACAAAAATTTAATTTAAAAAATGTAAACAGGTGAAAGGAGAAGTGATTGAATCTACACAATCACATTGGCCCACTTAGCTGAATAAAATAGAAAGGATATTTTTCCCATTACGGAGTGAGTGTGCATATGAAGTGGCTATGTTGAGCGTAAAAGGAATAATTTGAAACAGGTCCTATATGCTAGATTTAGAGTTATTTGGCAACTTTAGTTGTGAATGATACAAACCTTAGAATGTCTTCGAAATCAAAACATATATGGGCTGCATGGTGTGACTATAGGCTATTGATGATTTGAGAAAGGATTTAAAAAAATGCTTCTGCTCTGTTCCTTGCCTCAGGCTGCACAGCTGTTCTCTCATCAACTGATCATATTTTCACCCATCAGACTATTCTCAATGTAATCTTGTCTTTACTCAAATGTAAAATTAGTTTAGATTTAGAATGTCCCATTATCAAATGGGCAGGGGAAAAATACATGTAATCTGTATGCACTCGAATAGCGAATGGAGGCCACGCGCTTTCCCACCGGTCTGTTTTGTAGGCTACTTCGGTTTTATAACGGAGCTGTGCTTAATATGAGCAGCTGAGAAATAAATAATAGAACACTTATTTCACTCCACGCACCAACCACTGTTTGAGGAGCATGCTCTCGCTGCCCGACAGGTGATATTCCGCCAAAACTGTATGCCATGGGCTCTCCAACCTTGTTCCTGCAGCTACCCAGTGCTTAATTTGGGAAACCAAGTGAAATCTGTTTGGGAACATCGATAGTAACATGCATGCTCGAGAAAGGAATAAAGGAGAGGAGGAGATGGAAACACATGGTGGTGAGATATTCTGTATAGCTAAAAGGTAATGTGTCACTCAATTAATTATGAAAATATAAAAGAATGCTCTATTACTAGGCTATTCAAATACAAATTCACTAATTGTAGGCTAACTGTAAGCCGCCTTGCACAATCAATGAACCAACAGCATCGCCTAGGGCTATACGTTCTCTCCCAGACTCATGGACATAAATGTTTGGAGGGTAGCATAAGGTAACAAGTCCATCCAGTATGCGTAATAATACAATCCACACTCAAAGGCTAGACCAATTATGTACCAAGGACATCTTAAATCAGTTTTGTTGGATGCTTTTCTGCAATGTGTAATATGCGGTAGACTATGGTCGTGGTCAAAAGTTTTGAGAATGATACAAATATAAGTTTTTATGATGGCAATTTGCATATACTCCAGAATGTTATGAAGAGTGATCAGATGAATTGCAATTAATTGCAAAGTCCCTCTTTGCCATGAAAATGAACTTAATCCCCCCAAAAACATTTCCACTGCACCTCTGTAGCTCAATTGGTAGAGCATGGCGTTTGTAATGCCAGGGTAGTGGGTTCGATCCCCGGGACCACCCATACGTAAAAATGTATGCACACATGACTGTAAGTCGCTTTGGATAAAAGCGTCTGCTAAATGGCATATTATTATTATTATTATTTCAGCCCTGCCACAAAAGGACCAGCTGACATCATGTCAGTGATTCTCTCGTTAACACAGGTGAGAGTGTTGACGAGGACAAGACTGGAGATCACTCTGTCATGCTGATTGAGTTAGAATTTAAAAGGAGGGTGGTGCTTGAAATCATTGTTCTTCCTCTGTTAACCATGGTTACCTGCAAGGAAACACGTGCCGTCATCATTGCTTTGCACAAAAAGGGCTTCACAGGCAAGGATATTGCTGCTAGTAAGATTGCACCTAAATCAACCATTTATTAGATCACCAAGAACTTCAAGGAGAGCGGTTCAATTGTTGTGAAGAAGGCTTCAGGGCGCCCAAGAAAGTCCAGCAAGCGCCAGGACCGTCTCCTAAAGTTGATTCATCTGCGAGATCGGGGCACCACCAGTACAGAGCTTGCTCAGGAATGGCAGCAGGCAGGTGTGAGTGCATCTGCACGCACAGTGAGGCGAAGACTTTTGGAGGATGGCCTGGTGTCAAGAAGGGCAGCGAGGAAGCCACTTCTCTCCAGGAAAAACATCAGGGACAGACTGATATTCTGCAAAAGATACAGGGATTAGACTGCTGAGGACCGGGATAAAGTCATTTTCTCGGATGAATCCCCTTTCCGATTGTTTGGGGCATCCGGAAAAAAGCTTGTCCGGAGAAGACAAGGTGAGCGCTACCATCAGTCCTGTGTCATGCCAACAGTAAAGCATCCTGAGACCATTCATGTGTGGGGTTGCTGCTCAGCCAAGGGAGTGGGCTCACTCACAATTTTGCCTAAGAACACAGCCATGAATAAAGAATGGTACCAACACATCCTCCGAGAGCAACTTCTCCCAACCATCCAAGAACAGTTTGGTGACTAACAATGCCTTTCCAGCATGATGGAGCACCTTGCCATAAGGCAAAAGTGATAACTAAGTGTCCCGGGGAACAAAACATCAACATTTTGGGTCCATTGCCAGGAAACTCCCCAGACCTTAATCCCATTGAAAACTTGTGGTCAATCCTCAAGAGGCGGGTGGACAAAATCCAAGCATTGATTATGCAAGAATGGGCTGCCATCAGTCAGCATGTGGCCCAGAAGTTAATTGACAGCATGCCAGGGCAGATTGCAGAGGTCTTGAAAAAGAAGGGTCAACACTGCAAATATTGACTCTTTGCATAAACTTAATGTAATTGTCAATAAAAGCCTTTGACACTTATGGATGCTTGTAATTATACTTCAGTATACCATAGTAACATCTGACAAAAATATCTAAAAACACTGAAGCAGCAAACTTTGTGAAGACCAATACTTGTGTCATTCTCAACAACAACAAAAATGTTGGGCTTGGCCTCATAGGCCTATGTATAAGCTCTATGGGTGTTTTGAATTAATCATTACCTTAGAAAGCGCTGTCCATTTCGTTGTGTTATGCTTTGAAACAACATCCCCACAACCATGTTTTACACTGTTTCAACCTGCTGTTGAACTTCTTCTTCCAAAGCATGTCCAGAGTGCATAAAAGGAGCTTACCTTGACTCAATGGTCACGTGTGGCAGTAATATGGTCACCGCAACCGCCCTAGTCAAAGGGTATGAATACTTTCCGAAGGCACTGTATGTCAGCCAGCAATAGTTTGGCCAATGTGGAAGCTGATGATGCTGTCTTTCCTGTGTTGTAGGTATTACCTGTATAACCAGGTGTTTCATGGCTGGCAGAGGTTTGTGTCTTTGCAGAAGGAGGAGAAGAGGAGACTCCAAAAAGCAATATGTTTTGGTATGGACTGGCTTGTGTGGTTTTGGTACTGATCTAGGTGAATGTCTCCATCCTGACAATGATGGACCCCAGCAGTAGTGGCTGGCAGGTCATGTTATGAGTCACAGCAGTAATTAGAGTTTATCCTGTATGCCAGCTGAGAGGCGGTGTCAGCGTGTGGCCTGGGACAGCTTGGGAAGTGTACATAGAGATGAGGAGGATGAAACACAGGATGCAAGAATCTGCTCTTCAGTTCCGGAAACTCACAGCTCTACGGTGAGGCATTATGAGTGAATCAGGAACAATACACTGACTAAGTCACTGGGAGGTTAGTGAACTAACGGCATACACAGTCATTGCATGAGTGATTTATATGTGTGTTTGACAATTTGATTAATTGTAAGTGAAAGGGGAGGGGGCAGCCTGTGTTAATGCTGATGTATGTTTCCGCCAATACAGTTGGATGTGGACTGTGTGGCAGAGTGCGCTGCAGAGGAGATATGATTCCTGTGCTATGGAGGACCAAGCACTGCAGCACTGGGCTCTGATGCTACAGGGCAGAGTGAGTAGAGCAGATCTTATACATCCCACACATATCTGTACTATTCCCTAGGTGTTGGTTAATTAAAATGTTCAATTTTATGTGATTAACCTCTAAGCCAGGGGTGGGGGAGTTGTACTAAGCTAACATATGGAATTGTTTTAAGATGGTCATACCATGGATCATTTAGCTATTTTATTTTGAATTTTAAGACCCCTTTAGGTATCAAAAAAATATGTTAAATTATTTGATAAAATATCAAATTTGGCCTTTACTACTATAGCCCATAGAAACGCATTGAATAACACATTCATAAATGGCAAAGACAGTCAAAAAATAAATAATAAGAAGTGTCTGTCCTATAAGAAAGCTCAGGAAATATTTGAGTTTTTTTGGACACATATTTAACCCTTTATTTTTGTTGGCACAAAACTACCTCCATACTTCCATTCATTTGTATGGGTTACCTTCAGATGAGTCACGTGACACTTGTGGGGGTCGTAGAGCAAAATGGAGAACACCATCGTGAGAGTCTCCCCTTTCCATAGAGTGGTCATAATAGTTTCTAGGCCCAACTATTTTCGTGAGAAGACCGATTTTCAGGATGTCTCATGGTCTGACAAACACAGCTGTAGCTCGGGCCCCTTCCAACAGAGGCGGATAAGGTGAATTGCGATGCAAAAAACCTGATATCTCTAGTTTAAACTGACGGATTTTGATGGGGGTTTAAAAAAATTTAATTACTTAGATTGACGCATGGGTGTGTCAATAGACTCTTAAGGATTTGAACATGTATGTTTGTGTTGTGTCTTAGGCATGGCTTCAGTGGAGAGAAGTGTACATGCTCGCCTGTAGTTGGAGAGAGAGGGAGTCCAAGGCTTCACGGCACTACATTCATGCGCGGAAAAGAAAGGCGCTTTGTGGCTGGATCAGCTATGTTCACCTCCGCCAAACTAAGAGGAAACCACAAGGTCCCATCTTCTGTTAATCTGTTTATCATGTGTACTGTTGGTCTTCTGTCACAATCATTGGAGGACATTGGTCTAGGATTAAACACTTTTTCAGAAACATACTGTATATTGACAAATTTAGACCATTTTAGATGGTCTCAAAAACGAACAACAAACTCTCAAACCCTGCCAGTGGTCCTCTAGAACTTACAGTGAAAAACACTACTAACATTCCCGAGTGGCGCAGCGGTCTAAGGCACTGCATCTCAGTGCTTGAGGCGTCACTACAGACCCCCTGGTTCGATTCCAGGCTGAATCACAACCGGCCGTGATTGGGAGTCCCATAGGGCAGCGAACAATTGGCCCAGCGTTGTCCGGGTTTGGCCGGTGTAGGCCGTCATTGTAAATAAGAATTTGTTCTTAACTGACTTGCCTAGTTAAATAAAGGTTAAATAAAAATAAATACAAAATACAAAATTACACCTGCTTCTGTTGTCATTATCCTTCGTATATATTTGTTTACCTCCTGTGTTTCAGATGTTGCAGTGCGAGCCTGGCAACTCCAGTTGGTCAGGAGGTATTGGTTTGTGTGGAGAAGTGGACTACAGAGCAGACAGAGAGAGGTGGACAGAGGGCAGGCTTCTTATAGACTGGCACAACGCAGCACACAGCGCAGGGCACTGGAGCGCTGGAGACACTGTATCCTACTACACACACACTCATTGTAAAACACCAGAGCCTGGTGTGGAGTCACACACTACTGCAAGAACAGCATAAGACAATCCTCAACTTTTCTCATACACTGCAACATCATACTTTTCTGAATTTATTTGAACATTTCCTGAGCTCCTGTTCAGACATGAGGATGTGCATGCAGGAGTCTGAAAGAGACCAGACTGCAAGTCAACACCAACACTGCCATCTACTGGTAAGATGGAGGAGCACTGATCTGATGAATGTTTTATGGACAGCCATAGAGACAGGTTACTGTACCATAGAGCAGTGTTTCCCAACCCTGGTCCTCCAGTACTGTTGGGGGTACTTGAGAACTGGAGTTGGGAACCACTGCCATAGAGTATTCCTTAATTCTCTCACTCCAACTTGTTCTGTCTACTACAGCACACTGGATTAAGAAGTCTGACCCTCAATGTCACTCGGAGCAAAACTTATCGACTCAACAAGAACATCGCTGTCCAGCATCATCATCACATTGTAACTGTTATTATACTGTAGCTAATATCCATGAAGTCACACAGTATTAGTATCGTTACAAATGTTCTAACAGTACAGAGTAAGTATGACACCCAATTAGTGTTTTTCAAACATCATTTTTGTGTGTGTTTTCTGTAGATTACATGCAGATATTGGAGACTCTGGCAGCAACGTCTTGAGGAAGCTGAAGATCAGGGACTTCAGCCACAGATGCAGATTGCACTGACCCACCACAGGTACACATACAAACACACAGTTATGAATTGATGATACACTTTCTCTCATAAGTAATGTTTTTCTGATCTCATTAATGCCATCTTTTGACAGCACTGCACTGCAGAGCAATTGCTTGCGCCACTGGAGAGAGCAGCTTGTTGAGCACAGACACATGCAGGTACACACACGCGTACACACACGTACACACACACACACAGACACACACACTCTTACATTCCACTCATTGGCATTGTGTGGACTGTGTGTGGTTGTAGATGCTGGAGCGTCGTGCTGAGGCCTGGTTTGCTGACCACATCTTGCCACAGTGTCTTGACTCATGGGTTGAGTTTACCTGCCAGAGGAGACAGCACAGGGAGAGGACAGAGACTGCACAACTCCATAATCAGTGAGTCCCATCCTGTTTCTGACCTAGTCATGATCTAAAATCAGATGTCACTTGTCTGATCCTAGATCAGCGCTACGACTATAAGATGCTTTGGGGGCCGATTCAGACTTTTTTACGCATTTTGATTTAAGCACTTCTAAGTATTTAGTATTCAGACTTATGCGCATGTGTAACGAGGTTTGTGGGTGTTGCTCTCTTGCACGCATTGAATATATTTAAATAAATCCTAGAAAACACCCACTGGGTGCGTACCAATTTGATCAGGGAGTGTTTCTTCAATTGGTTTTTCAGTTAATTTCTCTAAAGCAATCCCTTTAAATACTGGTACCTTTTAATTTGAATCTGATTGGCACAACATTAGAATGTAGCCTATGGAGAATACCTTCAGAATGGAGATAAATGAAAAATAGTCATCAAAACATATGCATATTTATCTCAGTTTTAGAACACAATATGTATTATTAAGGACGTTTTTATGAACCCTAGGCTACTTAATGGAAAAATAGGGTTTGGAGAGCCTTCAGGCACGAAAAAAAAAAACGGTGGATTCATTCTGAAAATTGCCACATTCAGTTCTTCAACCCATGGTAATGTTGGAAGATGAATTATAATAGGGAGAATAGTGTACAATAATAGTATACACTGGCCTATTGCCTGCACTGACATGGAACTGTGTGATGACACGGCCAAGGATTGTGCCTTGCGTCAGGTTCAAACTGTTACGTCTTGGACTGCGCTCATAATGATTTAATTAGCCAACCTTTTTTTACTTTAAATATGATAAACTATTACTAGTGATCTTCAGCAACAACCACACGGACGTGACAGCATTTACAGAGGAAGCAAATAAAGGTAAATTAAACAATGTAATGAAATGCAATGATACGAACCGTACCAACTGAAGGGAACTAACAGTTGAATATGTGTGGTTATTACTGACGGTCGATACTGATAGTGGGTAATATTTAACATGATAGAAATAGTAGGAAACAGAAAGTTGGGGCATATAATTAAAACATTAGAGAGTGCCCAAAGGTCAAATTTTGCGCGGCTGTCATTACGCAATGCTTAGGCCATACAATTACAATTATGCATAAGGTCACAGCATTTTATACTTCACTGTGGGAAAGGGGCGGAAATGCCTGTCATGTTGATATGCTTTTCAGTTTGCGTCCATGACTGGTTTCACATTAGTCTCCAGCGATCAGAAGGAAAAATCATCTAAAACAATTGCTATTTGTATGTACAATCCCCTTCCAAACGGATTACTCATTTACCTAGCTCTTATCAATAGTGATGAGGGAAAACATTTAAACAGTTACATATCGTGATATATATACATTTTTTGGTTGCTCTAGCTAGCGCTAATCAGCTGTACCAGCTCCAAAACTCCGGTATTTTCCATCCTATAGCTTGTTGTCCATCTTCTTTTAAAATATTGAGCCAGCATGTTTTCAGCACTTTTTTATTTCCATGACTGATCAAAACTCCTTTTTTTATGCTCTCTCTTGTGCCTCTGCAGCAAACATACAGAGCAATATGTTTGGAGCATGAACTTGCAATAAAATTGCAGTATCAAATCACAATACATATAGAATTGTGAGAATAGGCATACATATTCTATGGGCACCTAAGTATTGTGATAATATCATATTGTGAGGTTCCTGGCAATTCCCAGCCCTACTTATCAATAGCTCTTATTAATTAATAAATTACAGTGCATGGAGAATGCTGTTATTTCTATCTGAAAAAGGAAAGTAGGCCTAGATGTTTTTCCACTTGGAACCGAAAGGTTCGCTAGACCTAGGGCTGTTGCGGTGACCGTATTACTGCCACACAGGCAGTCAGGAGTCATGACTGCAGTAAAATTCCACGTGACTGTTGACATCAATGCAAATGCAATTGAAAATCACATAAAACACTTATCATCAAAACAGTATACTATAGTACTTTTAAAACTCACCTCACTGTGATGATCAATTTGAAGAAAGAAGTTCAACAGCAGGTTTAAACTGTGTAAAACCTGGTTGTTGTGGATGTTGTTTCAAAGCCTAACAAAACGAAATGGACAGCGTTTTCTAAGGTGACGATTAATTCAAAACTCCATACGCATATTAGAGCTTATGAGGCCAAGCCTTTATATTTTCATAATTAATTGGGTGACACATGACCTTTTAGCTATACAGAATATCTTACCACCATGTGTTTACATCTCCTCCTCTCTCTCCTTTATTCCTTTCTCGAGCATGCAGACGGGCTGTCAACAGTTTAGTGAAATATGTTTTGTTGCGAAAACAACATGTTACTATCGATGTTCCCAAACAGATTTAACTTGGTTTCCCAAATTAAGCACTGGGTAGCTGCAGGAACAAGGTTGGAGAGCCCATGGCATACAGTTTTGGCGGAATATCACCTGTCGGGCAGCGAGAGCATGCTCCTCAAACAGTGGTTGATGCATGGAGTGAAATAAGTGTTCTTATATTTCTCAGCTGCTCATATTAAGCACATGCTCTGCTATAAAGCCTACAAAACAGACCTGTGTGAAAGCGCACGGCCTCCATTCGCTATTCGAGTGCATACATATTACATGTATTTTTGCCCCTGCCCATTTGATAATGGCCATTCTAAATCTAAACTAATTTTATTTATTTGTAAAGATTAAATTGAGAATAGTCTGATGGGTGAAAATATGATCACTTGATGAGAGAACAGCTGTGCAGCCTGAGGCAAGGAACAGAGCAACACTTTAAAAAATACATTCTCAAATCATCAATATAGTTGCACCATGCCACCCATATATGTTTTGATTTCTAAGACATTCTAAGATTTGTATCATTCACAACTAAAGTTGCCAAATAACTCTAAATCTAGCAAATAGGACCTGTTTCAAATGATCACTTTGACGCTCAACATAGCCAATTCATATGTGCAGTCGCTCCGTAATGGGAAAAATATCATTTATATTTTATTCAGCTAAATTCAATTATATTCTTCTTACTATAAAATAATATAAAACAAAATAATGGCACATGACTTCTAAGCATATCGTGTCTGCTAAATGAACAAGCCTACAGCCTATAGCATGGAGCATAGCCAGATAACATAGGCCTACAGTAGACCTACTCATATTCTGTTCTTCTGAAATACATTTTCTTCATATCATAATGTTTCTTTAGACCTGACTAAAATAAATAATGGATTTATTGTGATGGTGTATATTACATTGATTTAGTAGACTTTTCTAAATGTATATGTTCCAAAGGCATGCATCAGCGGCTTGTATGCGTGGAGGCCTGGAGATACTAAACGTGTTTATGTTACAGTGAGGAAAAAAAGTATTTGATCCCCTGCTGATTTTGTACGTTTGCCCACTGACAAAGACATGGCGGCAGGTAGCTTAGTGGGTAAGAGCGTTGTGCCAGTAACCGAAAGGTCGCTGGTTCTAATCCCCGAGCCGACTAGGTGAAAAATCTGTCGATGTGCCCTTAAGCAAGGCACTTAACCCGAATTGCTCCTGTAAGTCGCTCTGGATAAGAGCGTCTGCTAAATGACTAAAAACCACACAAAAAAATAAACAAAATTATAATAATAATAATAATTTAAAAAAAAAAAGATCTGTCTATTATTTTAATGGTAGGTTTATTTGAACAGTGAGAGACAGAATAACAACAAAAAAATCCAGAAAAACGCATGTCAAAAATGTTATACTGTATTTTCCGCACTATAAGGCGCACCGGATTATAAGGCGCACCTTCAATGAATGGCCTATTTTAGAACTGTTTTCATAGATAGGGCGCACCGGATTATAAGGCGCATAGAATAGAAGATACTGAAGTCAAACGTTTCCACTAGATGGAGCTGTGCTAAAGGGAATGTCAACAAAACAGTCAGATAAAGTCAAACTTTATTAAGCGTTCTGACAACTCCGTTCACTCCCATGGTAACGTTGTTCAAACGTTAATGTGCATATTAACAATATCTCCCAGCCTTGCTCACTCTTCTCCCAAACGTGGAGGGGAACTTTTCCCTGATTCAGTAAACACGTAGTAAAAGAAACAGTCTGATACCACTAAATCAAACGTTAGTGCATAACTCAACATTGTTCAGTTACGTATAACACGTAAAACTTTCCCCGTCCACGAATCCCTCGAATTCTTCTTCTTCAGTGTCCGAATTGAACGGAAACTCTGTTTAGTCTTCTTTACTTGGCGCAGGTCATCTTCTTGCTTCCTCCACTTCCGTACCATTGATTCATTAATGTTGAATTCTCTCGCTGCTGCTCTATTCCCATATTCTACTGCGTGACCGACAACCTTGAGCTTGAACTCTGCGTCGTAAGCGTGTCTCTTGAAAGGTGCCATTTTGGGGTCTTTATACACACACAAGTGGTGTGGGACTGTGAGTAAGCACAGTACCGGTGTTTACTGACTACGGTAGCCGTAATGCTGCAAGCGGTGCGGCTTTGTAGTTTACCAGTCGTACTGAAACATTTCATTATTATTAAATTGTTTTTATTGGTTTTTCATACTGAAACATTTTGACAGAGCGCCTTGAGCGCCGTGTACAACCAGTATGGATCAACCAATTAACCAATTGATCCATATATAAGGCGCTCCGGATTATAAGGCGCACTGTCGTTTTTTGAGAAAATTAAAGGCTTTTAAGTGCGCCTTATAGTGCGGAAAATACGGTAAATTGATTTGCATTTTAATGAGGGAAATACATTTTTGACCCCTCTGCAAAACATGACTTAGTACTTGGTGGCAAAACCCTTGTTGGCAATCACAGAGGTCAGACGTTTCTTGTAGTTGGCCACCAGGTTTGCACACATCTCAGGAGGGATTTTGTCCCACTCCTCTTTGCAGATCTTCTCCAAGTCATTAAGGTTTCGAGGCTGACGTTTGGCAACTCAAACCTTCAGCTCCCTCCACAGATTGTCAATGGGATTAAGGTCTGGAGACTGGCTAGGCCACTCCAGGACGTTAATGTGCTTCTTCTTGAGCCACTCCTTTGTTGCCTTGACCGTGTGCTTTGGGTCATTGTCATGCTGGAATACCCATCCACGACCCATTTTCAATGCCCTGGCTGAGGGAAGGAGGTTCTCACCCAAGATTTGACGGTACATGGCCCCGTCCATCGTCCCCTTTGATGCGGTGAAGTTGTCCTGTCCCCTTAGCAGAAAAACACCCCCAAAGCATAATGTTTCCACCTCCATGTTTGACGGTGGGGATGGTGTTCTTGGGGTCACAGGCAGCATTCCTCCTCCTCCAAACACGGCGAGTTGAGTTGATGTCAAACAGCTCAATTTTGGTCTCATCTGACCACAACACTTTCACCCAGTTCTCCTCTGAATGATTCAGATGTTCATTGGTACACTTCAGACGGCCCCATATATGTGCTTTCTTCAGCAGGGGGACCTTGCGGCGCTGCAGGATTTCAGTCCTTCACGGCGTAGTGTGTTACCAATTGTTTTCTTGGTGACTATGGTCCCAACTGCCTTGAGATCATTGACAAGATCCTCCCGTGTAGTTCTGGGCTGATTCCTCACCGTTCTCATGATCATTGCAACTCCATGAGGTGAGATCTTGCATGGAGCCCCAGGCCGAGGGAGAATGACAGTTATTTTGTGTTTCTTCCAATTGTGAATAATCGCACCAACTGTTGTCACCTTCTCACCAAGCTGCTTGGCGATGGACTTGTAGCCCATTCCAGCCTTGTGTAGGTCTATAATCTTGTCCCTGACATCCTTGGAGAGCTCTTTGGTCTTGGCCATGGTGGAGAGTTTGTAATCTGATTGATTGATTGCTTCTGTGGACAGGTGTCTTTTATACAGGTAACAAGCTGAGATTGGGAACACTCCTTTTAAGAGTGTGCTCCTAATCTCAGTTCGTTACCTGTATAAAAGACACATGGGAGCCAGAAATCTTTCTGATTGAGAGGGGGTTAAATACTTATTTCCCTCATTAAAATGCAAATCAATTTATAACATTTTTGACATGCGTTTTTCTGGATTTTTTTGTTGTTATTCTGTCTCTCACTGTTCAAATAAACCTACCATTAAAATTATAGACTGATCATTTCTTTGTCAGTGGGCAAACGTACAGAATCAGCAGGGGATCAAATACTTTTTTCCCTCACTGTAATTAACGGTCAATTACCGTGAGACCGGCAGGCTTTTGCATGACAATAACCGGCTGATAAAATTCTATGACCGCCACAGCCCTAGCTAGACCTTATTCAAGGTTTTCTCATGGTGGAATTATGAGGGAATTAAGTCAAGGTAAGAATAAGTCGTAGCTGTAGACACACCTCAGCCATACCTCCATTTCTGTGATCTCCAGGTTAGAATACCTGTAGAGAGAATTAAGTGTAACTCAGGTCTGAATTCTCCCCAATGTGAATAAGGCCCGGGGGGGTGTGGTATATGGCCAATATACCACGGCTAAGGGCTGTTCTTAAGCACGACGCAACGCGGAGTGCCTGGACACAGCCCTTAGCCAAGGTATATTGGCCATATATCACAAACCCCCGAGGTGTCTTATTGCTATTATAAACTGGTTACCAATGTAAATAGAGCAGTAAAATAAATGTTTTGTCATACCCGTGATATACTATGGCTATCAGCCAATCAGCATTCAGGGCTCGAACCACCCAGTTTATAATTCTGAACAACATACATGTAGCCTTGTGATGATGATGTTTGTGTTAGTGTGTGACCCACTCTAACCCTCTGTAGGCAGCGTCAGTACACCTGGGCCTTCTATACCTGGTGGGGATGTTCAGAGGAGAGGAAGGAGCAGAGACTGGCTGAGAGGATGGTAAAATACACAGTCACAATACACGCACGCACGCACACACACACACATACCACTCAAAGATATACATACAACACACCGTCATGGTACAGACATACACCCAGAGAGGGCCCACCTGTCTTGCCCTTTAGGCCTTGCTGCATGAGGAGAGGTCGTGTTTGATGAGAGCCTGGGACCACTGGCAGCAGAGGGTGAAGCAAGAACAGGAGGAGAGGGAGAAGCAGAGAGCCTCTGACACACTGTACCACCGTACTCTAGTCCACAACACACTGAGCCAGTGGAAGGACAATGTCACTGTGATCCGGGACAGGTACTGTACCACTGACAGTTCTCTGAAATATCAGTGAGGAACAGGATGATATCTTAGAATTTGTATTGTATTTTACTTTAATGACCTGCCACTCACGCTGACAGTTTGGGACCAACCTGTTCAGAAAGAAGTAGACAAGTGTGAGGTTATTCTTTCTTTATTTTATTTTGGGGGGCCCATCCCCCACCCCCCTCTCCGGACGTCAAATGTAATTATGTTTTACATTGGTTCTTTTACAGCTATTTTGTTACATGTACATTATTCATATATTTTACATACATGGTACTTTTATACACAGTATTACATGACATAAGTATACTTTGATATACACATTAAAAGGTACTCCAACATATACGGTATACATGATATAGGGTGTTTTCAGTCGTAACTATTACAGATTATGAGCTTTCTTAATGGGAGATTATTCTTAACAGGATTTGATTGACAATTGAAGACCCTTTTGAGATTTTGGTTTAATCCTTAATGTATATGTGTGTTTGGTTTGTATATTTGTGTTTTTTTTTTATCTTTTAAGGCGAAACCGAGAGGAGCAGGCAGGTCGACATGGTGATGTGCGTTGTGTGAGACGCGCCCTGAGTGGCTGGAGTGAGGTACAGCATCTTGCCATACATAGTCTACCATTAGCCATGCTGTAATGTTTGGTTTGTCCAGAGTAATTATCCCACATTGTGTCTGTCTGTTTGTCTGTCTGTCTGTGTGATGTGTCAGTATGTCCAGCACAGAAAAGAGAAGAACAGCAGGCTGGATCAGATGGACACTTACTATGAACACAGACTTCTCAAACACACCTTACAGGCCTGGAAGGTACAACAGAGCTCACATTAACTGTTATAAATGACATGAGTGTACACTTATATTGGTATGCTTTGTAAACTGGCACAGCAACATTTAATTTGGTCATCATGTGTCTTCTGACCTGCTTGGTGCTCACGGAATGGGCTCCGCTTTGTTGGTTTGTTTGTGAGGGACCTGTGGGATGTGCTTTAATCTCTGCCTATCCCCCGTAGGAGCATCACCTCCAAAGACAGCAGGTCTATGAGCATGTGGAGGAGCGCTACAGCCGACATCAGCAACACTTCCTTAGGTATCAACCCAAATAGATTCAGTCTCTATATCCACGATCTCTTACTTGTAATATTGATTTTGCAATATTTCTAACTGACACTTGTATTATGTCTTCCCAGGAGGATTCTGCGTGTGTGGAAGGAGAATGTAGCCCTGTTGGCAGCAGCCCGGAGCAGAGAGAAGAGAGCAGAGAACCACTACCAGCACTGTGTTCAGGTTAAGGTATTGGAGCTGCTGTAAGACCGATCTACTGCTTCATATGTTACCACAACTGATTCCATGGCTACAACTACTGCTCACCCTCAAATGTGCATAATTTATTTTCCTAAAGGTGCTGTTGGGATGGAAGAAAGCCACATCTTGTGCAGTGTCAACCCATCACCAGCAGAGAGAGGCAGTGAGCAGGGCTCAGACTCACATGGATAAAGGTAGCGAAATACTTAACTAAGTTTGAGTTCTCATTAAACATGTGAAGGTGTAACTATAGCTCCAGTTCTTAGTGAAGCAGATGGAGACAAATTGTTCATTATTCAATGCTATTTTCTCTTAGATCCTTCTCCCGGCACATTGAATAAAGCATCCATTGACATGTGAAGCCTAATGCCATAATTATTTATGTCTCTCAGTGCGGCAGGTGGCGACTTTCAGGAGATGGAGGGAGCGAAGCAGAGAGGTTGTGGAGGACAGTACAGGCATGGAGAAAGCCAAAAGGCACCACCACCACTCTCTTCTCTGCAGAACATTCAGATCATGGTCTACGTACCAGCAGCAACAGCAGAGCTATAAGGTAGATGGATACTGCATTTAATCCTGTGTTTGAGTCTGCAGTGTGCTATTTGATACATTCTGATCCTAGGTAGGTTTGTGTTAGTATTGTGTTGTTCATGTGGTCCTTCTCTAGGTGATGAAAGGGAGAGGCCACTTACTGCTGAGACAGAAGACATGCCAGCTCTTCTTTGCAAGCTGGAAAATTGCGGTGAGCTTATTTGCTTCCCGAGTGGCACAGTGGTCTAAGGCACTGCATCGCAGTGCTAGCTGTGCCACTAGAGATCCTGGTTCGAATCCAGGCTCTGTCAAGCCGGCCGCGACCGGGAGACCCATGGGGCGGCGCACAATTGGCCCAGCGTCGTGGGAGGGAATGGCCGGCAGGGATGTAGCTCAGTTGGTAGAGCATGGCGTTTGCAACGCCAGGGTTGTGGGTTCGATTCCCACGGGGGGCCAGTATGAATAAAATAATAATAATAATAATGTATGCACTCACTAACTGTAAGTCGCTCTGGATAAAAGCGTCTGCTAAATGACTAAAATGTAAATGTAATTGCTGTTTTAACATGAATTCCTGTTTTAACATGCTTATTTCAAATATTAAAGGTCTCCTTGACAAGATTTGCGTGAACTTTTGTTCAAGTCACTTTTAAATACATTGATGGAATTGAAAAATAGTATTTCCTGATGTTTCCTTTCTGAAGGAAAGGCCAGATCATTATATTATCTAAACTTTCAGTGGTCAGTCTGTAAGCCTCTGAGTGTCTTGGTGAACTCCTGGCTGTTATCTGACTGTGTGCTTTTCTCCCCTGGTCCTGGCCTGCACAGCTGGAGCACAGAAGGAGAGAGGCTGAGCAGACAGAACTGGCCCTCTGGCATTGGTCCCTCAGTCTGCAGGCCAAGGTAATACCTGGACACACGTACTTCACTGGCAGCTGGCCTTCAGTCCCAACTTAAACACATGAGATATTATCTCTCTCTCTCTGTTTGTCTGTAGTGGAAGAATTCTCCACTGCTGACCCTTTGGATGTATAGCCTGCGTCCCAATCATTTTGTGCTGTCTTGCCAATGACCATTGGAGTTAGCAAGACAGCACAATTAGATCTGTGACCAGGCTAGTGCGAGTAAAGTCCTCATTGATGATATCCAGGCCACAGCTGGAATAAAGGAAATGGAAGTGAAAACATACAGTAGACTCTATAGACATACTGAATGAGACGTCTGATCCCCTGGTGTGTTCTGTTCCAGGTGCTGGAGGCCTGGAGGCTGTGGGTCACAGAGCAGCACAGGAAGCAGGAGAGGCTGGCCCAGGCTGCCCAGTTCTATAGAGACCAGCTGCTGAGGGAAGGAGTGGCCCACGTCCTCACACACGCCGCTCACATGGGCAGCTTCAGCACCAACATAGCACTGCACAGCCAGGAACAGGTGTGTGTGTGAGCACATGCTGTGTTTGATTATCTGATAGTATGTCTGTCTGCCTGAATGTCTGTCTGTCTTGTCTCTGTGTGGAACTGTATCAAGCCCGTCTTGTCTGTGCTGTACAGAGCTTGCGGCGTCTCCAGAGGGTGGTGCTGCGTTGTGCCATGCAGTGGAAACAGCGGGCACTGTGTGGACCACACAGGGCGAGACCGCCTAGAGTGATAGCAGTGCCCCCCAAAAGTGTGACCTTCTGTTTACCCAGCCCTGACCCAGAGGGCCGCACCCACAGCAGTACACAGACCCAGAGTGGCATAGTGGAGCAGAGAGCAGGAGACGACATCCTCAATCACCTGTAAGTGGGAACAGTTGCTATGCAAACATCAGGCCCTAAACCGTATGGGAGGGTTTTCCAGATACCGATTAAGAGTTCTGGACTAAAAAGCATGCTCTATGGAGAATCCCTATACAAATCACTTTTTTAGTCCAGAACAAGGCTTAATGTGTGTTCGGGAAACTGCCCCTATGTCTCTAATCCTTATGCTCAGTCTTACAGCAACTCTCTCTAACTGTGTGCAGGGTGGCGGTGCGTGCTTCTAGACTGCAGCCACGGCGGCCTAGAGATCTGCTTGACTCCCCGGTCAAAGAGCTGCTCCCACCTACAGCTCCTCTACATCAAAAACCCAGTCCTCTTCCATATCAAACCAAGGTCCAAGTGACAGCGAACCTTTACCCTGCTGCAGCCTCCCTACCCATCTCTCCCGTACTGGCACACCCAGCTCCCCATCTCAGTCTCCCAACAGCCCCACATCATGGATCACTAGGCCAGGACTTACTCCTGCCCCCCTCCTCATTCATGGCCACCCACACTCAATCTAAGGTAACAGTTACTATATTCCAAAAATACATGTAAAGTCATTTTGCTGTGTGTGTTTTGAATGAGATTTCTTTATGCAATATCTGTTTTTTTTTAGGTGAGGCAGCCTAGTGGCTCATGGATAAGTGACTCCTCACTACTGCCCCCAAATGAGTTCTCCACCGTCCATCAACAGCCAGAGTATGATGGAGATGTGTTAACTGAGGAGGAGGAGGGTGTGGATCCCACTTTAGCCTGGACCAGAGAGCTGCTCAACATCCGCCTGGACATGCAGCGCTTCCAACAGGACCGCAAGCAACTTCAGTAAGGACTCACAGCTCTGTGATTAACATTTCTGAAAGATCTCATTTATACATTCTGGTGGATTTAAGTGTGTGTGTGTGTATAGGGCGTGGCGAAGACTTGAAGAACTGTTGAGAAGCTGGCTGCAGACGAGTGTAAGTGAGGTAGAGACTGAGGAGAGGAACACTATCCGCGAAGAGCTGGAGCAGGTAAGACTTGAAGGGAAGATGCTGCGGGCATTGGTACAGTATATGCAAGGGACACAAGGTTTCCACTAGTTACCACAGCCACAAAGTCAAAATTGGCTGTATTGTAAAAATTATATTTTTTGTCTTCATTTAAGGTTAGGCATATGGTTAGCAGTGTGGTTAAGTTTAGGTTTTAAATCAAATTTTAAGAAGATACATTTTAGAAATAGGCGGGGTTTATGACTTTGTGGCTGGGGTATATGAGGATTTATAAACAAAAACAATTGTCGTTTTACGGGCTGTTCACCAGTCCTTAAAAAAAACAAGAACTAATCATTTAAGCAATAATTTTTTCATATGTTTCCTATCCACTTATAAATTAATAACTAAATGGATGGATTTGATTTCAAATCAAATTGTATTTGCCACGTGCCGAATACAACAGGTGTAGACATTACAGTGAAATGCTTACTTACAGGCCCTTAACCAACAATGCAGTTTTTAAGAAAATTATAATAATAAAAAGTTAACAAAAATATATATATATATTTACATTTTAAATAAAAAATAAACAAAAGTGTAAAAAAAAGAAGAAAAAAAAAAGAAGTAAAAAATAGCAAATAATTTAAGAGCAGCAGTAAAATAACTCTCTATCCTGTGGATCCTGGCAGTGTGGAGGATCATCACAGGCTTAGCACGCATTCCTCTGGAGGTATCATTTCATTTGAGCCATAAATCTTCAGATATGAAAACAAGAACATTCAAAAGTTACAACAGGTCAAGTGCATAATAACCATGCCATATCATGCAACAATGTTTCCCATTATTTTGTGGTCATTCCAGATTAATTGCATGCTCTTTGGGTTGTCATTGACAGCTGGAGGAGCGTATTGGCAGGCTGTCAGCTGAGCTGGCAGAGCAGAAGCCTGTGATGATCCTCCACGCTGCCAGGATCCACAGGATAGAGAGTGTTCTCCTCCAGAGCAGCACGGCCACAGGACAGGGACTGGGACAGGCCATTCTCAGTAGGCCTCCAGAGCACGGGGCTACTGGAGCTACTGCTCATCACTCCACACTAGATGACAGGACCAGGGCCGCCCCAGTGCCATAGGTCAGGAGAAGGAGGAGCACCATAGACCTATATAGAGGAGCACAAGGACTTCTGATGAGACACTACACCTGTCCATATTTTTGACATGTCATTCTCCACTGGTTGTTTTTATAGTATAAAATCATAAGAACATAATTATTCAAAATAGAGGAAGATTTAAGGAAATTCTTCAATTGCAGCTTTAGAATGTATTATCCTAATCTTGGTGAAAATTGGTTGGACAAAGAAAGAATGGCATGGCAAGGCAGCTGTGTTTGATTTATGTTTGACTTGACTATGTTGTAATGGCATTTTCTTTTTACTGTATGCTGGGAATTACATCATATTGTGGCGTTTTTTACATTATTTAATAAAATAGTGCCTTCAGAAAGTATTCACACCCCTTGACTTTTTCCACATTTTGTTGCGTTACAAAGTGGGATTAAAATTGATTTAATTTTTCTTTTTTTGTCAATGATCTTCAGTTTCTTGGCAATTTCTCGCATGGAATAGCCTTCATTTCTCAGAACAAGAATAGACTGACGAGTTTCAGAAGAAAGTTATTTGTTTCTGGCCATTTTGAGCCTGTAATCGAACCCACAATTGCTGATGCTCCAGATACTCAACTAGTCTCAAGAAGGCCAGTTTTATTGCTTCTTTAATCAGCACAACCGTTTTCAGCTGTGCTAACATAATTGCAAAAGGGTTTTCTAATGATCAATTAGCCTTTTAAAATGATAAACTTGGATTAGCAAACAACGTGCCATTGGAACACAGGACTGATGGTTGCTGATAATGGGCCTCTGTATGCCTATTTAGGTATTCCATTAAAAATCAGCCGTTTCCAGCTACAATAGCCATTTACAACATTAACAATGTCTACACTGTATTTCTGATCAATTTGATATTTTAATGGACAAAAAAATTGCTTTTCTTTCGAAAACAAGGACATTTCTAAGTGACCCCAAACTTTTGAACGGTAGTGTAGGTGTTCCTTTTGTCCAGGTGGGAAAGGGCAGTGTGGAGTGCAATAGAGATTGCATCATCTGTGGATCTGTTGGGGCAGTATGCAAATTGGAGGGTGTCTAGGGTTCCTGGGATAATGGTGTTGATGTGAGCCATGACCAGCCTTTCAAAGCACTTCATGGCTACAGACATGAGTGCTACGGGTCAGTATTCATTTAGACAGGTTACCTTAGTGTTCTTGGGCACAGGGACTATGGTGGTCTGCTTGAAACATGTTGGTATTATAGACTCAGTCAGGGACAGGTTGAAAATGTCAGTGAAGACACTTGCCAGTTGGTCAGCGCATGCTCGGAGTACACGTCCTGGTAATCCATCTGGCCCTGCGGCCTTGTGAATGTTGACCTGTTTAAAGGTCTTACTCACATCGGCTACGGAGAGCGTGATCACACAGTCGTCCAGAACAGCTGATGCTCTCATGCATGCTTCAGTGTTGCTTGGCTCGAAGCGAGCATAGAAGTAATTTAGCTCATCTGGTACGCTCGTGTCACTGGGCAGCTCGCGGCTGTGCTTCCCTTTGTAGTCTGTAATAGTTTGCAAGCCCTGCCACATCCGACGAGCGTCGGAGCCGGTGTAGTACGATTCAATCTTAGTCCTGTATTGACACTTTGCCTGTTTGATGGTTCGTCGGAGGGCGTAGCGGGATTTCTTATAAGCGTCCGGGTTAGAGTCCCACTCCTTGAAAGCGGCAGCTCTACCGTTTTGCTCAGTGCAGATGTTGCCTGTAATCCATGGCTTCTGGTTGGGGTATGTATGTACGGTCACTGTGGGGACAACGTGATTGATGCACTTATTGATGAAGCCAGTGACTGATGTGGTGTACTCCTCAATACCATCGAAAGAATTACGGAACATATTCCAGTCTGTGCTAGCAAAACTTGGCCTACTGTTCTGACTTGGTGGTCCACATGTAGCCTATAGCCTTTTTTAGAGAAATGTAATCATTGAATATTGTAAGAGCTTTCATTGTCTGCTTATATGTCCCCTTTATTTATCCTATGGTTCTGACTTGGTGCACAGGGAGAACACTGTACGAACGGCCCATGTTCTGAATTCTGTCGCTGTACATTTCAAAAGTGCTGAACAAATAGTTATATTGACTACGTCCGTCCTAGCTCGCTCATTAACATCTTAATCGAAATTATGGATTGCCTCTTATCTGCTCATCGTCCCCTTATGCCATAGTTTGTACATCTCAATTGTCAGTAGGAACCACATTTGTTTAAGCAAGTCAGCCATATCAGCTTTTTTTTTTTAAAGGCAGTAAATGTGTCTGAATTAACTGTTTCGCTGCCAGACAAGGCTCCGCTGATAGCCAGGTGTAGCGGCGGTAGGATTCACTCCATGGCGCTGAAAGGAAAGCTCTGCTGTTGGGACAGCTTTATGTAGGCCCTAACAGTTTGTGGGCACTGTTTGTCACCATTATAGTGCAATTAATGTATTGTTTAGTGTTGTGTAATGGCTTTGCTGGTATGCATCTAAAAAAAACATTTTTTAGTTTGCCCCACTAATATTTACATGCTAAAATCGTCACTGAAGGTGTGTAGTAATTTAACAATGTTTTTCTGCTATGAAAGATATGTTTCCAAAGCCGTACAGCAAGCGATGCGTTTTAACGTTCAGCACGTGCGTCGGGGCTCTTAACAAAACGCCCCTGTCCAGAAGATACTATCGTCAATAGGCGATAAAGGTAGTTAGCATTTATGAATGGGTTAATATCAGGCTAATGTTTTGCATTGACCTGTCATGGAGGACATAACCAGTGGCTTGCCAACATGTAGCCAAATAATTGTTTCTTACTTCCAAACCCACCTGAATGTTTAATATTTTTTGTTTTCACAATACATTTCAATGCAAGTTTACACTTTTTTTTTGTTGCAATATGCAACTTTTCAAACCTTTGATAATGTGTAGTTCATTAGTTCAGTATACTGTCTACTGGACTACAAGTCCCAGCGTGCATAGCGACCGTTGCCGTGCTCTTTTGTAAGAGTTGGTTGCTACATTATCGGCTGTTTCTAAAATCAAACGTGTACCTCGTGTCATTATAAGGTACGTTACATGACGCTGAATTGTATTAGCTCCTTTCAATGTGTACTTTATGCCTGTTGTGGTTGTATGGTTCTTATCGGTATTCCTCCACTTAACCTTCACGAAAATCTCATCAAATTGGAGGGGTTCCCAGCTAATGACAGGAGTTCAATGACAAGCCAGATCTCGTAAACAAAACAAATCAGCCTTGACCTAAGTGTTTCGTATGTTTACAGTCGAATACTGTAATAGACAAACTGAACAATTACTGAGTCTGATAAAGCCAAGTTAGGAACTTTGGAGTTATAATTATTGTATTTATAATGAGATGTGACTGAAACTTGTGATGAGGCATGATTGCGCCTGTCATGTGTTCCTTAATTCACATAGACCAGATGAGATTGAGTGACATTTGTTCTTTAGACATTCCCTCCCTATGGAGTTACTTACCCACTGAAACACTTGATCCCAACAGGTTCCTTTTTTTGAAAGGTGTATGTTTTTTGAAACATGCAACATACTCAAAAAGCATCAATCTTACTATGTACTGTGAATGCAGATGCGGTTGCGGTTGCCGTGGAGACACCTGGCACTGTGTGGTGTGGCCCCTGGGAGGCGGGCAACATCATCTGTTCCCGCGGGCGTCCAGAGCTTCGTGCCCGCCAGCAGCACCATCGATGCCCACGCCCTGGAGCGGCTACAGGCCTTTTTTTCACGCGCCACACGCCTCTTCGTCATCACTGGAGCCGGGCTCTCCACAGAGTCTGGCATCCCAGACTACCGCTCAGATGGGGTGGGTCTCTATGCTCGCACAGACAGGCGACCTATGCAGCACACAGAGTATATACGCAACGCCAAGTCCCGTCAGCGCTACTGGGCTAGGAACTACAGTGAGGGAAAAAAGTATTTGATCCCCTGTGATTTTGTATGTTTGCCCACTGACAAAGACATGATCAGTCTATAATTTTAATGGTAGGTTTATTTGAACAGTGAGAGACAGAATAACAACAACAAAATCCAGAAAAACGCATGTCAAAAATGTTATAAATTGATTTGCATTTGAATGAGGGAAATACGTTTTTGACCCCTCTGCAAAACATGACTTAGTACTTGGTGGCAAAACCCTTGTTGGCAATCACAGAGGTCAGACGTTTCATGTAGTTGGCCACCAGGTTTGCACACATCTCAGGAGGGATTTTGTCCCACTCCTCTTTGCAGATCTTCTCTAAGTCATTAAGGTTTCGAGGCTGACGTTTGGCAACTTGAACTTTCAGCTCCCTCCACAGATTTTCTATGGGATTAAGGTCTGGAGACTGGCTAGGCAACTCCAGGACCTTAATGTGCTTCTTCTTGAGCCACTCCTTTGTTGCCTTGGCCGTGTGTTTTGGGTCATTGTCATGCTGGAATACCCATCCAAGACCCATTTTCAATGCCCTGGCTGAGGGAAGGAGGTTCTCACCCAAGATTTGACGGTACATGGCCCCGTCCATCGTCCCTTTGATGCGGTGAAGTTGTCCTGTCCCCTTAGCAGAAAAACACCCCCAAAGCATAATGTTTCCACCTCCATGTTTGATGGTGGGGATGGTGTTCTTGGGGTCATAGGCAGCATTCCTCCTCCTCCAAACACGGCGAGTTGAGTTGATGCAAAAGAGCTCGATTTTGGTCTCATCTGACCACAACACTTTCACCCAGTTCTCCTCTGAATCATTCAGATGTTCATTGGCAAACTTCAGACGGGCCTGTATATGCGCTTTCTTGAGCAGGGGGACCTTGCGGGCGCTGCAGGATTTCAGTCCTTCACGGCGTAGTGTGTTACCAATTGTTTTCTTGGTGACTATGGTCCCAGCTGCCTTGAGATAATTGACAAGATCCTCCCGTGTAGTTCTGGGCTGATTCCTCACCATTCTCATGATCATTGCAACTCCACGAGGTGAGATCTTGCATGGAGCCCCAGGCCGAGGGAGATTGACAGTTATTTTGTGTTTCTTCCATTTGCGAATAATCGCACCAACTGTTGTCACCTTCTCACCAAGCTGCTTGGCGATGGTCTTGTAGCCCATTCCAGCCTTATGTAGGTCTACAATCTTGTCCCTGACATCCTTGGAGAGCTCTTTGGTCTTGGCCATGGTGGAGAGTTTGGAATCTGATTGATTGATTGCTTCTGTGGACAGGTGTCTTTTATACAGGTAACAAGCTGAGATTAGGAGCACTCCCTTTAAGAGTGTGCTCCTAATCTCAGCTCGTTACCTGTATAAAAGACACCTGGGAGCCAGAAATCTTTCTGATTGAGAGGGGGTCAAATACTTATTTCCCTCATTAAAATGCAAATCAATTTATTTACATTTTTGACATGCGTATTTCTGGATGTTTTTGTTGTTATTCTGTCTCTCACTGTTCAAATAAACCTGCCATTAAAATGATAGACTGATCATTTCTTTGTCAGTGGGCAAACTTACAAAATCAGCAGGGGATCAAATACTTTTTTTCCCTCACTGTATGTGGGCTGGCCACAGTTCTCCTCTCATCAGTCAAACTCTGCTCACTTGGCCCTGCAGCAGTGGGAGAAACAGGGGAAGGTACACTGGCTGGTTACGCAGAATGTGGACGCGCTTCATTCCAAGGCAGGGCACCAAGGACTGACTGAACTACACGGCTGCGCTCACAGGTAGGAGAGCAGTGAATGACAGACGGATGGACACACCACACTATATAGACTTCTTGTTCAAGGACATTGGCTCAGAGCAACACTGAGCTTTTTACCTGTGTGTCCATCCGTCTGTCTGTGTCCCTCCCAGGGTGTTATGTCTGGGCTGTGGTGCGATGTCTGCTAGAGAAGAGCTCCAGAAGCGTTTCGCAGGACTGAACCCTGGGTGGGTAGCACCTGGCTGGTGGTGTAGCTCCCGACAGGGATGTTTTCATTGAGGACGAACAGGTCCTCCACTTCAGAGTGCCTCCCTGTAAGGACTGTGGGGGCATACTGAAGCAAGACGTGACATTCTTTGGGGACACAGTGAACCGAGGGACAGTACAGTTTGTACATGAGAGACTGGTGGAGTCTGATGCGGTCCTAGTTGCGGGATCTTCTTTGCAGGTGGGCATAAATAAGGTGTTATTATATATTGCTAGAGTCTATAGACCATACCTCTAAAATGGAAAATGTAGTTGTTTTCAGTAGTCAACTGTGTGTTGCAGTTTGACTATTTCTGTCTTTGAGAACTTGAAGATGTATCTACAAGACATCTGTGTATAACTGTTATATCCTTGTTTTTTCTAGGTGTATTCTGGGTACAGATTCCTACTGGCAGCAGCTGACCAGAAGATCCCAGTGGCCATCTTGAACATTGGGCCTACCAGTGCCGACCACCTGACAGAGTTCAGAGTCAGTGCTCGTTGTGGGGAGGTACTGTCTGTCATTCAGCCCCACTGACCAGAGACAGACGGATGGCCTTACTAGGACACGGTCTCTGACAACTGAACTACTCAATGGGCTCTACTATTCTACCTCTCGGTCATCCAGGCAGCAATGCAATCAGCCTCAGGACGTTGAGCTGGAGTGATGGAAACTTGTTTCAATGAAGTCTATGGGAAACCCCACTAGTAATGGCGGATATGCTTTATGGCTGACAGGGTGCTATGCTGATGTTAGCACCCGCCATATTGATCCTCCTTTGAAGTAACAGTCATCCATAGGAATTAATGGTTACTATTCTACTTTCCACTTAGGGTGTCAGCATGGTTCAGATCGGCTGGCACCTAGCTGAGTGTGCTCGCATACACCTTTAAGACTTTCGCTTGAAAAAATAAGAAAAAAGCGGCAATAGTACTGTTTGTCCATTTTGAGACGTAGCCAGTATACACTTCCTCAAAATAGTCAGAATTAATGTAAGATCAGTCTAGAAATCTGTCATTAATTTTGACGTTTTGCCCAAGAGATATTAATCGCACAATTTTACATCTAAGATGTTTGGTGCAGTATTATTCAATGAAAAAATGTGCATGAAAACGAGTCATCTGGCAACAGACTTTATTGAAGAATCCCTACTGTTGACCAATCACTGACGAAGGGGCGTAGACTTCAGCACCGAACTTCAGCTTGCCTCTAGAAAAAAATGTGTGCCCGAATATCCCCCCAAAAAACGAACCGAAGTCCTAAACAAACAAACACGTCAGTCTATGCACAAACTCTACCGAAGCATGCGGACGCCTTCAGCCTATCCATCATTTTAGCTAACTAGTAAATACAGTTGAAGTCGGAAGTTTACATGCACCTTAGCCAAATACATTTAAAGTCAGTTTTTCACAATTCCTGACATTTAATCCTAGTACAAATTCCCTGTCTTAGGTCAGTTAGGATCACCACTTTATTTTAAGAATGTGAAATGTCAGAATAATAGTAGAGAGAATGATTTATTTCAGATTTTATTTCTTTCATCACATTCCCAGTGGGTCAGAAGTTTACATACACTCAATTAGTATTTCGTAGCAATTGTTTAACTTGGGTCAAACGTTTTGGGTAGCCTTCCACAAGCTTCCCACAATAAGTCTTCCTGACAGAGCTGGTGTAACTGAGTCAGGTTTGTAGGCCTCCTTGCTCGCACACGCTTTTTCAGTTCTGCCCACACATTTTCTATAGGATTGAGGTCAGGGCTTTGTGATGGCCACTGCAATACCTTGACTTTGTTGTCCTTAAGCCATTTTGCCACAACGTTGGAAGTATGCTTTGGGTCATTGTCCATTTGGAAGACCCATTTGCGACCAAGCTTTAACTTCCTGACTGATGTCTTGAGATGTTGCTTCAATATATCCACATAATTTTCCTTCCTCATGATGCCATCTATTTTGTGAAGTGCACCAGTCCCTCCTGCAGCAAAGCACCCCCAAAGAATGATGCTGCCACCCCCGTGCTTCACGGTTGGGATGGTGTTCTTCGGCTTGCAAGCAACCCCCTTTTTCCTCCAAACATAACGATGGCCATTATGGCCAAACAGTTCTATTTTTGTTTCATCAGACCAGAGGACATTTCTCCAAGAAGTACGATCTTTGTTCCCATGTGCAGTTGCAAACCGTAGTCTGTCTTTTTTATGGCGGTTTTGGAGCAGTGGCTTCTTCCTTGCTGAGCGGCCTTTCAGGTTATGTCGATATATAGGACTCGTTCTACTGTGGATATAGATACTTTTGTATCTGTTTCCTCCAGCATCTTCACAAGGTTATTTGCTGTTGTTCTGGGATTGATTTGCACTTTTCGCACCAAAGTACATTCATCTCTAGGAGACAGAACGCGTCTCCTTCCTGAGCGGTATGACTGCTGCGTGGTCCCATGGTGTTTATACTTGCGTACTATTGTTTGTACAGATGAACGTGGTACCTTCAGGCGTTTGAAAATTGCTCCCAAGGAGGAACCAGACTTGTGGAAGTATACAAAAAAAATTCTGAGGTCTTGGCTGATTTCTTTTGATTTTCCCATGATGTCAAGCAAAGAGGCACTGAGTTTGAAGGTAGGCCTTGAAATACATCCACAGGTACACCTCCAATTGACTCAAATGATGTCAATTAGCCTATCAGAAGCTTCTAAAGCCATGCCATAATTTTCTGGAATTTTCCAAGCTGTTTAAAGGCACAGTCAACTTAGTGTATGTAAACTTCTGACCCACTGGAATTGTGATTAAGTGAAATAATCTGTCTGTAAACAATTGTTGGAAAAATTACTTGTCATGCACAAAGTAGATGTCCTAACCGACTTGCCAAAACTATAGTTTGTTAACAAGAAATTTGTGGAGTGGTTTAAAAACGAGTTTTAATGACTCCAACCTAAGTGAATGTAAACTTCTGACTTCAACTGTACACTCCTCTGTATTTGGCTCTTTTCTCCAGCATTTTGGATTTGATATCAAATGTTTCATATGAGCCGACAGCATAGAATGTCGCCTTTTATTTGAGGGTATTTTCATACATATGTTTTATTGTTTAGAAATGAAAGCATTTAATGCAACTAGTCCACCCATTTGAAAAAGTAATAAGTACTTCCTAGCACACAATGACTACATCAAGGTTGTGACTCTACAAACTTGTTGGATGCATATGCAGTTTGTTTTGGTTGTGTGTCAGATTGTTTTGCCCAATTGGAACTGAATGGCGAATAATGTATTGTAATTTTGGAGTCACTTTTATTGTAAACACTAATGTGGATTCTACCATGATTACAGATAATCATGAATAATGATCATATTATACCCCCAAAATCAGGAATAAAGATCATGATCTTTGTGCCTCTTCATTTCTCACTCATCAGTAACGATTCACTCATGATTATTCCTAATCATGGTAGCATACACATTCATGGAGGAGTGTTCAGAAACCTCTATTCTTATTTACAATAAAAGTGACCCCAAAATGACACAATATTAATTATTCACCATTCAGTTCCTATTGGGCAAAACAATCAAACACAACCAAAACAAACTACAATGCATCCAACAAGTTTGTAGCCACATGCTTGATGTAGTCATTGGTGTAAACTTCCCTCACAAATGCATTTACCAAATGAGGGGATTTACATTTTAAATTAATAAAACATCTTATGTAAATCAGTTTTACATTTGTAAACATGAACAAGTGCTTCAATGTTTGCTTATCAAATGTTTTATAGACAATATCCAAAATACAAATAGTGTCACTGAATTTTTTTCCTACAATATCCATCCACAAAGTGCCATTATAATCATAGAGCCACAGAAGGTAAGGTGACAGTTGATCTGGTCACACTGAGTCCAGAGAAGACAGTCTGCTGCTGAAATCGTTCCTGAAGTTGTGTAGTCCAGCTAGCCATCACTGACAGAGTCTCTGCCTGCAGCACCTCTGGGGTGCTGAAGGAATACAGGCAACACCTGTGACCCGCAACACCACCCTGCCAGGACGCCACAGCCTTGGTCACCACCAGCGGAGACATAGCTAGGCAGTTCTCAAAGCTCCTGCTCTGGTCAAACCAGTATGTGGAGGGGTAGCCCAATAGAATCCCAAAGAGAGTACACAGATTCCATGCCTCACAATGTCTCGTTTCGATTCGGTGAGGGCCATTTCTCATCGCAGAATGTTGCCCAAACTGTCTAATATGAGCAAGTAATGCCTGAATCATGTCCCTGATAGCTCCCCACTGTAGCTCAGTGACGGCAGGCTGCTCCAGTGAGTGACATATATCCACCACAGTCACAGTCCTCCTCAAGAGAAGTTCCTCCAGGTTTGCTATAGTTAGGGATGGGTTCACAATCAAGGAATTCTCACTGATGACCACTGTCTGGAGAGATTTGGACACAAGTTGTGCAGCCTGCAGAGAGTTTAGATACTGTTGGACCTGCTCTGCAGATGCTGTATTACTGTCATATAGCAGAGCGGGCTTCAGGCCCAAGTCCACAGCCAGGACCTGAGCAGCCAGGTTCAGACTCACAGTGGCGGAGAAGAGTTTCTTTCCAACTCGTAGACATTTGCGAGCAGCAGCAACAAAGACGTCTGAAGAAGCCATGGATTGCTCCTAGGGGAATTTGAACATGTGGGAACATTACATGTTGATGAATGAAACTATGCTGTGGTGTGCGTTAGTACGAGTTTAGCACCTAAAACGAGCATGCCGGAGGAACTACAGTAGCCAGCTAGCATAATAGCTAACCTAGTAATGCATGGCTAAACTGGAACCATGCTCATACCTTGCAGTTCCTTACCACATATAATTTACTTTGACTAATTAATTAGTAGGCTACAGCTCATTGTTCCTAAAGTTAATCTATGTATCAATCTACCGGCACCTTCAAAGTATGCTTACTTCTGGTCGTTGCGCTCTTCTATTTCGGGATTGGGTTGGCAGATCGCAGCCAACTTTTAAGGTGCATGCATCGCCACCTACTGTACTGGAGTGTGAGGCCAGTCACGGCTTACCTACATTAAATTCTGTTTATTATTCATGTTCAGCTAAGAAAGTGAAATAGAGCCCTAGACACCACTTCCCTCCCCCCACTACACGGCGCAAACCCCAACCCCGTCCAGCCTCTCTAACCCTTTAACACAATCTTTCCCTATCTACATCATACTGTTCACAAAATATCAACACATTCCACCGTTTCCTCCACTAAACACCCATCACACAGACCTGTTTTTTATGTCTTCCCTATCATCCACATCAACGTGACATTCAAACCTGTGTGCCCAAACCGTAGTCTACTCCACACAACTTCCTCTCTCCTACATCCCATACTCCCCACCTCTTTCTTTACTAACTGGTGCATGCAATACAATTGCCTCCCCTTACTACTAGCATCCCACTCCCTTTGCCAAAGATCATCATCTTAATATCATTAGGGCACAGGGACTATCCAACTTCGTCACCAACATCCACAAGACAGACAGGAAAGCCAGCTACTTTGAACGGTATTTTGCCACCGCCATTCTCAGAACCCTCGGACTCAGCACCATCGACCACACTGTGCCCTATTGCTGGGACCCCCCACCAGTGTTCAAGACATGGAGAGATTTTGCTTTCAGGTTAGGTCTGCCCACGGCTGGGCTGGCTTCCTGGAAGTACAAGGACATCATGGCCCACATCCGCTCCAAGGACACAATCGCACACCAGAGAGCCAGCTAAGCCGTGGACCTGCAACAGGTATGGTTATATGTCAATCACCACGGCATCACAAACAAACAGAAAGACATCTCGTGGATGGCTGTTCATGGTTGTCTCCCCACTAGTCAAAAGAACCGGCACCAGCCCAGAATCAGGAAACATCCACCAACACAAGAGGGCGAAGTGGAGGACCAAACATCAGTCCTTCACCCAGAGCAAGCGGACCACAGGGGAGTGCCATCACTGACCCCTGGGTCTAGGGCACCCTTGTGTGCCTGCTTGCTCCTGAGATTGTCCTTCCTCCCCTCTGCAGATCCAGTCCCAGCACCAATCCAGATCCCATTGGCCAGTCCCAGCACCAGACCAACCCCTGGTTTTCCAGTCCTGGTACCAGCACGATTTCCAACCCGGCCCCAACACCAACCCAGGTTTTTCCGGTCCTAGCCCCAACACCAGCACCAACCCTGGACACAGCATCGACCAACCACAACTGCCACCTTCATCCAGCAACTGCCAGCTCAGACCCCACCCCTTCCCCAACACAAAGACACCGTCGACCACCCATGACTGACTGACTGACTAACAAATTGACGGACTGATAATTGTTAAAGGTTATTTGATTGAATGCATTTGTTTTTTCGTTTATTTTTTCTTAATTGTTTGTTTTTCCTTTTGATTTCATTAACTTAAGTTGGATTGATTATTTATTGTTTCAATTGTTTATTATTTTGAAGTTTAACTAAATGTAATTTGAAATTTTAACATGTAATGAATTTTGGAATAACCAAATAAATGGACCTTTGCCAAATATCAAGCCCTTTTGCCCGGATCAAGGACTTGACTTCCCTGCGCCCAGCTAATTTATACACTGCTCAAAAAAATTAAGGGAACACTAAAATAACACATCCTAGAGCTGAATGAATGAAATAATCTTATTAAATACTTTTTTCTTTACATAGTTGAATGTGCTGACAACAAAATCACACAAAAACTATCAATGGAAATCAAATGTATCAACCTATGGAGGTCTGGATTTGGAGTCACCCTCAAAATTAAAGTGGAAAACCACACTACAGGCTGATCCAACTTTGATGTAATGTCCTTAAAACAAGTCAAAATGAGGCTCAGTAGTGTGTGTGGCCTCCACGTGCCTGTATGACCTCCCTACAACGCCTGGGCATGCTCCTGATGAGGTGGCGGATGGTCTCCTGAGGGATCTCCTCCCAGACCTGGACTAAAGCATCCGCCAACTCCTGGACAGTCTGTGGTGCAACGTGGCGTTGATGGATGGAGCGAGACATGATGTCCCAGATGTGCTCAATTGGATTCAGGTCTGGGGAACGGGCGGGCCAGTCCATAGCATCAATGCCTTCCTCTTGTAGGAACTGCTGACACACTCCAGCCACATGAGGTCTAGCATTGTCTTGCATTAGGAGGAACCCAGGGCCAACCGCACCAGCATATGGTCTCACAAGGGGTCGGAGGATCTAATCTCGGTACCTAAGGGCAGTCAGGCTACCTCTGGCGAGCACATGGAGGGCTGTGCGGCCCCCCAAAGAAATGCCACCCCACACCATGACTGACCCACCGCCAAACCGGTCATGCTGGAGGATGTTGCAGGCAGCAGAACGTTCTCCACGGCGTCTCCAGACTCTGTCACGTCTGTCACGTGCTCAGTGTGAACCTGCTTTCATCTGTGAAGAGCACAGGGCGCCAGTGGCGAATTTGCCAATCTTGGTGTTCTCTGGCAAATGCCAAACGTCCTGCACGGTGTTGGGCTGTAAGCACAACCCCCACCTGTGGACGTCGGGCCCTCATAGCACCCTCATGGAGTGTGTTTCTGACCGTTTGAACAGACACATGCACATTTCAGGCCTGCTGGAGGTCATTTTGCAGGGCTCTGGCAGTGCTCCTCCTGCTCCTCCTTGCACAAAGGCGGAGGTAGCAGTCCTGCTGCTGGGTTGTTGCCCTCCTACGGCCTCCTCCACGTCTCCTGATGTACTGGCCTGTCTCCTGGTAGCGCCTCCATGCTCTGGACACTACACTGACAGACACAGCAAACCTTCTTGCCATAGCTCGCATTGATGTGCCATCCTGGATGAGCTGCACTACCTGAGCCACTTGTGTGGGTTGTAGACTCCGTCTCATGCTACCACTAGAGTGAAAGCACCGCCAGCATTCAAAAGTGACCAAAACATCAGCCAGGAAGCATAGGAACTGAGAAGTGGTCTGTGTTCACCACCTGCAAAAACCAGTCCTTTATTGGGGGTGTCTTGCTAATTGCCTATAATTTCCACCTGTTGTCTATTCCATTTGCACAACAGCATGTGACATTTATTGTCAATCAGTGTTGCTTCCTAAGTGGACAGTTTGATTTCACAGAAGTGTGATTGACTTGGAGTTACATTGTGTTGTTTAAGTGTTCCCTTTATTTTTTTGAGCAGTGTATATACACTAGATGACTGCCTGTTTTGAAGCCACCGTGCCTCCATCTTGGCACCACCCACCATTGTAAAAAACATTTTGGAAGCTATAGAAATGCATTTATTCATGTCTACATTAGTTTTTTCCACATGTATTATATTACAGACACCTTAATGCATCCTTTTAAATGATATGTGAGCAAAAAAATATAAAGACATTTTCCTTAAAGTATAATTTTTTGAAAGTTACTGTCCCCACTGTATGGAGGTAAAATAATGACATAAGTGTACAAGCATGTAAAGTATGTCATTATTTTATCTCCATACCACAACAAAATACTTAAAATACATGTAATTTTGTCCATGAAACATTTCATTGAAATACTGTAGAATTCCATTCATTCCTATGGAGGACTGCTACTTCTGGGAGTGCCAATATGGCCGACCAAGCCTCTCATTGGTCAATACTTAGCATCAGCAATCCAGGGTTTATATACATCATTAGTTGACACCGGCAACTGGAGCATGGCACACAGGCTTTGCTTGCCCATGGTCGAGTGGGCATGCCCTGACTCTTTCATTCTTGAAGAATTTCAATATTTGATTGATTTCATATCTAGCCCAGTTTAAATTGCTTTATACTGCTTTGCTTTATCTTGGCCAGGTCGCAGTTGTAAATGAGAACTTGTTCTCAACTGGCTTACCTGGTTAAATAGAGGTGGGGAGAAAAAAAAAAATAATAATAATTTCTATAGCACTTTTATGATGCAAAGAATGTCAAAGCACTTATTTACCTGGTTATTTATTGCGTTAAGTTAACAAGACCTACAAATAATATAACAAGTAGTTATTTATGATGCAAGGTCCTTTGCAGATCAGTCGGCAGTCGCCTGCACTGTTGGCTGCAATGTCGAACAAGCCCAAGATCTTGTCCCTTGTGATTGACATTTTGGTCCGAGACACCTGAAAATAAAATATTTTAGATATATTTATATTTATTCCACATTCAACTGGCAACAACCAATATTACAAATTTTACAGAAAGAATACAGGTAATTTACACAGTAATACCAAAAGTAATCAAACATGAATTCTGAGGAGAGGTTACTGGCCTGCCCATCCAGTTCTTGCACTAGGTGATTGGTTGAGGAGACATCAGGTCAAAATCTGAGAGATTCCTGGCAACCCAAACTCCAGCTGCAAAGAGGCCCAGGTTGACCATCAGGTTCCTACAGAAACAGATCAATTAGCAACGAATTCATATTATATACACAACAATTATAGGATCGTTATGAATAAACCACTGGAGATATTCATTCATTGAGTTACACGTTGCCTCAATGACAGTTGAGTTGTGGGGGCGTGATTTGTTTTTAATCACAAAACCCTAATCATTTCCAGATAATGTTATGCTAGCAAGGGACTGCTGAGCAATTAGCTCAGGGCTGTTGATACCGGTATATCCAAGGGCAAAGCATGCGCATGTTTGGCAAAGGAGCTAGCTAGTTGGCTAGCTAGCTAACATGATATGTGAAACACGTTGCATATGAAATAGGAATGTTTAGCCATATGGCCCATACCTTCTGAAATCATTTCTATCTGTAGCAAATCGACATGCGGTACTGATCCATTCCACGACACCACCAGACGGTGCCCCGATAGCCTTTTTCCCAGCTCCGCTCATTTTAAAAATGTGTGAGTGCTTGCCTTGATGCTAAATGATAGTTTTTCCAATTTGGGGAAGAATTTACATGTAACACCATTACGTAAAGACAGCAGGGTCCATGCTATCCGGGATCTTTGGGACGTCCCTACCACATTGAAGTTTACATTTCAAATGGTTAGGGAAGGGTATATTAGGTTTAGGGTAGACGTTAGGGTACGGACATCCCAAGGATTCCAGATAGCGTTAACACTAGGTTAAAAAAACTAAGGTCGCCGATAGCGGCCATACTCAGGTTGCGCATTCATATATTTTTCTATTAGTGTGGTTTTTAGCGTTGCATAACAGAAAATGTCTGCAACACGGTACCGTCGGTTCTTGAAACTCTGCGAAGAATGGCCACGGGACGAATCAAAGAAAAGCCGTGATTTAGGAACGTTTCTACGGCAGAGAGTAGCCCATGCCTTTCGTGAAGGTGAAAACACACAGGTAGAGCTAATCCATTTACTATGTCGCACGAGAACTTCAACCAATGTGGCTAGCTATCTTTAGCTAGGATGATGGGCTACCCGTCCATATCGACCTTGCAGTTGCATGCAAAACAAACATGCAGTGAGGGCAGCAGCACAGAAAATTAAAAGCACAATATGTAATTTCAAAACCCTACCACCGCTACTATTTGGTAAATTGATGAATGGGACTGAGGAGGAAATGTAGCCTAACCTATGATCAACTTGATGGTTTTAGACGTATTTTGAAACAATGAATTATTCCTTTGCAAAAACACTTATTTAGAAATTGCACTGACAGCAGGACATTTTACAGATTTAGCCCCTAAATCAAAAAAATTGTTTTCCCATATAACAGTATCTGTATGTGGATAGTTTCTAGATTATATTGTATGGACGCCCTATGACCTGGTCTGATCTTTCTTGACAGCTCTCAGATCCAGAGAAGTGTGATCAAATATATGAAAGCTTGGCCCGAATCAACACTAATGTATACAAAGAAAGAGTAAGTATTCACTTATACTGTATCCACCCAAAAAATAACAACATTTGCACGCGCTGAAGAAGTCTATATCGGTGTACTTATACAGGACTAGTAAAGGCTCAGCGCACATTAAAAGAAAATAAACTACATGTGTTTACCGGTAATTGTAACTTCAGTCTGATAATTATTTACAAAACCGTTAATCTGATAATACTTGACAAATATAAAAGTACTTGCTTGATATGTTTTCCAGTTTCTTGAAATTCTTTGCAAATGCAACTTATTTCTATGTGAACTGAAATGGTCTATTCATTCCTTTTCCATATTAGTAGACACTCTTATCCAGAGCAACTTACAGTAGTGAGCGCATACATTTTCATACTTTTTCGTACAGGGAATCGAACCCACAACCCTAGCATTGCAAGCGCCATGCTCTACCAACTGAGCCACAAACCGCTTGATGTCTCAATGTACTCAATTACTGTATTGTGCATTGTTTTTCTTCATGGTGATAGCAAGTCTATAGGTATAAACCTAGATGACCAACCTATGTACAATACAGTAATTTACATTAAGTGGTTTGTAAGGATGGTCAATTAATACTGCACAAAAAGTGGTTGTTTTCCATTTTATTTGATCAACAAAAATATTTAATTTGATGTGGATGTTTTGTGTCTTTGCCCATAACTTTGCACCTTTTGATGTAAATGTTTGAGGACAGGGTTTTGTTCTTTATGGATTCCATTAGAATGACAATCGCAGAGAAAGGGACAGGGCAACAACATTTACAATTCCAACTATTGAATCCTGCAAGATACTGTTATATACAACTAACTTTTTTGCCAAAGTGGAGATGCTGAAAAAAAAAGTTGTCCCATGCTACAGACGTTTATATTGGTCCGCTAATACTAGTAAAGGCCCAGTGCACTACTTTATTATTGTATATATATATATTTTTTTTTATTATGATTTTTCAGGGGGTGATGCTGCACCCTCAGCACCCCTACTTACTGCGGCTATCTTTCATATCAGTGAAAAAAAAGTAAATCACTACACACCTTTTATAGGGATAGAGTTAGTGTTCCCACACAGCAATATCTCCATGTTACAGCGCTTGTTTACAGAAGACAGATGGTAGACATAGGCCACCACCAGTGCTAATTAGCTATCTAGTGTGCTCCGAACACCTGTGTGTAAGCTAACTGGGTAGGAAGTGTAGTTCGTCAACTGGAGGCACACAATGTGTATGGATCTGTGCAAAACAGCTAGAGTATCTTTTTTTTATTTGAAAGATTATTTCTTGCTGACATGAAGGAAAAGGGGCATATCAGCATATGTTTCTAAACATTAAACAGAGCGTCGGAATTGTAGTTTAACAGAGCCAAATGTGGGCGAATGTAATGGAGAATGGTTTTACATATGGAGAATGGTTTTCGAGAGCTAGTCCACTGCCAGGACCATACACAGAGCGATGTCTGTTCATTACCCGTGCATTTGCTTGTTGCAGCAGCTATGAAAAATCTTGGAGAAAGCCAATTGATGCATTTATGTGTCAATGAGGGTTATCGTTGCCTCTAACTCCTGTAATATCTGTTCACAGTTCCCCCGCACAAGAGACACCAGTTTTACAAGTGTCACAGTGGAAGAATGTAGAATGCTATTAGCAACAGGTATGGACACATTGTCCCAAGTACATCACATTCATTATTTATGCATGCAGATACATTAGGGATGGGCAACTGGTGGCCTGTGCTTTTGTAGGCCTGCAGATCAATTCACCCCCCCCCCAAAAAAATAATAATTTATATATATATTTGAAACTCAGTCAGGGTCTCTTAGAATAGTAGAATATATAATATGCAATTTTGAAATTTGGTTGTGCGTCAGCAGTTTCTCTTATGTCAGTCACTCGCTAAGTTTCCATCCAATTGGCGACAGATTTTCATGCGAATATTCTAAAATCTGCATAAAGAAAATATGTGCATTTTCCCACCAGTGGTGTTTCCACCAAATTGACTTATTGCGGATAAAAATCAGTGCGTGATGATGTTATGCACACAAAATGTACTTTTTCGCTTAAATTATCATGTACCAAATGCAAATCTAAAGTTCAATGTGCGTCCATCGCATTTTCAACTCCAATAGTTTTGTCACAAACTGTTGCGTTAAATAGCAAATGTGCCTATTCTGGTCATGGCACGTATGCTCTGTTATTATGGATGAGCAATAATATTTAAATTTTTCAAACGGCAGTCAAGCATAGATTATCATGTCACCAGAATCAGACCCTCGATATTTGTTGGAAAAAAGCATCAAGATCACCGTGAACTTTCACCACCCTGTGAAGTTCATCATAAGTTATTTAATCTGTATCCTAATAAACTACATCGTTTCCCAAGTTGTAGTGGGAGGACCACACACCAAGTTTACTTCTATATGATGGTTATTATATCAATACTTGAGCATGAAGGCTTTTCCACCGCCATTTCTCGCTTAATTAATTTTACCTACACAAAAAAATCCCACTGTGTGGAACGAACAAATGATCTATCGGCATTTTATGAAATTGTACCGAAACTTCCTGTTTCCATCGCTTCTGTCATGATTTTTATTTATTTTTTATACGATATGACTTTACTCTTATAAAACTGTGGATGGAATCGTGGTTTATGACTATCACTCAATTATCCCATGTCAGCTAACATTTTAAAGATTGGTAAGTTAGTCTAGCCAGCTATCTAAAGTTGTAGCAATCATGGTCAAATTACTGACCGGGGCATTGATTTTGTTAGTCACTCTCACTTAGATATCATATTCAAAACAGCAGACAAATTCTCAGCCCCATGGCAAAATGTGTAGAATTGCAGGAAATGAACTATAAAATGTAAAAATATATATATCCCCCCCCACTGTGAAGAGGGGGGCCGCTAAAGTGTTTTGTTCGCAAAGTGGGGGGGCCCCAACAAAATGTTACTTAGGGCCCCCAAAAGGCTAGGGCCAGCTCTGACTGCATGTGTGGGTATGGATATGCAGACCCTGTGGCCCCTCATGATGAGTTCAGATTTTGTGGCCCCCGCCCCCATCACAGTTGCCCATCGCTGAGCTAAATGAATATAACATAATAGGTCTAGTTTTGTTGCAATAAATTAGCCAACTCATGTCAGAATGCTACTACATTTCAGGACATACACACTTCCCTATTTCTCTTCAATAATACCAGATCTTCTACTACATGACCAAAAGTATGTGGACACATGCTCGTCGAACATCTCATTCAAAAATCATGGGCATTAATTGATCCCCACTTTGCTGTTATAACAGCCTCCACTCTTCTGGGAAGACTTTCCACTAGATATTGGAACATTGCTGCGGGGACTTGCATTAGTGAGGTCGGGTACTGATGTTGGGCGATTAGGCCTGGCTCGCAGTCGGTGTTCCAATTCATCCCAAAGGTGTTCGATGGGGTTGAGGTCAGGGCTCTGTGCAGGCCAGTCAAGTTCTTCCACAGCGATCTTGATAAACCATTTCTTTATGGACCTCGCTTTGTGCACGGGGGCATTGTCATGCTGGAACAGGAAAGGGCCTTCTCCAAACTGTTGCCACAACGTTGGAAGCACAGAGTCGTCTAGAATGTAATTGTATGCTGTAGCATTAAGATTTCCCTTCACTGGAACTAAGGGGCCTAGCCCAAACAATGAAAAACAGCCCCAGACCGTTATTCCTCCTCCACCAAAGTTTACAGTTGGCACTATGCATTGAGGCATGTAGCGTTCTCCTGGCATCCGCTAAACCCAGATTAGTTCGTCGGACTGCCAGATGGTGAAGCGTGATTCATCACTCCAGAGAACACGTTTCCAGTGCTCCAGAGTCCAATGGTGGCAAGCTTTACACCACTCCAGATGACACTTGGCATTGCGCGTGGTGTTCTTAGGCTTGTGTGCGGCTGCTCGGCCATGGAAACCCATTTCATGAAGCTCCCGACGAACAGTTCTTGTGCTGACGTTGCTTCCAGAGGCAGTTTGGAACTCGGTAGTGAGTGTTGCAACCAAGGACAGATGATTTTTATGCACTACACTCTTCAGCACTCGGTGGTCCCGTTCTGTGAGCTTGTGTGGCCTACCACTTTGCAGCTGAGCCGTTGTTGCTCCTAGACATTTCCACTTCACAATAACAGCACTTACAGTTGACCAGGGCAGGTCTAGCAGGGCAGAAATTTGACGAATTGACTTGTTGGAAAGGTGGCATCCTATGATGGTGCCACGTTGAAAGTCACTGAGCTCTTCAGTAAAGCCATTCTACTGCCAATGTTTGTCTATGGAGATTGCATGGCGGTGTGCTCAATTTTATACACCTGTCAGCAATAGCTGAATCCACTAATTTGAAGGTGTGTCCACATACTTTTGTGTATATATATATATATATCAGTACCAGTCAAAAGGTTGGACACATCTACTCATTCCAGGGGTTCTTTATTTTTACTATTTTCTACATTGTAGAATAATAGTGAAGACATCAAAACTATGAAATAACACATATGGAATCATGTAGTAACCAAAGAAGTGTTAAACAAATCAAAATATATTTTAAATAGCCACCCTTTGCCTTGATGACAGCGTTGCACACTCTTGGCATTCTCTCAACCAGCTTCATGAGGTAGTCACCTGGAATGCATTTCCATTAACAGGTGTGCCTTCTTAAAAGTTAATTTGTGGAATTTCTTTCCTTCTTAATGCGTTTGAGCCAATCAATCAGTTGTGTTGTGACAAGGTAGGGAGTGGGGTATACAGAAGATAGCCCTATTTGGTAAAAGACCAAGTCCATATTATGGCAAGAACAGCTCAAATAAGAAACAACAATCCATCATTACTTTAAGACATGAAGGTCAGTCAATACGGAAAATGTCAAGAACTTTGAAAGTTTCTTCAAGTGCAGTCGCAAAAACCATCAAGCGCTATGATGAAACTGGCTCTCATGAGGACTGCCACAGGAATGGAAGACCCAGAGTTACCTCTGCTGCAGATGATAAGTTCATTAGAGTTATCAGCCTCAGAAATTGCAGCCCAAATAAATGCTTCACAGAGTTCAAGTAACAGACGCATGTCAACATCAACTGTTCCGAGGGGACTGTGAATCATTTACATTTTAGTCATTTAGCAGACGCTCTTATCCAGAGCAACTTACAGTTAGTGAGCGCATACATTTTCATACTGGCCCCCCGTGGGAAACGAACCCACAACCCTGGCGTTGCAAGCGCCATGCTCTACCAACTGAGCTACAGCGGACCTTCATGGTCGAATTGCTGCAAAAAAAACACTACTAAAGGACACCAATAAGAAGAAGTGACCTGCTTGGGCCAAGAAACATGAGCAATGGACATTAGACTGGTGGAAATGTGTCCTTTGGGCTGGAGTCCAAAGGATTGTTGGTTCAAACCGCCGTGTCTTTGTGGGACGTGGTGTGGGTGAACGGATGATCTCTGCATGTGTAGTTCCCACCGTAAAGCATGGAGGAGGTGTTATGGTGTGGGGGTGCTTTGCTGGTGACACTGTCTGATTTATTTAGAATTCATGGCACACGTAACCAGCATGGCTACCACAGCATTCTGCAGCGATACGCCATCCTATCTGGTTTGGGCTTAGTGGGACTATCATTTGTTTTTCAACAGGACTATGACCCAACGCACCTCCAGGCTGTGTAAGGGCTATTTGACCAAGAAGGAGAGTGATGGAGGGCTGCATCAGATGACCTGGCCTCCACAATCCCCAGACCTCAACCCAATTGAGATGGTTTGGGATGAGTTGGACCGCAGAGTGAAGGAAAAGCAGCCACAAGTGCTCAGCAGATGTGGGAACTCCTTCAAGACTGTTGGAAAGCATACCATGTGAAACTGGTTGAGAGAATGCCAAAAGTGTGCAAAGCTGTCATCAAGGCAAAGGGTGGCTGTTTGAAGAATCTCAAATATAAAATATATTTTGATTTGGTTAACACTTTTTTGGTTACTAGTTTCGATGTCTTCACTATTATAAAGAATAAAGAAAAACCCTTGAATGAGTAGGTGTGTCCAAGCTTTTGACTGGTACTGAATATATAGTGTATTAACGTTTCATGTCTGCTTCTGTCAGTTTTAGACACACCTGAAGTGTTAATTACATTTACATTTGAGTCATTTAGCAGACGCTCTTATCCAGAGCGACTTACATGAGCAATTAGGGTTAAGTGCCTTGCTCAAGGGCACATCGACAGATTTTTCACCTAGTCAGCTTGGGGATTAGAACCAGCAACCTTTCGGTTACTGGCACAACGCTCTTAACCACTAAGCTACCTGCCACATACCACCATCTAGTGGACTGAGGATACCAACATGTTCAGAGAAGCTTTTTTCTAAATAGGAGAAACAGACTGGCACTCTAGCCTGGGGGCCCTTTTGCAGTCTAGACACCCGCAATCTTTCAGCAGGAGGCTGGCACCCAGTCTTCAAGAGAGCAGAAACTGCAGACTGGCACCCAGGCTAAAGGAATTACACAGGGTGTTGTTCAAAACATGCATGGTTGGTTCTGATGTCTCTCTAACCACTCGTCTCTTCCACCTCACAGGTAACATGCAGCAGATGGATGAGGAGAAGAAGGGCTTGTGGAAAACTCTCACAGAGCGATTCTCCCCCAAACCAGAAGATATCACCCCTGAGAAGGCTCCTGAGAACAAGTAGCACTTCTCCTGTATATGTTTTCTTTCCCCTTCAGCCACTTTAGAAATAAAACGTTATTCTTATTTATTTGGTTGTCTTGTCATTTTAGCAGGGCCATTGTAACATACAGAATAAATGACGGCGCATAGAAAGTCTGACTGAAGTGGCAATCAGCAGTAGAAACAATAAAGCGGACTCCCCTGTTCCGGTAAAAAGGTGAGGGATGGGGCTGGAGAACTAACTACTCTCACATTTATAGACAGAGCTATGGATGTAAGGACTGACCATTCATTATATCAAACTTATAGTTAACCTTGTTTTGAGGCTATATAGTGTTTGTTTACAAAAATTGTAGTAAGACGAGCTTACATTTTGGGTTCTGATGGGGTACGACAGTTTAACTAAACTCATGAGGCATTTATAAGTTATATTCTTCAAGAATCAATGGGTACATATCAATTTATAAGTCAAAAAATTGATGTAGCAACTGATTGCCCCTTTAAAAAGGTCCAATGTAGCTGTTTATTTCAATATCAAATCATTTCTGGGTAAGAACTGTGATGGTTTTCAATTAAAATGGTCAAAGAGCAATTTCTCAAGCAATAATTTTCCTAGGACTGTCGGAGTGGTCTGAGTGGGGAGGGGAAATCTGTTATTGGCAGAGTGGTTTGGAACTCTTTCTTATTGGTCTATTACCTAATTTACCACCTGGTGATGTCACCAGGCATTCCAAAACTCCATCCCACCAAAACAGGCTGAAATTTCAGGCGGTCTTTTCAAACAGATCTTGCACTAAAAGGGCATCATCATTTTAACAAATTCACAGTATTATTCCAACCTCTGTGTGGATATATATATATATATATATATATATATATATATATATATATATATATATATACTGCTCAAAAAAATAAAGGGAACACTTAAACAACACAATGTAACTCCAAGTCAATCACACTTCTGTGAAATCAAACTGTCCACTTAGGAAGCAACACTGATTGACAATAAATTTCACATGCTGTTGTGCAAATGGAATAGACAACAGGTGGAAATTATAGGCAATTAGCAAGACACCCCCAATAAAGGACTGGTTTTGCAGGTGGTGACCACAGACCACTTCTCAGTTCCTATGCTTCCTGGCTGATGTTTTGGTCACTTTTGAATGCTGGCGGTGCTTTCACTCTAGTGGTAGCATGAGACGGAGTCTACAACCCACACAAGTGGCTCAGGTAGTGCAGCTCATCCAGGATGGCACATCAATGCGAGCTGTGGCAAGAAGGTTTGCTGTGTCTGTCAGCGTAGTGTCCAGAGCATGGAGGCGCTACCAGGAGACAGGCCAGTACATCAGGAGACGTGGAGGAGGCCGTAGGAGGGCAACAACCCAGCAGCAGGACTGCTACCTCCGCCTTTGTGCAAGGAGGAGCAGGAGGAGCACTGCCAGAGCCCTGCAAAATGACCTCCAGCAGGCCATAAATGTGCATGTGTCTGCTCAAACGGTCAGAACAGACACCATGAGGGTGGTATGAGGGCCCGACGTCCACAGGTGGGGGTTGTGCTTACAGCCCAACACCGTGCAGGACGTTTGGCATTTGCCAGAGAACACCAAGATTGGCAAATTCGCCACTGGCGCCCTGTGCTCTTCACAGATGAAAGCAGGTTTACACTGAGCAGACGTGACAGAGTCTGGAGACGCCGTGGAGAACGTTCTGCTGCCTGCAACATCCTCCAGCATGACCGGTTTGGCGGTGGGTCAGTCATGGTGTGGGGTGGCATTTCTTTGGGTGGCCGCACAGCCCTCTATGTGCTCGCCAGAGGTAGCCTGACTGCCATTAGGTACCGAGATGAGATCCTCAGACCCCTTGTGAGACCATATGCTGGAGTGTGTCAGCAGTTTCTGCAAGAGGAAGGCATTGATGCTATGGACTGGCCCGCCCGTTCCCCAGACCTGAATCCAATTGAGCACATCTGGGACATCATGTCTCGCTCCATCCACCAACGCCACGTTGCACCACAGACTGTCCAGGAGTTGGCAGATGCTTTAGTCCAGGTCTGGGAGGAGATCCCTCAGGAGACCATCCGCCACCTCATCAGGAGCATGCCCAGGCGTTGTAGGGAGGTCATACAGGCACGTGGAGGCCACACACACTACTGAGCCTCATTTTGACTTGTTTTAAGGACATTACATAAAAGTTGGATCAGCCTGTAGTGTGGTTTTCCACTTTAATTTTGAGGGTGACTCCAAATCCAGACCTCCATGGGTTGATACATTTGATTTCCATTGATAATTTTTGTGTGATTTTGTTGTCAGCACATTCAACTATGTAAAGAAAAAGATTATTTCATTCATTCAGATCTAGGATGTGTTATTTTAGTGTTCCCTTTATTTTTTTGAGCAGTGTATATAAATAAAACACAGGAAAATCACTGACTGCTCTGGGCCTTTCAATGCTATTCAAACACAGCCTTTTACATGGAGCAGGCAATCTTCCATAAAACAAATGTTGCTCAAATTCCCTAGCATTGTGTATATTAAAGTCTAGGTTGAGTTTAAGGTGATATTGTAGTTACAAGTAGTGCATATTACAAACAAACAGACATGGGTTTATGGAAATAGGTTTATTGGAAGAAAGCAAAGTAAACAAACCAGTGCAAAGAGATACTGTATGTACGTAGCAGAAGGTCAATCATAAAAAGCAATATAAGCAGTGTTTGGGGTATAGCTGACTTCCCATAAATTCAAGAATCCATCTTCAGGACAAAACAATGTATATTTCTAACATTGGCAATTGTAAATCAAATATGATATACTTCAGGCTTTGCTGGCATGTACTTTCCTTGTAGTAAGACTGAGTTGGCACAATAAATCAGTTCTCTGCAAAGCCATGCATGGTAAGCTTCAATAAATATTGGACTACATTTAAGAGTGAAGTTTTCTGAAATCTTGCAGAAGCCAAGCACCAATTTCTTCATTGGAGATTAGGTTATGGGAGAAACCTTTATGTAAAAAATACTAATAATAATAATACTCAAATAAAACACAGTAGCATGAAAATGACCATGGTATTGACAGCTCCATGGTCAATTGTTTAGACCATGGAGCTGTCAATACAAAGGCTATGCAATATGAAATAGGTTTTGATAACATAACTGTAAAGGAATAATGGTAGATGTTTTGGGGGTATTATAGCAACTTCAAAACAACTGTTTTATTATCAATAATATTTTACATTTTTTTGTAATGTAATGAATTAAGATCACATTACTGATGTTGAGTGTTGTTGCCTCATACAATTGCATGCCCAACTACATAGTATAGCCATTTTGAAAATGTGGTTTAGTGCAAAAAATCTCCTCATACAATTATTCAATATAACTGCAACCAGTAAGACCACATTTTGGTGTGAATATCAACTGACATGATTACTTCAACAGGAATGAAGACCTTTCAGAACCTGGGAGAAACCAAGTACGGTGCATACAGTGTTGCCTACTCCTCCTTTCCATTGTCATCCGGGTTATCTCTCCAGATGCAGTAGTTGAGGGAGGTGGCCAGGCATAGCCATGCCAGGTAGGGTGTCAGGAGCAGGCTGGCAGTGTGATTGACCGGATACCAGGATGCCATGGTGGCTCCAACAGCACCAGTCAGTATCACTATCTCTATGAGTGCCTGGGGGAGAGACAACACAAAATGGCTCATGTGTCATGTCACACTCACTGTAGCAGAATGGAGGTGGTTTTTACAATGGAATGTGTCTACGGATCACCTATTGGCAAAAATAATATTCAGAGAAATTCTCATTGAGTGTACTGATCTTTTTTTGTTTTTATGCACCAACTCCCCATTATCCCAAAACCTGAAGCCATGAGTCCTTATGACCAGCCCACAACTGTTGCATTATCTGAGAGCTCACCATTTTCAACTTGTGTGCGCCAAAGAAGATGGGAGTCCAGGCCCAGTTGAGAGACAGCTGCAACCCGTAGAGTCCCAAAGGTGCCACAGCATCCTTAGTGAATCCCCCACACTCCTTCCACACCAAGTAGGAGCCATACCTAGCAGGGTGATCGTCAAAAATAAGATGCAAGTCAGTTCCAAATTTCATGATCCATTTAATGGGAACATGTTTTTTTGAATGAAGTGTGTGGATCAGATTTCCACCACATTCAGTTGGGAAACAAAATACATTATGTAGAATCTATACTGAACAAAAATATAAACGCAACCTGTAAAGTGTTGGTCCCATGTTTCATGAGCTGAAATAAAAGATCCCAGAAATGTTCCATACGCACAAAAAGCTTATTTCTCTAATTTTGTGCCCCAATTTGTTTACATCCCTGTTAGTGAGCATTTCTCCATATCAAGATAATCCATCCACCTGACAGGTGTGGCATATCAAGAAGCTGATTAAACAGCATGATCATTACACAGGTGCACCTTCTGCTGGGGACAATAAAAGGCCACTCTAAAATGTGCAGTTGTCACACAACACAATGCCACAGATGTCTCAAGTTTTGAATGAGCGTGCAATTGGCATGCTGACTGCAGGAATGTCCACCAGAGCTGTTGCCAGAGAATTGAATGTTCATTTCTCTACCATAAGCCACCTCCAACATCGTTTTAGAGAATTTGGCAGTACATTCAACCAGCCTCACAACCGCAGACCACATGTTACCACGCCAGCCCAGGACCTCCTGAGACCAGCCACCTGGACAGCTGATGAAACTGAGGAGTATTTCTGTCTGTAATAAAGCCCTTTTGTGGGGAAAAACTAATTATGTTTGGCTGGGCCTGGCTCCCCAGTGGGTGCGCCCTTGTCCAATCATGTGAAATCCATAGATTAGTGCCTAATGAATTTATTTCAATTGACTGATTTCCTTATATGAACTGTAACTCAGTAAAATCGTTAAATGTTGCGTTTATATCTTTGTTCAGTATAGATCGTGTCGCTTTACAGTATCATATTGGTTGCCTTACAGCAATTACAATCTGAAAACACAGAAGGGGCTTAGGTGATTGTTTTCAACCTGGCAGAGTATGTATTCAACCTGGCAGAGTATGCTGTCTGACACTCACCCCATGCCTGTGTAGAGGGTGGTCCACACTATAGGGAACGCAGCATTGGGTGGCCGCCATGACGGCTTGTTGAGAGTGGGGTACCAAGTCTTCACCTGCTTGCGTGTGATGTAACCTCCATAGAGCCCTCCTAGATGAGGCAGGGCAGTCAGGCCAAGCATAGGCAGCCACGACATGTCTGGAGAAGCGAGGGAGCTGTTAATGATTAGTTCATTATAAATTGGGAGGTTCGAGCCCTGAATGCTGATTGGCTGACAGCCGTGGTATAGCAGACCGTATACCACGGGTATGACAAAACATTTATTTTTACTGCTCTAATTACATTGGTAACCAGTTTATAATAGCAATAAGGCACCTCTGGGGTTTCTGTTATATGGCCAATATACCACGGCTAAGGGCTGTATCCAGGCACTCCGTGCTTATGAACAGCCCTTAGCTTCTGCATTTTAGCCATATACCACACCCCCTCGGGCATTATTGCTTAATTATATACTGGTTAAACCTGTTCATTATTATTCTGTAAAATGTTTTACACTTGCAAAAGTAGTCTATAATTTGATGTGCCTATTATTGCAACTTCAAGGGAAACTTTCTTTTACTATAAAATATAGAAACGCGCCATTTTCACACACACCAAAAGTATGTGGACACCTGCTCGTCTAACATCTCATTCCAAAATCATGGGCATTAATATGGATTTGGTCCCCCCTTTGTTGCTATAACAGCCTCCACTCTTCTGGGAAGGCTTTCCACTAGATGTTGGAACATTGCTGCAGGGACTTGCTTCCATTCAGCCACAAGAGCATTAGTGAGGTCGGGCACTGATGTTGGGCGATCAGGCCTTGCTCGCAGTCGGCATTCTAATTCATCCCTAAGGTGTTCGATGGGGTTGAGGTAAGGGCTCTGTGCAGGCCAGTTGAGTTCTTCCACACAGATCTCGACAAACCATTTCTGTACGGACCTCGCTTTGTGCACGGGGGCATTGTCATGCTGAAACAGGGAAATGCCTTCCCCTGTTGCCACAAAGTTGGAAGCACAGAATCGTCTAGAATGTAATTGTATGCTGTAGCATTAAGATTTCCCTTCACTGAAACGAAGGGGCCGAACCATGAAAAACAGCCCCAGACAATTATTCCTCCTCCAAACTTTACAGTTGGCACTATGCATTTGGGCAGGTAGCGTTCTCCAGATTCCTCCGTCGAACTGCCAGATGGTGAAGCTGATTCATTTACATTTACATTTTAGTCATTTAGCAGACGCTCTTATCCAGAGCGACTTACAGTTAGTGAATACATATGTTTAAATTTTTAATTTTTTTTTAATTTTTATATAATAATAAATAATAATAATAATATGCCATTTAGCAGACGCTTTTATCCAAAGAGACTTACAGTCATGTGTGCATACATTTTTACGTATGGATGGTCCCGGGGATCGAACCCACTACCCTGGCGTTACAAGCGCCATGCTCTATCAACTGAGCTACATCCCTGCCGGCCATTCCCTCCCCTACCCTGGACGACGCTGGGCCAATTGTGCGCCGCCCATGAGTCTCCTGGTCGCGGCCGGCTGCGACAGAGCCTGGATTCGAACCAGGATCTCTAGTGGCACAGTTAGCACTGCGATGCAGTGCCTTAGACCACTGCGCCACTCAGGAGAACTATCATCACTTTAGAGAACGCGTTTCCACTGCTCCAGAGTCCAATGGCGGCGAGCTTTACAACACTCCAGCTGACGCTTGGCATTGCGCATGGTGATCTTAGGCTTGTGCGGCTGCTTGGCCATGGAAACCATGGACGTTTCCACTTCACAATAACAGCACTTACAGTTGACCAGGGCAGCTCTAACAGGGCACAAATTTGACGAACTGACTTGTTGGAAAGGTGGCATCCTTTGACGATGCCACGTTGAAAGACACTGAGCTCTTCAGTACGGGCCATTCTACTGCCAATGTTTGTCTATGGAGATTGCATGGCTTTGTGCTCGATTTTGTACACTTGTCAGTAACAGGTGTGGCTGAACTAGCCGAATCAACTAATTTGAAGGGGTGTCCACTGTACACTACATGCCCAAAAGTATGTTGATGTTGGGGTGGTGCTGGACACATTTTTTGAAATGTCCCTTTCAGAATTAGCCTACAATGCCATTAACCTACCAAACAGCTGAACTTTAAATGGCATTATAAATTAACAAGATTGAATAATTGCTTATAGCCTGCATGTATAATTTATAAACTACAAACTTTCCTGGAAACTAGTTAATGTGGGCCTTTTTTCTACCCCGCATTTCGATCATCCGACCTCAAGAGGCCGATATAGCGCCTTCTCACACCACGTGAATTAATTGTCACGTGTGCATACCATGATCATCTAAATCAGTGTTTCCCAAACTGTGGGGCGCGTGGTCGGCAGGTCCCCCGCTCCCCAAGGTGCAATTTTGAAATTGGGTAGAGCATCAGTTCCTCTTGTCATGTTAGTCATTGCATACCTTAGAGAGCTATTTATAACTTGTCAGAAATGTCCAGATAAACTAGCCCATGTTAGCTAAAGTTTTTGTATTTAGATGTTGCTGTAATTTTCTTTGCCACTCAAATACACATTTTTTAAAAATTAGCTTTAAAACTGCAAAATGTTCTTTGCACCCCATGACAAAATGTGTAGAATTGCTGGAAATAAGCTTTAAACCTGCAAAAAAGAGGGGTGTGAACAGTTTGTGTCAACAGTGCTTGTGCCCATAGAAATAGACGTGGCACGTGCAGGGGGGGCGCGGGATGTTCCCCAATGCTGGAAGGGCCCCAACCCGAGTGAAAAAGTTTTGGAATCCCTGATCTTACGCAGGGGTGTCAAAATTTTGCCCCTGATGCGGCATTCGAGCGCTGCACTGAAATGTTGTTGTATTTCCTTACGTGTATCCATCGAGATTATTAGCGAGCTGGACAGTCAAGAAACTGTATGAATATTAGGTCTTATTTGTACACAGTTTCGATTTGGTTTTAGTCATTTTCAAGTATATTGAGTTCATTCCCCTGCCATATGTTTGACACCCCTGATCTAATGTAATTATCCAATTAGTCAAAAATAAATTACCAACCATGTGGATTGACTTCAGATAATTGTTTTATCTGAAGGCCATATCAACATACATATTGTACTTATTCATTGTCTTGTCAACATCATTTGGGAATAACAGTCATTTTTTATGTCCGAAAATGTAACCTATTTACGAACAAAGTAGCTATTTCCATTCGCTATAGAAATACATGTAAAAACGTAAATGCTGAGGATATGGCTTTTGTAAGTGCCAATATCCGAAAATGCACGCATTCATTAACACATGTAAAGAATGGAGGTGCAGTCTGGTAAAAAAACAACAAAGCATCTCCATAATAACAGATGAATCCACTGACACACAAGACCAATATATTCTTCATATTTTGTAGGAGAGCTGGGTGAAGACATTACAGTTGGTCTGGCTGATACAGTGTATTTACAGATAGTGAACTCCTGAACAGCTAATCATGGCTACCCGGACTATTTGCATTGTCTTCACCCAGCCCGTCTTTTACGCTGCTGCTACTCTGTTTATTATTTATGCAGTCACTTTAACTCTACCCACATGTACATATTACCTCAATTACCTCGACTAACTGGTGCCCCCGCACATTGACTCTGTACCTGTACCCCCTGTATATATCCTCCCTACTGTTATTTTATTTTACTGCTGCTCTTTAATTATTGACAAATAGCCTTTTGAGTGACTAAAACGTATTCTCTCATGGCTTACTACCAGGAAGTTTGAAAAGACAGGCTGAGTGGGCAGGGAGCTTATAGCTCAGTTGGTAGAGCATGGAGCTTGCAACGCCAGGGTTGTGGGTTCGTTTCCCACGGGGGGCCAGTATGAAAATGTATGCACTCACTAATTGTAAGTCGCTCTGGATAAGAGCGTCTGCTAAATTACTAAAATATTTTTTTAAATGTAATATTCATGAGCTTGCCTTTACTGACAGCTCTTTGAAACGCCTATATGTCAAGAAACTTGGATGCAGTGAACAGTGTTGCAGTAAAATCATCTCAAGCAAATTTGGTGATACACAAAGCAACTCAAACTTTGAAATTGCATCAATGATGTATACATCTCCCGTTTGGCATGTCTCTTGTGATGCGGTTCACAGCAGCACTTTCACTCTACCTACACTACCGTTCAAAAGTTTGGGGTCACTTAGACATTTCCTTGTTTTCCATGAAAACATACATGAAATTAGTTTGAATAGGAAATATAGCAAAATGCAAAGGAAATGTAGTCATTGACAAGGTTAGAAATAATGATTTTTAATATAAATAATTGTGTCCTTCAAAAACTTTGCTTTTGTCAAAGAATCCTCCATTTGCAGCAATTACAGCCTTGCAGACATTTGGCATTCTAGTTGTCAATTTGTTGAGGTAATCTGAAGAAATTTCACCCCATGCTTCCTGAAGCACCTCCCACAAGTTGGATTGGCTTGATGGGCATTTCTTACATACCATACTGTCAAGCTGCTCCCACAACAGCTCAATAGGGTTGAGATCTGGTGACTGTGCTGGCCACTCCATTATAGACAGAATACCAGCTGACTGCTTCTTCCCTAAATAGTTATTGCATAGTTTGGAGCTGTGCTTTGGGTCATTGTCCTGTTGTAGGAGGAAATTGGCTCCAATCAAGCGCCGTCCACAGGGTATGGCATGGCGTTGCCCTCGAAGCCAGTGTTTGGAGGATATATTGGCACAGGTGTTGTTAGGCCCATTTCCCTTTCAGGACCTAAATTATGAAACTATCAGCTCACATGAATGACCCGAGCGCACTTCTCTCTTGCAAAACGTTTTGTCTGTTACGAAACCGTTTACTCCAAACGGAAAACGTTTTGCAACGAAAATGAGAGTTTCTATTGGACAAATTCAGGTACTCCCCGTTTCGTTCTGTTTGCTCTGTTTGCTTCCTTTTGGTTCTTAAATGGTAAACGGTTTCTGTTGCAAGACGTAGGCCTAATGAATACACCCCTGGCAAGTCAACAAAGTTGTAGTAGGCAAAAGCCAACCAGTACACTTTCACTGAACAGTCAATTGATAAACAGTCAAGCTATAAAAAGTTTAGTTTTAAATTAACACATGACACGTAACATAAAGGCTTAACAAATATCCCATTCATGCATCTGAAGAGTACATAAAGTTAAACATTCAAATACCAAACCATACCATCTCTATTCTTCACGTTTATGATTATTGAACGGGCGAATTTGCAACTTTGTAACAACTAACAAGATACATTGAAACATTGTCAAACTTGTGTTAATCGATCGCAATAATGTATCTAGTCTTACCTGTTAGATGAGTGCAATCGTTTTAGGATGTCACACGGAGCTTGTAGGCTACGGTTCAGGGAAGGGTGAGCAAATGAACAGAGTGGAGGCCAGACAACACCTTTTCTAAAGCATTCTGAAAAAACAAGATAAAATGCTTCCGTCAAGGATCGGGTTCTCTTATCGCATAGGCCTAGTTCTTCTTGTTAAGGACACGCCCAGAGTGTTACAAAACCCAGTCGTTCTGTTGTATAGAATCAATGCTGCGTAGAGGCTGCGCATGCTTTCACTTATTTAAAGCCACACTGGAAGATGTGAATGGGCCTCGGACCATGAACAAAAACACAAACAATGGAGAAAACGCCAGGACAGCGGAGTCACTGACCACCTTCCGGAGACACTTGAAACCCTACCTCTTTAAGGAATAACTGGAATAGTATAACAGTAATCCTTCTACACCCCCCCATTGAAAAAAAAAAAAGGGTGGTTGTCCCACTGGCTATCCTAAGTTGAATGCACCAATTTGTAAGTCGCTCTGGATAAGAGCGTCTGCTAAATGACTTAAATGTCAAATGTAAATGTATTTCTAGGCTATTTGCCACGTGTGAATTGTGCTGTTATGTGTTTTTTATTTATCCGAATGCCATAACTGAAGTTCTCTCTAGGGAAAATACAGTTATTATATTCTATTGTATTTATATTATATTATATTCCATACATCACATCCAGGTACAATAGAAAATAATAGAATAACCTTTTTTTACCAGAGGAAACTCAGCTCAGCTGTAGGCCTACTGAAAATATACAGTATGATACTCTATTATGTTTGTCATATTCAAGTTCAATAGAATAAAATATAATAAATGTAGGTTTCCCAGAGTAAAAAAAAAAAGAAAAATATATTATCTTTCTTTCTTTTCTATTCTCCTATTTTCTCTTCTATATGTCACATTCAAGGACATTAGAATATAATCAATATAATCGAATAGAATAAAACATTTCCAAAAGGAAGCTCTGTTCAGCCATAATGAAAAATTACTTTTTGTAATGTAGCATACGCTCTTATCCAGAGCGACTTATAGTTAGTGCATTCATCTTAAGATAGCTAGGTGAGAAAACCACATATCACAGTCATAGTAAGGATATTTTCCCTCAATAAAGTCCTCGCTAGTAAGAAAAGACAAGTGCGAGTGTTCGTTTTATATATATAAAGATATTCTATCCTATTCTATTCCATTTAATGTACTTAAATATCACATAGAATTGAACATCATAGGAATATAATAGAAAATAGTAGAATAGAAGGTTGAAAGGCAGTGAAATTACCCTCACTTTAGACTTATAAAAACCAGCATGGCCCAGTAGTGTACACCTGGTGGTGAGACAAAGTAGGCAACCTTCAATTACAACTATAAATCATGTGTTTTTCATTAGGCTATTCTTCTAATGTATTATTCAAATCCATAGATTATTTATATGGATTTGTTAGTGACTGATTTGCTCCACCTACCCAAGGCCGGCCCGCTCATTAGGCAGCTACCTATAGTGGCAGATTGACGAGGGCGGCATTTTCTGAGCTAAACTGACCAAGACGCACCTCCAACAACACATAAAACCTCACATAATTCTGCACAAAAATAATGACAATTTCTCTCAACCAGTAGCATATGGGCTTTTTAGGTGAGCACTGATGCCGCCCTATGATAAGCAGTGCCCACTATATCAAAGGCAGGGAGGCAAAATATGTATATTGTCCATTCCCAGCGTGCCTCTCCAGGGTGCTGTTGGAGAAACGCAATGCCGCGGCGCTCTGGCAACATTCTGTCCAAAAAATGATCTAACATAAATCATGTAGAAGATATAGCGTATGGTAGAAAGAGTATGTTGCCTTTTCTGTAGCCTACAGGCTGGAGATAAAATGTATGACAATGTAATGAGAGGAAAAGTTTTACATCATGCAGGTTTCTCCAATCATATAGCCTAACCTAAATGGCGCCCAATCAAATAAAAAATGTGCTGACATGTTAACAAACAACATATCCTAAAAACAGCACAGGTCAAAGGAAAATGGACACTATGGAATCGACAATCAGGCTACTCACAACTGCTGTTCAGGAATTGCATTCCGTGGGCTAAATTGTCATGATCAGTGGTTTCAAGTTTGTATTCCGAAAATGTTTTACGAGCTGATCATAGTGAAAAAGAAAATACTTCTTCTGCATTTCCCGCTGTGTAAACTCATTGCAAATAGGCTCAGGATAACTCCTCCTGATAAAGTTGGGTGACTGATATTCAGAGCTTAAATTGATTAGTCACAGGAATCAGGACTAATAAAGCCAATGCAAATGCTTGTTTTACAAATGGTGGGCCTACCACATAGATGGGCATTCCTAAAATAACATTTCAGGCAACACTGTAGGCCAGGGATGGGCAACTCCAGTCCTCTGGGGCCTGGTTGGTGTGACACTTTTACCCCAGCCCCAGCTAACACATCTGACTCCAATAATCAACTAATCATGATCTTCAGTTTAGAATTAGTTTAATCTGCTGTGTTCACTAGGGATGGGGAAAAAGTGTGACACCACTCCGGCCCCAGAGGACTGGAGATGCCCATCCCTGCTGTAGGCTATAACTCCATAAGCACAGCCGACCTTGATGCCTTTTGGAAACATTTTTTGTCACACCTAGGGTGGCTGAACGGCCAGGACCGGCCCTGCACCTACCCTATCGTCCTATAGCAAACCATATTCACACCTTAGCGTCACATTCAGTCCTCCAGCTTTCTATACCTTCTTGTCGCTCCACAAAACCTCGTTGTCTGATTTTGAACTTTCACCCCGGTGGTCGGAAAATGTCAAAGAGAGGCCCGTGCTGCAGCGGGAGGGGGAGGGGGGAGGGGGGCGTAAATGAAAACAACAACAACAACAACAGTTTATTGCTTTGTTTTTATTTAGCAAGTGTCATATCCAATACTAGAATCAGAAACCGACGCGTAGCTGACCAGTTTCTCTCGCAGCCGCGGTTGACAACAATTTGCAGTCTTGATCATTCTCGTTTCGCATAACAATCCTTGCCAAACATGTGAGTAGTAACCCCGGCTGTATGTTTCCTTTAGTAAACCTGTTATATCTGCGATATGGCTTTCTGCCATGTGACCTCTCCCATTTTCACAGATAGGCTAAACAATGTCGGTGTGCAGTGTTTCATACAAAAAAAGCTGTCTGTGTTCCGCTACAATCAAACCTGCTCGGCTGCTGCGCTGCAAATGTATAAATGCTTTCGGTGTCATGGTGCGTTTGTATGGCGACGTCGATTTATTGTTTTTATTTTTATTTTTTAGAGATCCCCATGCGTTGCGTTTTCTTAGTGTTTGGCTGACGAAAGGAAATCCGTAATAAGGGACCTGATTATCGGTAGCTATAGCATCTCTTTTGAAAAATGATTACATTTTCATCCCGCTTAATAATGCAGAGTATCATGCCTATATCACATCAGGATCACAGAGTCAGTATGGTCATATAGACTACTTAGCTATATGAGATTAGAAACACCACCAATGATTACAGTAGTAATATTTTGTATTCATTTTGTATAGGCTAAGCCCTAACAAAAATGAATGAATGATCAAAGCATTATTATAGGCTATTTGTCTCTTATTATGGGCAGGTAAGACATATTGACTGCTGGTGTGTCTATTGCCAGTGCAGTTTGATTGGGGGGATTGCACACAAACATCTTGGTCTGTTTGTCTCAGTAGTCCATTTCTGAAGTTATTACATGGTAGGCCTAATAAGCATGGTAATGCAGCAAATGTAACACAAATACATATTGACCCTCAATTAAAATTAATAATGCATCATAGTAGTGGAAATACTCATATCTGGGCCAGCTGACATGCTGTTAATTATCTCTGGTCCCAAGGGTGGCACCAGACAACACTAAACACCTTGAATTCATCACCCATACAGCTTCTACCCCCAAACCATAAGACTCCTGAACAGCTAATTAAATGGCTAACCGGACTATTTGCATTGTAGTCACTTTAACTCTACCTACATGTACATATTACCTCAATTACCTCAACTAACCTGTGCCCCCGCACATTGACTCTGTACCGGTACCCCCTGTATATAGCCTCGCTACTATTATTTTACTGCTGCTCTTTAATTCTTTTTTATTTTTATTTTTTACTGATCTTATTTTTCTTAAAACTGCATTTTTGGTTAAGGGCTTGTAAGTAAGCATTTCACTCTAAGGTCTACACCTGTTGTATTCGGCACATGTGACAAATACAAATTTATTTGATTTAAGGTTTTATCTAGGATTTCTTTGTCTTCATTTATCCCTGGTATACAAGTGATGAGTTAGGCCTAGTCTACTTCATACTCAGAGTTCGGGTGATCATTTTGTTGTTTTACTCAAAAAACACTGAGGGTAAAAACAATATGCTGTAATAATAATAATATGCCATTTGGCAGACGCTTTTATCCAAAGCGACTTACAGTCATGCGTGCATACATTTTTTGTGTATGGGTGGTCCCGGGGATCGAACCCACTACCTTGGCGTTACAAGCGCCGTGCTCTACCAGCTGAGCTACAGAGGACCACATTGTAAACCTGGGTCCGTATTCATAAAGTAGGAGTGCTGATCTAGGATTAGTTTTGCCTTTTAGATCATTATTGATTAGAGGTTTACCTGATCCTAGATCATCACTCCTACTCTGAGACGCTTTATGAATACAGGCCCTTTAGTAAACCTTCTTTCCATTTTTTCTCAAAATGTTCTCTTGCAGGAGGGAGAAAATAATGCTCCTGTTGCTGATGTCCATCCAACCTACTAGCTCTCTCTCCACCATGACATCCAGCAGAGGACTTTGGGATTGACGCTGGGATCACTCCCACTGATGGCCTGGACTGGGTAGGAATACTGTGTGTGTGTTTAATAGACAGTGATCATTAGACAGAGACAGACAAATGTCCCCTTTTCCTAGTATCACAAAATGTTGTAATGAAATCATTCATAGGTCTTTGGTCCCACTCCTCTACAGTGTGTGTGTTCATGGGATAACGTCTATCTATCTTTTTCTGTAGGTTTCAGCTGTCCTGCTGAAGCTATGGGGAGCTGTTGGAGCTGTCTATACAGAAACCCCATCCAAGACAGCCATCTTACAAAATTCAAGGTACCTTTCTAAACCCTACCTAGTGTGTGGTGTATCAGATACCTAGTCTATGGTGTTTTATTGTTATGACGAGCTGTTCTTTGCGGTTGTGCTTTTTCCCTATACACCTGGCTATTATGGCTCAGATATAACAGTGGATAGTCAGCTATCTAGCTATCTATTGATGCCTAATATCTAATATCTAAAAATAAATTTAAAAAAAACTCTTGTCACATACACTGGATAGGTGCAGTGAAATGTACTGTACTATGCCCTGTTAACCTTTGTATACAGATAGTGACTGCATTATAGACAGTGTACTTCCAAATACAATACTCTATCTTCTTAATTTAGCCACATATTTATACTCTGCATCTATGTCAGTGGTCACCAAACTTTTCTGAGTCATGATCACTTTCGCAGTCAAAAAGCAAGCCGAGATCTAACGCTCAGATATATTTTTAAAGATGACTTAAAAAATGTAACATTAACCTAATAAAAACAGTTCTGTAGGAATGAGGTTTGTGCAGTAGGCCTAATACATTATCACAGCATATTCACTATATACTGTATATGCCTAATATTGTTTTTCTCAGACCATATTATATTTGAAAACTCGAGCTTTGATAACAAAATATATCAGTTGGTGTAGCACTTGCGAGACACAGCTGAGCATAAATAGAAATAATGAGCAAATAATTATATTTTTTATTTTACTGGACTGATGGTACCTGCATCTGATGGTCATGGTGCTTTCAAGACAACTGGGAAGTCTGAAGAAATTGAGGTCAAATCATGACGTCAGTGATCTTCAGGTCGGAAAGTCGGAGCTCTAGAAAGATGCCAGAGTTTCCGATTTGGAATTCGCAGTTGGATGACCGTTCAAAACTTTTTTTCACAGTCGGATCTTGTTTTTTTCCAAGTTCCCGTTTTCTTGAATGCACTGAAGTCTGAGATTTCCGAGTTCCCAGTTGTTTTGAACATGGCATTAGTCTCAGTGGAGGGAGGGAGAGAGCAGCAGAGGGTCCGCCTTTCACGGTCAATGCTCTCACCTTCCTTTCCTCCGGTGATACTGACCAGAGAGAGGGGACACCGTCTTCCACCTGATGACGAAACTCCAGTCGCACCACATCTGCCTCAGGCACAAATTCATGTTCTTCCTATGACCAGAGAATTCCTTCATATTAAAATAGACACAATGAGCTGCTAATAATAATAAAAATGCAGGGCTATCGATACACTTGGCTTATCATTCATTGCAGCTGCAGCGCGAGTGGAAGTAGGGAGAAGCGCGTTTTCTGTTTTGTAATAGTGTTGAATAAAAACAGTGTTGACAGTGCTGAATAAAAACTTAGACATGAACTCACTCATAAAAACAGCAGCTCTTTGCTGTATTCTTTGACAGTCTCTGTCTGGTCATGGTTTTAAAAGTAATGAAATCTCACTTAGGCCATTATCAAACTTTGCTGTGGCCGGGGTCGTAGAATCTGTAGGCACAGTGATTTGAGCTATCTGATTGGCCAGCGCAGTAGGCGCACAGATCTTCCAGTCTGCCAGGTAGGGCAGACAAATGAAATGGTTCAAGATGTCTTCCTGGTGCGCAGGGCTTCTGAGTCAAGTGCACCTACCGCCAACAGCGCAACACACAAAAAAAAGGAGCACCATCCTTTATGCCTTTTTGTTGGCTTTTCTACAGAAATGTTTGATGATCGACTAGGAATGCCTTGATCGCGATCGACCGGTTGGTGACCACTGATCTATGTCGTGCTTATGAAGACTATATGTATGCTATATAAATCCTTTATAAATTGTAGCTCGTTTAAAGTAGGACCACAAACTGGGATAACTTACTTATTGGCATTTTCCCATGGCAGGTGACCAATGTGGATGATGAGGGGAATGAGTTGGGCTCTGGGACCATGGAGCTCACCCAGACCGAGCTCATCCTGCACACACGGAAGAGGGACGCCATCCGGTGGCCCTACCTGTGTCTGCGGCGCTACGGCTACGACTCCAACCTCTTCTCATTCGAGAGTGGCCGGCGCTGCCAGACTGGACAGGGTGAGTCTGAAACAACTGGCCTAGCTAATACTATATAGGTATTACAAAATGTTGCCCTATGAGATGTGTGTACATACATGTGTACATCCAGTGCTGAGTAAGGGCAACGTTTCTGTTCTACTTTTGTATGAAAATGAACCACAATTGGAATGGGAGAATTGTACTTAAGTGATTGGCCAGCTGCTGATATTAGCATCTTAAAGTTGGTTGTTGTCATTGATTGAATTGTTTCAGATAACTTATACATTTGCTTCTGTCATTTCTTTTTGGTCAGGAATCTTTGCATTCAAACAACAACAGTTTTAGATTAGTTTAAGATAACTTATACATGTATATGTGTGTTTTCTCTGTGGTCATGCAGGAATCTTTGCGTTTAAATGTTCTCGTGCGGAGGAGATTTTCAACCTCCTCCAGGAGCTGATGCAGTGCAACAGTATCAATGTGGTGGAGGAGCCTATGATCATGACCGGCAGTGGACACGCACGAGAGATAGACATGCCTCGAACACCACAGACACCCAACAGTAAGCACAAACACAAATACAAACACACACACACAATTTACAATTTAATTTCACAGTAATGCAGGACAAATGTGGAGCAATAGCTGAGAATATGTGTTTGAAAAGAGTTTGGGGGAAAAACAGAGTAATAATTCCGGATATCAGGGCTCTGGTGTGGAAAAAAATGGAATAACATTTCATTTGTCACATGCGCCAAATACAAAGGGTGTAGCCTTAACCGTGAAATGCTTGCTTAAATCCAAAACCTAATTTTATTTGTCACATGCACCAAATACAACAGGTGTAGACATTAACGTGAAATGCTTACGAGCCCTTCCTAACGATGCAGAGTTTTAAAAAATATAAAAAGAAAAATAGTAACATAAGGAATAAAATATACAAGAATGGAACTTTCTTTTTAAGAATGATGGATGCCACTGTGTTCTTGGGGACCTTCAATGCTGCAGAAATGTTTTGGTACCCTTCCCCAGATCTGTGCCTCGACACAATCCTGTCTCGGAGCTCTATGGACAATTATGTTTTCGACGTCATGGCTTGGTTTTTGCAATGACATGCACTGTCAACTGTGGGACCTTATATAGACAGGTGTGTGCCTTTCCAAATCATGTCCAATCAATTGAATTTACCACAGGTGGACTCCAATCAAGTTGTAGAAACATCTCAAGGATGATCAATGGAAACAGGATGCACCTGAGCTCAATTTCGAGTCTCATAGCAAATGGTCTGAATACTTATGTAAATAAGGTATTTCTGTTTTTATTTTTAATAAATGTGCAGAAATGTCTAAAAACCTGAAATCGCTTTGTCATTACGGAGTATTGTGTGTAGATTGCTGAGGAATTTATTTTATTTAATCCATTTTAGAATAAGGCTGTAATGGAACAACATGTGGAAAAAGTCAAGGGGTCTGAATCCTTTCCGAAGGCACTGTACAAGGAGTACCACTACTACAGTGTGCAGGGGTACGAGGTATTTGAGGTAGATATGTACAGTGAGGGAAAAAAGTATTTGATCCCCTGCTGATTTTGTATGTTTGCCCACTGACAAAGAAATGATCAGTCTATAATTTTAATGGTAGGTTTATTTGAACAGTGAGAGACAGAATAACAACAAAATAATCCAGAAAAAAGCATGTCAAAAATGTTATAAATTGATTTGCATTTTAATGAGGGAAATAAGTATTTGACCCCCTCTCAATCAGAAAGATTTCTGGCTCCCAGGTGTCTTTTATACAGGTAACGAGCTGAGATTAGGAGCACACTCTTAAAGGGAGTGCTCCTAATCTCAGTTTGTTACCTGTATAAAAGACACCTGTCCACAGAAGCAATCAATCAATCAGATTCCAAACTCTCCACCATGGCCAAGACCAAAGAGCTCTCCAAGGATGTCAGGGACAAGATTGTAGGCTGGAATGGGCTACAAGACCATCGCCAAGCAGCTCGGTGAGAAGGTGACAACAGTTGGTGCGATTATTCGCAAATGGAAGAAACACAAAAGAACCGTCAATCTCCCTCGGCCTGGGGCTCCATGCAAGTTCTCACCTCGTGGAGTTGAAATGATCATGAGAACGGTGAGGAATCAGCCCAGAACTACACGGGAGGATCTTGTCAATGATCTCAAGGCAGCTGGGACCATAGTCACCAAGAAAACAATTGGTAACACACTACGCCGTGAAGGACTGAAATCCTGCAGTGCCCGCAAGGTCCCCCTGCTCAAGAAAGCACATATACATGCCCGTCTGAATTTTGCCAATGAACATCTGAATGATTCAGAGGAGAACTGGGTGAAAGTGTTGTGGTCAGATGAGACCAAAATGGAGCTCTTTGGCATCAACTCAACTCGCCGTGTTTGGAGGAGGAGGAATGCTGCCTATGACCCCAAGAACACCATCCCCACCATCAAACATGGAGGTGGAAACATTATGATTTGTGGGTGTTTTTCTGTTAAGGGGACAGGACAACTTCACCGCATCAAAGAGACGATGGACGGGGCCACGTACCGTCAAATCTTGGGTGAGAACCTCCTTCCCTCAGCCAGGGCATTGAAAATGGGTCGTGGATAGATATTCCAGCATGACAATGACCCAAAACACATGGCCAAGGCAACAAAGGAGTGGCTCAAGAAGAAGCACATTAAGGTCCTGGAGTGGCCTAGCCAGTCTCCAGACCTTAATCCCATAGAAAATCTGTGGAGGGAGCTGAAGGTTCGAGTTGCCAAACATCAGCCTCGAAACCTTAATGACTTGGAGAAGACCTGCAAAGAGGAGTGGGACAAAATCCCTCCTGAGATGTGTGCAAACCTGGTGGCCAACTACAAGAAACGTCTGACCTCTGTGATTGCCAACAAGGGTTTTGCCACCAAGTACTAAGTCATGTTTAGCAGAGGGGTCAAATACTTATTTCCCTCATTAAAATGCAAATCAATTTATAACATTTTTGACATGCGTTTTTCTGGATTTTTTTGTTGTTATTCTGTCTCTCACTGTTCAAATAAACCTACCATTAAAATTATAGACTGATCATTTCTTTGTCAGTGGGCAAACGTACAAAATCAGCAGGGGATCAAATACTTTTTTCCCTCACTGTATGTGAATGCAGGGTAAAATGACTAGGCATAATTAAGTGATAATGCCTGAAAAGCCGGTGTTTGGAGGATATATTGGCACGTGTGTTCGTCGAGGGCCGACAAACAGAGTAATAATTCCGGATATCAGGGCTCTGGTGTGGAAAAAATGGAATAACATTTCATTTGTCACATGCGCCAAATACAAAGGGTGTAGCCTTAACCGTGAAATGCTTGCTTAAATCCAAAACCTAATTTTATTTGGCACATGCACCAAATACAACAGGTGTAGACATTAACGTGAAATGCTTACGAGCCCTTCCTAACGATGCAGAGTTTTAAAAAATATAAAAAGAAAAATAGTAACATAAGGAATAAAAATACAAGAATGGAACTTTCTTTTTAAGAATGATGGATGCCACTGTGTTCTTGGGGACCTTCAATGCTGCAGAAATGTTTTGGTACCCTTCCCCAGATCTGTGCCTCGACACAATCCTGTCTCAGAGCTCTATGGACAATTATGTTTTCGACGTCATGGCTTGGTTTTTGCAATGACATGCACTGTCAACTGTGGGACCTTATATAGACAGGTGTGTGCCTTTCCAAATCATGTCCAATCATTGAATTTACCACAGGTGGACTCCAATCAAGTTGTAGAAACATCTCAAGGATGATCAATGGAAACAGGATGCACCTGAGTTCAATTTCGAGTCTCATAGCAAATGGTCTGAATACTTATGTAAATAAGGTATTTCTGTTTTTATTTTTAATAAATGTGCAGAAATGTCTAAAAACCTGAAATCGCTTTGTCATTACGGAGTATTGTGTGTAGATTGCTGAGGAATTTATTTTATTTAATCCATTTTAGAATAAGGCTGTAATGGAACAACATGTGGAAAAAGTCAAGGGGTCTGAATCCTTTCCGAAGGCACTGTACAAGGAGTACCACTACTACAGTGTGCAGGGGTACGAGGTATTTGAGGTAGATATGTACAGTGAGGGAAAAAAGTATTTGATCCCCTGCTGATTTTGTATGTTTGCCCACTGACAAAGAAATGATCAGTCTATAATTTTAATGGTAGGTTTATTTGAACAGTGAGAGACAGAATAACAACAAAATAATCCAGAAAAAACCATGTCAAAAATGTTATAAATTGATTTGCATTTTAATGAGGGAAATAAGTATTTGACCCCTCTGCTAAACATGACTTAGTACTTGGTGGCAAAACCCTTGTTGGCAATCACAGAGGTCAGACGTTTCTTGTAGTTGGCCACCAGTCGTTCGTTCTAAATGTTCCATTGCCATACTGGCTGGCAATGTTCTTATCCCTTGCTTGCTAGCTAGCCAACTACGTCTTACTTACAGTCACGTCAAAAAATGCAGCCAGAATAACAGCAAAGTAGCTGTTTTCTAGTTAGATTTATTTGGATACATCCATAACAATGAGCTAACAATGGGCTAAATGTACTCTCTTGTCAGGACACTGTTCAGAAAAAAGAAAGACAACCCATGACATTCATTTGAGCTGATTTTAATAAATGAAACCATACATTCTCTTTGTTATCCACCACAGCTGAGATAGCTATAGTTACTTATTGTATGTCACATTTATCTGTATATTTCCCTGGATGGTGCATTGGTTGAAATATCTGTCGGATTCTGTGCTACTACTTCTGCTGCCTTCCTTCAGCCTTTTGGGTGTTGATGGTGCTGCAGTGTTCTTTTTTTTCTTCGGCCAGGATGTTGCTCCAGCGTTTTCTGTCTGTCAGTGAGGGACGCCAGTATCTATGAAGCAAACCTTTGCACCGATGCCCACTCACTGACATAATCTCCCTCTTCTAAACCAGCATTGGCCAGTTTCTGGACTGTCGTGGTCCTGATGCTGTGATTTGTGTATGTAGTTGTTCCCGCTGCCCTGCAGATCTTGGGTAAAAGTGCTACCAGATAGTTCACGCCCATCAGCTCTGACGTGTACCAGATCGAGTCCCTGATACACTCTCCTCTCCTTGGGTTGAGATCAAATGCAAGGGCATTCTCCGGACATTTCGATAGATATTTCTCCAGTGATGCTACTGGGCATAGTGGCTTCCCTAGCTGCTCGAACATGAATCCCCTCTTGGACTCCCTGTCCCTCTCCCTTGGGTCCAGATTATTCTTTGTGGCCTCGTTATATGCGAGAGTGGCGTATCTGAGAGAGAGAATGTGTTATTATAATATTGTTTTCCAGTAGACTAATTACGAGTGCAATTTAAAAATAACACAAACAGGCTATGAACAACATACCTTAGACCGTTCTCGTCTGTTTTTACGAGGAATGAGTTGGGCTTTAGTTGTCTGTTCCCCTCAATTCTTCTTCGACCCAGATGTAACTGGAGGTCGAACCACACTTTCTGGACCAGGATTCAGAGCCTGGGAGTTTTGGAGCTGGGCCATGTCCTTATCAGTGATGGGAGGGTGGCTGTTTGTGATAGCTTTTCCTTTCCTTCTTAGCTGGTTGATGTTGCCCAGAAATACATTATTCGAGGTGGTAAATTCAGTGTCCTTCATAAGGCACCAGCTGCGACCGATGGGTGGGTCATTTAGAAACCGGTTGAGCCCACTCCGGAGTGCCAGGTAGCTACTTATGCTACCCATTCCCATTTCAACATTTCCATAAAACTGTCTGAGAAGAATGTTAAACTCTTCCTTAGTGACAGTTTTGAAGTCAACACCTTTTTTTCTTCTCTACTAGCCAGCCCTCGAAGCACCGCACAGCCCAGTTTGTATTCTTAACTGTGTTTTCTACGTTGCGGCTTTTCTCTACGTCATTCAATGCAGTATCCCCCAAATCTGCATGCCTGGGTATTATTGCTATCTCTTTTTCCCATTCATCCATAGTCATGCCGGCGAAAAGATCAAAATAAATGTTCCACTCATCCATTTTAGTTTTCGCAACAAAGTATCGATTTAGTCAGTCAACTGAAAAAAAGTTTTTAATGTGGCTATGACAACCAGCTCAATTTCCTGTCTCTCGTTCGGAGACATTCACTTTATATGGGACGGTGGCGATCGCAATTCAATATTGAAAAGGTCGTAGAGACAGACAGCAAGATTTATACAAATCTCTGCTGTTGAAAATAGTAATCCTTCTACCCCCCCTTTACTACCACTGTCTTTTGTCTAAACTAACACCTGACTTACTTAACCTGCTAGCACTGACTTGTTTAAAGAAATGTACTTATTGTGATCGAGATGTAGTTGTCCCTGATTGCACTGACTTTGCTCACAGCTGCTTGTTCGAAGAAGTGTACTTACTGTGATCAATATGTGGTTGTCCCACTGGCTATCCTAAGTTGAATGCACCAATTTGTAAGTCGCTCTGGATAAGAGCGTCTGCTAAATGACTTAAATGTAAATGTAGTCTTAAAGAAATGGGAGATAATGTCTAGATGATTTTTATAGCGGAGATCAAGTTTATACATTTCCTGGCAGGGTTGATGAGACAGTGGATTGCACAGTGAGATGGAACAGAGTAAATAGGCATTTCAACGTCATAGATTTAGCCGGTGGAACTTGTGAAATAGACACCGGCTGGAATACGGTTTTAACCAATCAGCATTCAGGATTAGATCCACCCGTTGTATAAAGATAATAACAGTAAAATAAATAACAGAGTAGCAGCAACAAATGATCAGTGTAAAAGTGTGTGCTTGTGTGTTTGTGTTGTGTCAGTATGCGTGTGTGTGTGTTTGTGCTGTCAGTATGCGTGCGTGCTTATGTAGTGTGTGTGAGAGTGTCAGTGTAGTGTGTGAGTGAGTGTGTGTAAATACAGTGCATTCGGAAAGTATTCAGACCCCTTCCCTTTTTCCATATTTTGCTACATTACAGCCTTATTCTAAAATCGATTACATAAATGTTTTCAATCTACACACAATACCCCATAATGACAAAGTGAAAATGTTTTTTAATTTTTTGCCAATAAAACAAATAAATAAATACAAATACCTTATTAACATAAATATTCAGCCTTTGAATATTTATGTAAATTCAATTGATTGGACATGATTTGGAAAGGCACACACCTGTCTATATAAGGTCCCACAGTTGACAGTGCATGTCATAGCAAAGACCAAGCCATGAGGTCGAAGGAATTGTCCGTAGAGCTCCGAGATCTGGGGAAGGGTACCAAAATATTTATACGGCATTGAAGGTCCACAAGAACACAGTGGCTTCCATCATTCTTAAATGGAAGAGGTTTAGAACCACCTACACTCTTCCTAGAGCTGGCTGCCTGGCCAAACTGAGCAATCGGGGGAGAAGGGCCTTGGTCAGGGAGGTGACCAAGAACCCGATGGTCACTCTGACAGAGCTCCAGAGTTCCTCTGTGGAGATGGGAGAACCTTCCAGAAGGACAACCATCTCTGCAGCACTCCACCAATCAGGCCTTTATGGTAGAGTGGCCAGACGGAAGCCACTCCTCAGTAAAAGGCACATGACAGCCCGCTTGGAGTTTGCCAAAAGGCACCTAAAGGACTCTCAGACCATGAGAAACCAGATTCTCTGGTCTGATGAAACCAAGATTGAACTCTTTGGCCTGAATGCCAAGCGTCACGTCTGGAGGAAACCTGGCACCATCCCTACGGTGAAGCATGGTGGTGGCAGCATCATGCTGTGGGGATGTTTTTCAGCGGCAGGGACTGGGAGACTAGCCAAATCAAATCAAATCAAATTTTATTTGTCACATACACGTGTTTAGCAGATGTTATAGCGGGTGTAGCGACATGCTTATGCTTCTAGCTCCGATAGTGCAGTAATATCTAACAATTACACAACATATACCCAATACACACAAAAAAGTAAGGAATAGGATTTAAGAGTATATACATATATGGACAAGCAATGACAGAGCGGCATGGACTAGGATACAGAAGAATATTATAGAATAGAATGCAGTATATACATAGGAGATGAGTAGTGCAAGATATGTAAACATTATTAAAGTGACTAGTGTTCCATTTCTTAAAGTGGCCAGTGATTTCAATAGGCAGCAGCAGCCTCTAATGTGCTAGTGATGGCTATTTAACAGTCTGATGGCCTTGAGATAGAAGCTGTTTTTCATTCTCTCGGTCCCAGCTTTGATGCACCTTTACTGACCTCGCCTTCTGGATGATAGCGGGGTGAACAGGCATTGGCTCGGGTGGTTGATGTCCTTGATGATCTTTCTGGCCTTCCTGTGACATCGGGTGTTGAATGTGTCTTGGAGGGCGGGTAGTTTGCCCCCGGTAATGCGTTCGGCAGACCGCACCACCCTCTGGAGAGCCCTGCGGTTGTGGGCGGTGCAGTTGCCATACCAGGCGGTGATACAGCCCGACAGGATGCTCTCAATTGTTTGTGAGGGTTTTAGGTGATAAGCCAAATTTCTTCAGCCTCCTGAGGTTGAAGAGGCTCTGTTGCGCCTTCTTCACCACACTGTCTGCATGGGTGGACCATTTCAGTTTGTCGGTGATGTGTACGGAACGAGGGAAAGATGAACGGACAACATGTTATGAGGCCTTGTTCACATGGATAGCTGGTAAATGAGAACTGTGGTAAAGATTCAAACATTGTTATGAAGGTTCTAACCCAGTGGCATGGTAATAAATACAGGTATGCTGGTGCTCCAAAGTGTTCCTGTAGGAATGAGGTGCGTGTTAGGGTAAATAGATCCTAGACGTCTTCTAATGAGAGGGAAGGAGACAGCAACACCCGAGGATTAATCTAATACAATGCCTTGCAAAAGTATTCATCCCCCTTGGCATTTTTCTTATTTTGTTGCATTACAACCTGTAATTTAAATGGATTTTTATTTGGATTTCATGTAATGGACATACACAAAATAGTCCAAATTGGTGAAGTGAAATGAAAAGAATAACTTGTTTCAAAAAATTCTAAAAAATAAATTACGGAAAAGTGGTGCGTGCATATGTATTCACCCCCTTTGCTATGAAGCCCCTAAATAAGATCTGGTGCAACCAATTACCTTCAGAAGTCACATAATTAGTTAAATGAAGTCCACCTGTGTGCAATCTAAGTGTCGCATGATCTCTGAAAGGCCCCAGAGTCTGCAACACCACTAAGCAAGGGGCACCACCAAGCAAGCGGCACCATGAAGACCAATGAGCTCTCCAAACACTTCAGGGACAAAGTTGTGGAGAAGTACAGATCAGGGTTGGGTTATAAAAAAATATCCAAAACTTTGAACATCCCACGGAGCACCATTAAATCCATTATAAAAAAATTGAAAGAATATGGCACCACAAGAAACCTGCCAAGAGAGGGCCGCCCACCAAAACTCACAGACCAGGCAAGGAGGGCATTAATCAGAGAGGCAACAAAGAGACCAAAGATAACCCTGAAGGAGCTGCAAAGCTCCACAGCGGAGATTGGAGTATCTGTCCATAGGACCACTTTAAGCCATACACTCCACAGAGCAGGCCCTTTACGGAAGAGTGGCCAGAAAAAAGCCATTGCTTAAAGAACAAAATAAGCAAACACGTTTGGTGTTCGCCAAAAGGCATGTGGGAGACTCCACAAACATATGGAAGAAGGTACTCTGGTCAGATGAGACTAAAATTGAGCTTTTTGGCCATCAAGGAAAACGCTATGTCTGGCGCAAACCCAACACCTCTCATCACCCCGAGAACACCATCCCCACAGTGGAGCATGGTGGTGGCAGCATCATGCTGTGGGGATGTTTTTCATCGGCAGGGACTGGGAAACTGGTCAGAATTGAAGGAATGATGGATGGCGCTAAATACAGGGAAATTCTTTAGGGAAACCTGTTTCAGTCTTCCAGAGATTTGAGACTGGGACAGAGGTTCACCTTCCAGCAGGACAATGACCCTAAGCATACTGCTAAAGCAACACTTGAGTGGTTTAAGGGGAACCATTTAAATGTCTTGGAATGGCCTAGTCAAAGCCCAGACCTCAATCCAATTGAGAATCTGTGGTATGACTTAAAGATTGCTGTCCACCTGCGGAACCCATCCAACTTGAAGGAGCTGGAGCAGTTTTGCCTTGAAGAATGGTGGCTCTACAAAGTATTGACTTTGGGGGGGTGAATAGTTTTCTGTTATTTTGTCTTATTTCACCCCAAAAAATATGTTGCATCTTCAAAGTGGTAGGCATGTTGTGTAAAGCAGATAGTCCGGGTAACCATTAATAAACTATTTAGCAGTCTTATGGCTTTGGGGTAGAAGCTGTCTCGGTGCCTGTTGGTACCAGAGCCGATGCTGCAGTACCATTTGCCAAACGGTAGCAGAGTGAACAGTCTATGGCTTGTGTGGCTGGAGTCTTTGGCAATTTTTTGGGACTTCCTCTAACACCGCCTGATATAGAGATCTTGGATGGCAGGGAGATTGGCCCTAGTGATGTACTGTCCGCATCGCCCTCTGTAGCGCTTGGCAGTCAAGGGTGGTGCATTTGCCATACCAAGCGGTGATGCAGCCAGTCAAGATGCTCTCGATGGTGCAGCTGTATAACCTTTTGAGGATCCAAGGGCGCATGCCAAATCTTTTCAGCCTCCTGAGGGGGAAGTGGCGGTGTCGTGCCCTCTCCACGACTGTGTGTCTGTGTGTGTGAATCATGTTACGTCCTTATTGATGTGGACTCCAAGGAACTTGAAGCTCTCGACCCGCTCCACTACAGCCCCGTCGATGTGGATGAGGATGTGCTCTCCCCTCGTTGAGGGAGAGGTTGTTGTCATGGCACCACACTGCCAAGTGTCTGACCTCCTCCCTGTAGGCTGTCTCATCGCTGTCGGTGATCGGGCCTACCGGCCTACCACGTCTTACTGTAAACCCTTTCATCAAACCCAGTTTCAATGCTCCAACTTGTTGGAGGCAGGGAGGGAGGTCGAAGAATAGGGAGGAATGGAGGTGGAAGGGTAGGGAGGAAGGGAGGTGGAAGGGTAGTGAGGGAGGCAGGTGGAAAGGAAATGGAAGGGTAGGGAGTAGGCCTGGGTGGTATACCATATATACCGTATACAGGGGTATTTGGAAATAACCACGGGATGGTTTTTCAATAGCGTCAATACCATTGAAACTATTTATTTGAAGTTTTTTTATAGATTTGAATATTTGTAGCTACTTTTTAGGTAAATACCTGCAGTCAACTTGTGCAGTACGAGGTGGAAGGATAGGGAGGGAGGTGGAAGGATAGGGAGGGAGGGAGGGAGGGAGGGAGGTGGAAGGATAGGGAGGGAGGGAGGTGGAAGGGAGGGAGGGAGGTGGAAGGATAGGGAGGTGGAAGGATAGGGAGGGAGGTGGAAGGATAGGGAAGGGAGGGAGGTGGAAGGGTAGGGAGGGAGGTTGAAGGGAGGGAGGGAGGTGGAAGGGTAGAAAACACAATGACTTCGGGGTAAAACAAAGGCTTCATTACTAAGCAGTCTATGCAATACACCACACACACACACACCATTAGACTTGCAGACATAAAAACATCTAACCTCATTTACCCAGACTCCCATTCAACACAGTTTGTATTGTTATCTGTCTCCAGCTCCATCATTCCCCGTCCAGGGTTTTCCCAATGGGTATCCGGGGTATCCCATGAGAGCTGAATCCTCCCAGCCCTCTCTAACTGACGACCCCCATGGCCACAGCCTCATGGGCCTGGGTGACCAGGTAAGATTGACCCCTTACCTCTCTATTGTGGTTTTCACATTATAGTGACGAACCGAGCTGCACTGTAATCGCTGGTGACTCCTCACCTCGCAATGTGTGTAATATCCTCTCTGAGTTAAGGTTGATAATAGATTCGTGATAGACTGAGATATATATATAGAGTATAGAGAGAGCTAGCTCGAGGATCTATATCTCTAGATAGATATCTCTAGCTTCTCGCTGCTCTATCGTATCTCTATAAGAGCTATGATATCTGATTCTATTATCGCTCGTATCTCTCATCTCTCTCTCTCTCTCTCTCTCTCTCTCTCTTCCCCCCTCTCCCTATCTCTCTGCAGGCTCACACCTATATGAATACTGTTACTGTGGATGGGGAACTCTCCAGTCGACACTGTGTACACTCTCTACCTGAGGTGCGGCCCACCTCCTTCAACGAGTCAACCCGAGGAGCCATGTCTGTCGGGGGTCAAGGAGGTGGGCAGGCCAGCATGCACTGCTGCCCCCTGGAGGAACAACGCAAGGAACCCCAGGTATTCCTGCAGCCCTCCTCTCAGGAGGTCAAATTCATGCTGGGTCCCACCCCTGCACAGCGCCACCTGCTAGAGAGGGAGAGGCACGGGGGCCACAATCCCCATCTCATGCGGCCTGTAGAGGGCGCCACAGGCTCAGAGACGGAGGGGGACAAGCCTCCTCTGCACTTGTGCAACTCCCACTCCTACCACCACCCTCACTATCACCATGTGATGCACCGGCAACCCGGCCACGAGCACCAGGAGGGCTGCCAGGTTAGCCAGCTCACCTACGAGAATATCAATGGCCTGAGGGGGGGGCGCCGGCTGAGACTCAGTCCCAGCAGCGTGTCCCAGTCTGTGGGCTCCAGCAGCAGCAGCAGCACCACCGGAGACAGTCATGCACAATCACACCCACACCCCCTCCACCCGCACCCACACCCCCACGGCCCATCCTCTCTACCCCCTCAGGGGTACCCCTGTGAGAGGGGCGCAGGGATGGGCGGGGGTCACCGGCGGACAGCTCTGCTCAACTATGAGAACCTGCCGTCGCTGCCGCCGGTGTGGGAGTACCAAGCCCTGCAGAGAGACGAGGAGCAGGACGAGGATGACGAGGAACAGGATGAGGAGGAGTACGAGGAAGAGGAGGAGGACTTTGATGAGTACGAGTTTTCAGAGGGTCCCGGGACACCCAACGGGTACCACCATGATGGGCTGGGGGGGGGGGGGGATCCACCGTGACGCCCTGCAGAACTATGTCAACACAGAGCAGGTCCAGGTCCAGCCCAGCCGGCTGCGACATGCCTGCCTCCCGCACCCCCAGGCCTGCCACCCCCAGTCGGACCGTGGTGGACGAATATTCAGTTTTGATTTCCGTAGGCGGCCGGGAGGAGGGTTTGGTCGGGGAGAGGGCTGTGAGCACGGTCATATGACCCCGTCGAGGCAGCTCAATTACATCCAGGTGGACCTTGATGCAGAGCCGCCGTGCCAGGCACTCGGTGGGGGTGGAGGGGGAGCCCAGTCTCAGCCCCAGCCACTACAGCCACAGCACCAGCGCCTGCCGCCCCTCAAATGTGGCCCCCAGCAGGCCCCACGGCGCAGTGAGTTCTACGCTGTGATCGACCTGAAGAAGACAGCAGCCATGTCTAACTTGCAGAAAGCCCTCCCCCGGGACGATGGGACATCGCGAAAGACTCGCCACAACAGCACAGACCTGCCTCTTTAGACGCAGTGAGGAGGAGGAGACAGAGAAAGATGAAGGGAGGGAGTAGAGAGAGAGAAACAGGCTTGGTTGGACAGACAGCTATAGGTAACTCAGCAGCACACTGGACCCCTCAATCTCATCCAGCCATTCGCCTGTCCTGTCCTGTCCTTTTCTGTCCTGTCCTTTTCTGTCCTGTCCTGTTCTGTCCTGACCTGACCTGACCTGACCAGTTGGATCATATACAGGTACCTAATTAGAAAACTAACTGAAACCTATCCGTGCATATTCCACTTGATGGAGCAACATTGGTTTGAAGTTGCCATATTATTGTCGGTCACCTTCTGACTGTGGTGAGATGCTGTCTGAGTTAGCAGCAGAAACCTTGGTCGTGGTTGGCTGGGTTTATGGTTAAAGCCTTTAGCTGCCATTGTTTATGGTCCTCATTCCATTATCATTCAGTGTTGTTGTTTTATTTATTTTGATGTCCCTGTTTACAAACATGGACTACTATCGAGTACAGGTTTACTAGACCATATTGTTAAATTGACAGAACATTTTCTGATATGAAAAGTAGTTTGTTATTCCCACAATTTTATTCTAATAATGTGCATTCTTCACCTCACAATGACTTATTTTGGCCCTGTGACTGGTAGAAAGTTGATGATATATATTTATAACTATCTGCCCTCAGGAATTAGTACAGATCAGTACAGTTTGCACATAATCCTTTGGAATTGTAAAGTCGTACATCCTATCGAATATTATATTTTGAGTTGTAAATAAAAGACCCCATAGCAGATTTATTTTAAATTAATAGATTTTCTCTCTCCTCAAGATTAAATATCATACATTTTTCATGTTGAAATTGAATTTAAAATTAAAATAATAGTATACCTTCATAGAATGATAGTGTATTGATAGATGTTCAGCATCCTCTATTTCCCCAACCCCCCCCCCCCCCCCCCCCCCCCCACACACACACACACACAGATGATTGAATTGACCTCTGACCACATATCATTCCACTTGAATAAGGAATCCATATATAATTCCTAAACTATGCTTACCTTTGCACTTTCTACCTTCGGGGTCAGACACTGGCCACTGAAGTCCCCACAGTTCAGAATCCCTCTGCTCTGGAGTAACAGTAAGGTTGTGCTCTGACAAACTCCTTAGAGATGGTGATGTCATCACACAGGCCCAAACTATGTATGTATGAATGTTGTTGTTTTTGCAACATTATAAAGACCAATAGCAACTGAAAATTTTCAGAGCAGAAGTTGATGACCTTCGACAATGGCTTGAAGATAATACAAATAACCTCACATAAAAAGTAGGGCTTCTGGTTTACTATTTTAGTAAGTATCAGATTGATAACTGAGGGTCTGAGGGGAATATATCACTATGTGTAATGTTAGCTGTTTATGGAAAGTATATCAGTGAGCATTTGGCTGACGATATTATTTTATTTATTAATTAATTCATCGAGATGTCTATATTGTGATTGTTTTGCAAAAAAATGTGACAACCAGATTTTCATAATCCAGTCAGTTGGTGATTTGGAGACCAAAGTATCACCAGTCATCAGCACACTGTCTGTGACACCATTGTAATACCATTGTTATGCCTGTAATTAATAACATTACATATAAAAGTGCCAAATCTTTACTGTTACCTGTATGAACATTATGAATCAAATCAATGTGCCATTAGGATTTGTATTAGAAAACTTGAGGGCTAAGAGGCAAGAAGGAGTTAGCCTACATGTCAAAAACAAAATAAAGGTTTATTAGGTACACCAATCTAGTACCAGGCCTGACCCCCCTTTGCCTCCAGAACAGCCTGAATTCTTCTGGGAATGGAAACGTTGCTCAACTGGTATCAAGGGACCTAACGTGTGCCAGGAAACATTCCTCACACCATTAAACCACCGCCACCAGCCTGTACCTTTGACACGAGGCAGGATGGGGCCATGGACGCATGCTGCTTATGCCAAATCCTGACTCTGCCATCAGCATGACGCAAAAGGAACCGGGATTCGTCGGACCAGGAGATTTAGTTATTTTCACTCCTCAATTTTCCAGTGTTGGTGATCGCGTGCCCACTGGAGCCGCTTCTTCTTGTTTTTTTGCTGATAGGAGTGGAACTCGGTATCCGTGACAAGGGCTGACGAGTTGTGTGTTCCGAGATGCCGTTCTGCACACCACTGTTGTTCTGCGCGGTTATTTGCCTGTTCGTGCCCCGCTGCTGGCTAGATGTTTTTAGTTTTTCGCACCATTCTCGGTAAACCTTAGACACTGTCGTGCGTGAAAAGCCCAGGAAGCCGGCCGTTTCGATCATATCATGCTCAAAGTTGCTTAGGTCACTCGTTTTGCCCATTCTAACATTCAATCGAACAGTAACTGGATGCCTGTCTGCCTGCTTTATATAGCAAGCCACGGTCACGTGACTCACTGTCTGTAGGAGCAAACCATTTCGTGAACGGGGTGGTGTACCTAATAAACTGGCCTCTGAGGGTATGTGTCAAGAGTAGGAGTGCTGATCTAGGATCAGGTCTCCCCTGTCAATGTAATCTTATTCATTGTGATCTAAAACGCAAAACTGATCCTAGATCAGCATTCCTACTCTGTGACTCTTCATACATAAGGCCACATGATTTAAATGGTTAAGCCTGTGTACTCCTCTTCATAAATCTGTCTAGCTGATCCAGGTCAACTGGACAAGAAAGGGCAAGAAAGACACATTTCTCCTCATAGGCTAGGTTATACATCGACAGCCATATTGGAGTGAGACAAAGCATTGGTTATATCTATCCAGTCATCACAACTCCACTGGTTTTATGCTGCTATAAACATATTGAGACAGTATGTAAGCTATTTGTCACAGAAGATCAGACAGTAAGAAGAGGTCGGGGTGGTAGTGGCTGTGCAGGATTGTTCACCATATTGTTTAGTAAATGGAACTACCATTACCTTATTCTTCACTCAAGATCACTGCATCTGGGCTAACAGTATGGAAATTAAATGTGTTTTTAATTCAAAGAAGTTATAATTTCTAATTTCTATTTCTTATTTTTCCTGGATTGGTGTGATAATCCTCATACCAAACCTTGTTTTCATTACAATCTGGCTGTCTAATCTGAAGTAAAGTGGCTGAATGTGCAGCACAGGCCTAGCAACTGTAATCCTCATAATTGTATTTAATCTGATGGAAAGAGATACGTAGGTCTACTCAATGTGGAAATTTTTCAGACGGGGATATATCCATTTGTACACATATTTTCATGATACATTTAAAGGGTGTTTACATTTCGCAATAATGGTTTAATAGAGTTGTATTGATTGAGATGATGAGGTTTATTCAGACCAATGTGTGTGAGGTTCGAGGTGTGTTGAAGATGGATCTGCAGGTCTGTTGTATTTGATCCCCTGTTTTTATGTGAATCGACAATGTAACTAAGACCCTCCTCTGTCAGGCCCCCTGTTGATAATAATACGACTTTATTGTATACATGCTTAAATTAGAATGTGGAAAAATGTATGTTTCTGTTTTCTTGATTGTCTTATATACAGCAGATTTGCGCTTACTTTACACCTGACTGAACTGTGCCATAAGGGACTGTTGCCAAGCGTTCTGTAAGATTTGTGTGGGTGGCTCTCGAATGTTGAAGCCTTTTAAAGGGCCAGGTTAGGAATCAGGAGGTGTATGGACAACATATCTGTGTACTGTGTTTGACAGTTGATCTAGGCCCATTCATTAGTCAGTCATTGTTATCAATTTGGTGACACTTAATTTTAAGATACACAGGAATGGTACCTTCAGATGTGGAAGTGTACCATATACTACAGTGTTACCATAAATAAAGAAAAGACACAAGTGACCATAAAGGAGTTATTGGGAATCGTACTGTATCTTGTCATTTCAATGTTGTCACATTGATGTACCTTCAAAATGAGAGAGAAGATTAAGGATTGGCCAATAGTGCTAAGCGATTAGCCGAAATGTCAGTTTATTTTCATTTTTTAAATAACGACATAGGTTCAATTATTTGAATTCCATTTGTTTTTTTTATTTTTCTTTGAGCTCTACCAGAGAGGAAGAGGCGAAAGCGAGAGTTTTCACTGTCGCCAAAATATGTCCAACATAAGCCCAATTCGTTTCTATGGCATTATTTTGGACTTAAGCTTGTCACCTGCCTTCCAGCCTTTGGGACAACGACTCCCAGTATTAGTGTGGATAATCTACATTAAACATTGAGCTCTGGCTCAACGCACGGTTTCTCTAGAGAGATTAAGGATGAGCTGTGGGACGTTGCAGGGAAGTATAGTTTCAACATTCATAATAGTTCGGGGGGGGGGGGGGGGATAATAACTACAATAACCAGAATCCTTTGTGCCTACAGCTGCCTGTTCTCATTGGTTCAAGCCTGTGGGTCTGGCAGACTGAAACGGAGAAGGAAGGGAGGGACAGAAGTTCACAGAACGCGTCGCGAACGAGGGAACAGTTCAATTAATCTAATTGATTGATAGTTGTTATTCATCAGTCTGAAAAGTGTGCCTTATCTAGTTTGAAGAACTACTGAAACAGTGATTTCGTCAGACAGCAGGCAGCTAGCCAGCAAGGATGCTAGCCTAAATATGATGGCTCTTTGAGGAGCACAGAGATAGATGGATAGATGGCTGGCTGGCTGGCTGCTAATGCGATGATGACTTGAAATTAAATAATAAGTCATAAAGAAAATAAAAAAATATACACAACTGAAATATTTTATTAAAGTAATGTGAATAAAGGATGGTGCATTAATAAGTGATACATAGTAATGGGCAGTGACTACCATCATTGGGGTTTTAATAATGAAATAACAAAGTAATCATACTAAAAACAGATATGTGATATACACAATCAAAATATTTTATTTAAAGATGCACTATGCAGAAATCGCACCGGCATTTCCTTGTTGCTAATATTCTAATTGTTCGCCTAATTTCAGTTTATGTGAAAAAATAAGCAAGTATAGTATA